TTTTATCTATATACCGCTATCCCTTTCTAGCTTTCTGCTATAAGTGGGTCTCTAGCTGATTATGCGCACTGTGATCTCCACTTAAATCACAACAAGCCCTTTACCCACGTACGCCATACACCGTACGCAAGAAGGTGTATGCACTCCTCCGGAAATGTAAGCAACTACTAACAGAATAGTTGCAATGTAGGATGTGGTCCTGAATTAAAAAATGTAATTTATAGTCTTCTCTCCAGTTCAGAGTCCAAGCAGGTCGTTCTAGGTCTAAAATAGAATCTCGGCGCCGATGCACAGTGCGCCGAGAGCAAGATGCTTTGCACAGGATTAAAAGAAAACGAGTCCCATTAAGTGGCCAATGAGACATTCGTCATTCCCTTGCTAGACTAATTGTCCGGGAAGGTGATGGAACTCGGGTTCTTCTGGTGAGCAGCGAAGCACTCCTCCTCGCTCCAAATGTAGGGCGAGCCAAAAACCTTGCGCGTGTCTCCCTTGAATTTTTCGCAGTAGCTTTGAGTACCGCAATTCTCCTCAGACTCGTCTCCACGAGAGCCGCAGAAATTTTCCGAGTCGCCCTCCAGCCAGGGCAGGTTCTTGGGCTCGGGGACGTGAGCCTTGAGACACTCCTCGGTGCTCTCGTACCGGACGTCCTCGGTCTGCTCAGTGTCCTCGCCGTGGAGTCCGTAAAACTCTTCGATGGCGTCAATCTCGGCGCAGTAGGTTTTGGTGCCGCACGAGGCCTCGGTCAAGCCGCGGTTCCTGCAGTCGGCATCGAACGACCGGCCCGTGTCGAAAGGGATGAGCTCCTGCTTGGGCTCCGGCTGGTGCGCCTTGAAGCACTCGGCGGTCGAGTTCCACGCGGGCTTGGTCTTGAACTTGTCCGAGTCGCTGCCAAAGGCCTCGATGGCCTTGCAGTAGCGCTTGGTGCCGCAGTCGGCTTCGTCGTAGCCGCCGGTGCGGCCCGGGCAGCTGCGGCCCGAGCCGAGCGGCGCGGGCTTGAAGGGGAGCGCCTGGTCAGCGGTCGAGGCTTGCGGCAAGGCGCAACCCATGGACGCGGCGGCGAGAAGGAGGATACTGTATCTCATTTTTGCTTGCAAGTTGGAGGGGTAAAGGAACGAGAGGCTGCTGAGCGGGGAGGGCAAGACGAGGCTGAAAGTGAAGGTGGTGGTGGGTGAGTGAGAGAAGACGAGCAGAGTTGATTGTCACTCGGGCGCCTTTTATGTATAGCTATTGAGAAATTGTTTGATTCAAGGGGTCAAATGTAACCGTACATGTCCGCTTCGGTAATGCCGTGACGCCGCATAGACAGATCGACTCTCCCTCAACTGCTCAACTCGGGCAATAACGAAAGGGCTCAGCACACTTTTACGACATGACGGAGCATGCCAAGTTCTTATTACCGTTCACATAAGACCACTAAGGTCAGATCTGGATCCTGGTACGATGCCACTGACTAGCTGCCGTCCATGGAAGCGGAATTTGCAAGCCGCGCAGTGAAGTAATGAAGGGGAGGTAGTACCATTGTAACGTGCTCACTCTTCCACATACTAACTCCATTCATGTCTTGTACGGCAAAAGTGCAAGATGTTGAATACTTTAGACAGGAATGCGGCCTTTAGGCAACAGTGGCAATATATCATCACGCTGTTGCCAACCCAAGCCTCAAAACAATTGCATGAGCGCAATTTGCTCTCGTCAAAGTTGAATGGCCGATACTGCAATTCCCTCATTTTTGCTGCCATTTCTCGATATACTTTTGGCTGCGTTGTTGAGAACTCAACCTGGTGCGTCGGCCCTGAACGACAGTCACCGATGCACGGCACACAACATCCGACGGGGGTCCATAGTACGCCATAGTATCCATACCGCCTTATTTCTTTAACCCGACTCAACAGAATGATCCAAGCCTGCAATGATTATGCATCGGACAGCTTGCACAGCCACCGGTGACGCAGCCTGGCCTGTGACACTTGGGTCGGGATTGCCGCCAGCGACATCCCGGGAACCAGTTTCACGGATGAAAGGGTCTGAAAAGCTGTTTTTACTCTTAATGTCGCTCATCAATACCGAAATTCGTTTCAAGGAAGCCGTAGGTAGGCTGGCCCACCCGCGCCAAGACGGGTGGAAGCCCTCTCTAACAAGCTGAGGAGCCGGCGAGGCGCGTCAGTACATACTGCGACGACTGAGTCGGTCACATCTTCGTATCTGGCATCCGCGTCAGCTTCAGTCAAGGCAAGCTGGTCCATTACCAGCGACTTACCAGCGACTATATACAGCGTACGAATAGGCATGGCGCGATCCATGCCATGTGAGCACCGCATTGTAGAGAAGATCAGGGCGCAGAGTGGCCGCAGGAGCCTGCTTGGGACTCACTGGAGAAAGCAAAGCCCTACAACGGTAGCCTAACCCTCACGGAACTGCATAACCAGACGGAGATGTACCTTGTGGCGGCACAAATTTTCTTCCTAGGTAATGGTTGGAACCTGCAGCACTATCAGGCTGCCCCTTCGGCTGCCATAGCCACCGAAAAATCAGCGAAAGTGCCTCGAACTCCAATAATATGGGACAGATTGGAATAATGGGTGAAGTAGATGAAATTACACGTTCAAAATCAGGCAGCAGCGGGCGCCCATTGCCCATTTCAGGAACTTCCGCCGCGTGGAACAGCAATACAAATACAATACATATCATGACGTGATAGGGCACATTCGAAGCGCCCCCACATTCCGGCTTCTTCTGTACGGAGTAATACTATATATACTACGTTGATAAGGCAAGCTATGCCTCGATTGGGCTGTCCTATATGATACCGGCTGACTGTTCAGTACCAGTAACTATGCATATGTAGGTCCGACCATCAGATGGGCCGCGGTTTTAGGGCCAACCCATGTATCATGCCAACCAGCCCACATTGAGGTGTCAGTCATCTATTATGCCGAAGGCTGGAGTGGGCGGCCGTCTTTTATGTAACTGGTGTCAGTGTTGTTGCAGCCATCATCGGGATCTATTGCGCCTCTAGTACCAACTAACGATCTACACAGACTAACGTTAGCTCGCAGTGCCACGCGTTAGAGTAAAGCGCCCCAGGGTACTTAGAAAAGGGCCCGAAAAATCCTCCAGGCAAGGCCCTATCAAGTCGCCTAGTGCAAGGCGTTCAATAGTGAAGGAAGTTGGGGTCAGTGAAGACTTGGGAATCGTCTCGAACCCTCCGTACCAACGACTTGATTTCAACCGGGACCGGTAGGAAGACCACCAGCTTAAGTCTGTTGCCCATGTCCTAGCTACTGCTCTAGCTGCAATCATGGTGCACGTGTGTATTGTTTCAAGGATGGCAGTCTCATAAATGCGCGCATACAAAGTGCAGAACCTCGTGAGTCAGCAAATCGACCAGGTCCAGTCTAAAATTGGAAAAGGAAAGTGACGGGTCATTCTTCATGAATGCTGGCCACTTTTCGATAGTTTTCGATGGTTCTCGATGATTGAACTTTGGACTTGCTCGTGCGGAAAGCGATTGGGCACAGTGAGTAATATAAGCCAAGTTCAGATGGCGCCCCTCAAGTCTGATGGAAGGGGGATCAAGCAACCAAATCAGTGTCGGATAATCTGGACGCACATCAAGGCCTCGCTGACATAACGACATCGATACAGCCTCGACCTTGAACTAATTCTTTGAAGCGGAGGGGAGCCATGCCTAGAACTGGCAATAAACCCCCAAGTATTCCACCTCCCCTTTACAATTAAAGTAGAGGTATCTCTAGGCTACCCGACGGCCCCCCGACTGCTCTGGAGATCCCTCGACCTTTATACGCTCGCCACTCCCTGATAGCAACAGCCCAAGGCCGGAGACTAGGAATCGATCGCGCACAGCACGCAACCTATACGGCAACATAATGCCGGAAGGATGTGTTAAAGCATGTTATTCTTTTATAAGGGGACTTCTGAATAGTCTTTTGTTTCTAAGTCTAAGTAGGTTATTCGAGGTCTAAGGTAGTCCTAGCGCCGATGCAAGTTCTTTTCACCGTGTTCCGAGAGAAAGGTGATTTACACAGAATTATCCATGAATAAATAAAGGAGAGCCACCTGAGAATTCCTTCATTCGCATTGCCCTTTTGTAGTTTCTGTCCGGGAGGGTGATGAAGCCGGTTTCTCGGGCACGTGCGCCTTGAGGCACTCCTCGGTGCTTTCATAGCGGATGTCTTCCGACTGTTCTGTATCTTCGCCACGCAGTTTAGAGTGGGCGGCGATGTCATCAATCTGCGCACAGTACTCCTTGGTGCCGCAAGCCTCCTCACTGAAGTCAAATTCGCAGTCCGCGCCGGGCGAGCTATAGTTAAACTCCAGGAGCGCCTGTTTGGGCTCCGGTGCGTGCGCCTTGAAGCAGTCGTCGGTGCTGGCCCAGGTGGGCTTGGTCTTGAACTTTTTCGAGTTGGCGCCGAAGATGTCAATGGCCTTGCAGAATCTCTTGGTGCCGCACGCATCTTCGCTGTAACCTCCCTTGGCAGGGCAATCGATACCCGAACGCAGCGGCGCGGGCTTGAAGGGAAGAGTAGTTTGGCCGGCGGCCGCCTGGGGGAAGGCGTAGCCGATCGACCCGGCGCTGAGAAGAAGGATGATGTACTTCATTGTGATGAATTGAATCGGCGCAAAAGAGCGAGAAAGCTGCTGGATGGAAGGCAAGTGTAGGTGGAAAGGGAAGCTGGTGGGTGAGAAGGAAACAGGAAACTAGATGGAAGGGATTCGGGCGCTTTTTCTGTATCACTGTCGAGCGATTGCAAGAAAGGTATAAATACAATCAATTCAATCAACGAGTCAAAAGTGCGCGGCCATGCCCGCTGTCAGTAATGCCACTCCTCGGCATGATCAATTGGTACTCTGTTGCGGTTGCTCAGCCCATTCTATGAAGAAGGGACGAGTCGTCGTGCCTGTAGATACTCTATGCGAAGCCGCGCACTGAGTTTTCAACTAACCAGACATGTTCAATGATTTACAAAGGGCTCGTTTTTTTTTTGACTCGTCATTGCCAGGTTTCTCTTCAAGGAAACGGTATCTAGTTAGGCTGTGCACCAAGATGAGTGGTGGTTCTCTAACAAGCCTTAGCCGTACTACGAATCAGTTGGCAATGCGAATTAGACTCGAAAATATATAGTTAACTGGAACATGCATCAGATTCAGTAAACACAGCTACATGAACTAGCATAGCGATATATGCCACGTAAACACCGCATGGAGGACAAGGCCGACATTGCTTTAATTAATGGTAGTTGCCTCTGAACATGAATTCTTCAACGGACCTATCCACCCACTGCGTCCTGCCACGTAATATCGTCCATAAACGCGCATTATCCTTATGTACTAACGTTGCCTTTAATAATGACTCGTAACACTATGCCTTAAAAGGGCGAGATATTGTACAGCCCTGGGAATTATTGTTTCCCTATAGGATATGAAACCGTACTATGTGCCCAACCCCCACTTCAAGTAGCTCGTGGCCATTAGGACTGGTGCGGACCTTGACATGTATAAGTAAGTCAATTAGCTGCACGGTATTCCGTAAGCTAATCTACAACTTTGAATTGGCAGCATTTGTCGTCTGAAACGGCTTGGTTGGGCCTTGTTATGGTGGCAAAAGCGAAGACCAACCCAGCCTGGTCTACTGGTTACCTGTTGGTACCTGTAGCTAGGCTGGGTCATGAAACGGACTTTCAAGACATCCACGGATTGCCGGGCCTTGTTGGGCCAAGCTGAAGAAAAGAGCGGTGGGATGCCCGTATAATGAGCAAACTAGCCTCGTCTCTCATTCAACCACAGCCCGACGCGTACGAGGGAACCAGACCGGAACAGGAGACTGGCTTCCAGGTGTCGGCGAGGACGTGGGAATCAGAGTAAAGACTTACATAGGTCTCCCAGCTTGGACATCATGCTGCCAAACTATTGGGTCTCCAGGAACGTTGCCACGTATCTCGACCTTGTCAGTCAAAGAAGCTGGGCCTCGATTTCCGTTTCATCCCATGTAGTTGGGAGAACCAGACGCAGCGAGGACGTGTCAGTGAGTACAGCCCTGTTAATTAAACCCCGAACTACGAATCAGCGTCTCGCCAGTTTAGGCTAATGGGAGAGGCGCGAGAAACAGCTTCAGGCAGGCCCTCGAAAGACTGAGAGCAGTGCGAGTCCGTTTGCCATGACGCCTGCAGCCATGGTATCCTTGTGTAGGGTTGCAAGGACGGCACTCTTGTGAATGCGCATACAAGGTGCCAGCGACAGAGTGAGTCAGCCGACTCGAGCATAAACTTGGAAAATGTCGAGGGTTCTTCTTTTTCATGATTTCAGACAAGTAATCCATCTCTCAGGCGCGGCAAGCGTAAGCAGTGGTCTTTTTCGGCCCCAGCGGTTGGGAATGCCACCATGTCTGGCCCCGAAACTCGGAGGGCCTGTCGCAACACATCACTTTGCAATCCAGCAATTGGGCGGGAACAGTAGGCGCAATTGTAGGACAGCTTTCTCCAAACTCAAGCCAACCAACACAAACTCGATAACGGCGAATAATACTACGCCAAGTTAAAAGACCCCCCTGGGACCCAATAGAAGGGCAGTCAGAGCAGCCAATTGGGCGGGAGACTCGACCAAAACTGACAATGAAGTATCCTGAGTATTCTAGCTCCCCTCGGGCACCCGATGGCCCCTTTGTCAGCTCGCCGCTCCGCCGACAGCAACTGCCGAAGGCCCGAGACGTTGGAGGAATCGATCGCGCACGGCATGCAACCCAGACGGCAACGTGATGCCGGAACAGGATGTGGGCAGAGATGCATGTCTTGGCCGTTACTAGTTGCCGGATGTCACAGTCATCTCCGCTACCGCCCGTGTGATCTATCAAAACCGCGCAGTGTAGGGAGTAGTTTCGAGCTTCATTTTGCGACTGCAACGCAGCCTGGATTATGTCACTTGCAGCGCACACTCGTGGTCAACGACATCCTTTGCAGTTGACCTCGTTGATCTGCCCCATGTTGATGACAATGCAGAACACTGCGATAGTGATCTCGAGATTCCATACAGCCCCGTTCCTCGGCGACGAATTGATTATTCTGATGGGCGCGCTCGAATAGGCAGCACATGTAGGGTACTTGTCCAAGAATACGATTTTCTAACTATCACAGAGAAAATTTCTTCAGGTTGAAAAAGGTTTCAAAATAGTTCCACACTCTGATTCACCTCCTGTCTCACGTCTAGCTGTCGCCGGGGTTCTCCCTGTCGCCGCCCCTGTAACACGGCGGCGCCGGCGAGAGCGGCGCCGGGCTAGCATGGTGGATGGGACACAGATGGGCGACCCAAAGAATATAGGGCGACATATAGGGCATATAGGGCATATAGACAGCATATAGGGCATATAGGGCATATAGGGCAGAATACATACATAGACCACACTTGTGCTTCTTTTGCCCACCTTTTGCTCGCACACTCGTTTGGGGGAAAGACCGGACGAAGGGGCCGGCTTTGGTTTGCCTGGCTCGGGGCAGAAGACGGCGGCGACGGCGGCGAGATGGCGGCGCGCCGGCTCTGTTTTTCGAGGCGAATGTGCAATTTGCATCTCGCCTCCGGACGGCGCGCCCCTTGCCCTTTGGCCCCCCCCCTGGCCAGCCTCACCCTCGAATCCCAGCTTGCCAGCAAGTCAATTACCGCAGCAAACTATAACCATGTGACGGAGACTTGATTAAGATTGGTCCTTGCTTTTTTTGCTTTTCATCCTGTTTCGCTTTCTTCTGTTTAGCGACGCGCCGACTGAGACACGCGGATCTCCACGACGATCCGCACTGTCGCAGGTCTTTTCTGGCTAAGCACTCGGCACTTCTTGAGCGTGATTAAATGTAAACACAAGCAAGTATATGCTTGATATTGGCCCTATATTAATCTCCCCCTTTTTTCTTGACTCGACGGAGCTCATCTCGTACAACAGCTTCGTGGTGGCTGCGGTTCATTGCGACAATGATGGATCAAGCGGCGCAATCACTAGTAATTCGCATCCGTAATTACCCTAGAATTGATCTGCTCTCCGCCCATCAGCATAGAGCAGGGCATAGCCTGCGTGGTCCCGCGGCGGACCGTCGGGATACAGAGGCATTTGATGAGTGGGCTTCCCGCGCGGCATCAAATCGATCGCCCCCAGATTTCCGAAGCCCGAAAATGGAAGCCCGGCTCCCCGACCAGCCGGCGTTGCAATGAACAAAGCACTATTAGCAGCTAGTCCCGAATCCTGCACCCCCCTGTCCTGCATCTACTGAGTACAGGAAGCAAGTCCACCGAATTAGGCTCCAACACGGAAGTGACGGCCACAACTTCAGTCTCTTTCAGTGGCGTCTTGGAACATCTCGAAAAACATGCCTCCGAGCAGTTTAGTTGGAAATAGCGAATCACCGCGCTCAAATGTGGGTTGGTGTGTCTTGGGCAATTGATCAAGCGTCTGATGAGTCTGGTTGGGCAATGGAATTGTCTTATATTCGGGAAAGCCACGGCCTTGTCTCCTGTCACTCACCGCCCCAGTCTGTGAGTTCAGCCCAACTTTTTGCTTTTGCCCATCCACGTGTGCATGGTGATCGTAATACGGCATCACTAGTTATGAAACGTGACAGCAACAGACAACGAGGATCCGGGCACCAGAGAGACCAACAAACAGCGGCCCGTTGTAGACTAGTCCGTTATCCTTATAATATCTTCATTCTTATTACTCTTCTATTCTTCATTCAAGATCTCTTCCCTTGCACTCTTGTAATTGAAGTGGGAAGCGTGAGACTTTTCTGTCTGGCTGTTCTTTTGGTCACCTGTATGGTGGGGTTGGTGGTTGAGTATAGACAACTTAGTATGCGCCGCCTTCTCGCAACCTTGTTTTCTCCCTGTCTCTGAGCAAACCCCTTGTAAATCTCTCTCTGTTCTCTCCCCAATCTCTTCTCCTTGCAAGGTACCATCTAAATCGATGGTCCTGGCCCCTCGGCTGTTAGGTCAGGCGAAGGGGGAGACTGGGGTAAGACACCAGCCTCATTGTATACACTTTGACAACCATGTTCAGAACTAGTCGACTCTCAGCCATCGTTAACTAAGGAAGCACACTCACTAGGATGTTGGCTCCACAGCGTATATTCTTACTTGCCGGCCTTGACAGGAGAAGCCAAAGATAGAGGCAACTCACGAGAATGACCTTCAAAATAATGAGGAGACAAACTCTCGGGAAAAGTTGTGTAGCGTATTTTGGGGCGGAGGAACCGAGATACGGATTATTAGATATCCAAATAGATAGTTACCTGTCGCTGGAAATGAAGTGATGGCGGTATTGTTTGAGACTGTCCGTGCTAACTCACCGATATCCCATGTCAGTGTTCCCGCCAGACCAAGACACAACCCGCACAATCTGAGATTGAAGTCTCCCTGTCGAGAGCAAATGTCGGTCTGGGGAGCTCGAGCGCTTCGAGCCTGCTCAGGATCAAGGTATAAATAGAGCAGCATGTTCCCCTCCAACAACCAAAAGTCCTCATCACTCAAGCCATCAACAACTACAACAACTACTACCACTTCTTTCCCACACAAAACCCAACCCTCTTCAGCATCATCAACATGTTTGCCTCCACCGTCTTCGTCTCCCTCCTCGCCGTCGCCGCGGCCGTGCCCACCAACCCCCAGGGCCAGTCCTGCGGCAACGGCAACACCGTCCACTGCTGCAACGCCGAGACGGCCAACAAGCTCACCAAGGGCGGCATCCTCGGTGCCCTCGACCTCTCCAACCTCCTCGGCCAGTGCAACGACGTCACTGCTGCCGTTGCCGGCGGCGCTGTCCCCATCAAGAACACCTGCAGCTCGCAGGCTGTTTGCTGTGGTGAAATCCACCAGAACGTAAGTACAAACATGAGTTCGGGATTCTCGGGCAGAAATGGATACTAATTTGATAATAGGGCCTCGTCAACCTCGGCTGCACTCCCATCTTCGTTTAAGTGCTTTGTTCCTGTTCTCTACGGATCTCACGAGAAAAGCATAGGTGCCTTCTCCCATCAGAGAAAGCATCGAAAAGTACTATTCGTCGAATAATGTTTATTCTATATTAGATAGCAATTCAATCTATATTTTGCTCACAAACTTCTCGTTCTAAATTATTGCGCGCCGTGTCGTGAGCTTTGGTAAGCTCATCGCATTGTGCTGTTGTTCTTTGCGCTGTACAGTGTCATGGTATCAGTGCTGTTTTTGTATGTCGCGTTGCAATGTTCCGTGAAGCCTGTGAACAAGTCCGCTCGGTCCTTCAAATACTTTCCAAAAGCGTCGCGGGAGCAGCTCGTGGCCGGTCCGTCGGCGCAGCTGGGCAGTGGCTGCGGGGAGCTGTTGACCAGCACTCTGTAGTATTCACCATCATCGTAGCCGAAGCTGCCGCTGCACTCCAGGCGCTCAATGGCAATGTTGCCGAGGAACGGCAGGATGCTGGAGCTCTTCCACGCGCGGCGGTAGTTGATGCGATCCGTGGGCATGGTCTCGTTGATGTTGGAAGCGCCGCTAAACTCCGAGTTGTTGAAGAGCCCCATGGCGACAATGACCATGGGAGGCATCTCTCTGTGCGTGAAGCTGACCAGCAAGTCGTCGACGGTGCTGCTGCCGTTGCTGCCGTTCTTCGCGTTGCTCATGAGAAGGTCGCCTGTTGCCTTGAGCCACGGAAGACCGTTGTAGCCGGCGACGTTGCTGCCGTAGCCTACGTTGTAGTGGTAGCGGATGTCTTCCGAGTACTCCCATGCCAGCCACTCGTCAGGACTGAAGAGATCGGGGCTGCAGAACGGAGACTTGCCGCGAATCACCGTTTTGTAGCCGCACAGCTGCTGCATGCCGAAAACGTCCTTTGCCGTAAAGTTGAAGCCGGGCGCTGCCTTTTTCAGGCGCGCCACAATGGGCTTGGTGAACCTGTCGGTAAACTCATCGGCCTCGTCGCTGCCGGCCGACGACGAGTAGGCCGGGCAGCCCTTGTAGGGCGTGAGGCTGTCGGCGCCCGCCTCCTTGGACTCGTACACGCTGCGGATCTCGATGCTGCCCTCGTCCGCTTCCAGGCCGCGCGCGAGCGACTGGGCCGACTGCAGCGTGCGCGAGGCCGAGGATGTCCACACCGTCTTGGGGACGCTGAAGTTGGGGTACCGGAAGTTGAGGTCGACGCCGAGCTGGGTCGCCTCGAGACGGCCGACGCGGGTCAGCAGCGAGACCTCGGCGTCGCTGATGGGGGCGTTCCAGCCGGCGAGGAAGCTCAGTTCGGGGACTTTGGTCCAGTCGACGGTGGTGTTGTCCAGCTTGTCGACAAAGCTTTCAATGTACTCCTCGTAGTCGAAGTCGTTGGCGTAGATGGCGGCATGGCGAACAAGGTAGGCGGCACGTTTCGCGGTACACCCTTGGGGAACGTCGGGGGATGCGGGAGGATCTTGCGGTTCAAAGTAAGGTGCGATGCCTGTGAGATGATGGAGAGGGTTGAAGTGGTATGTAGAATACAGGGCTGAGGCTGAGACTGAGGCTGCCAATGACAAGACGCCCAAGAATGTGGTTTTGTCCATGCTTTTAGATTGACGAGATTTATAACGTTATATTAAGAACAAGCAAGATCATATCTAAATAAAAGGGCGGCTACCTGTGGTTTTATAGCTTTGAGTTGCTGGTTTTTTCGAGATCGGCATCGCTTCATTGACGTCACGTTCTGTTACCTTGATTTCGGACATGCTTTAGCTGCACTGCTCCAGCTAATGATGGGGAAACAACTCCACATAAGCAGGCGGGAGCTGAAAGACGCAGGGATGCAAGGCTTTTTTTCAAGGGCGTCAATTTCGCATATTGTTCGTGGGAATATCCCGAAAGCGAGAACATTCAAGCTACTGTTGACTGTTGGTTCTCACGCCAAAGCCCCTAGCCAATGAAAGTGCTGTGCAGGACAGGCAAGTTTAAGGGGCCACCGGCAATTCGACGCGTATGATTAGTGTCTCTTAGGGGTTTTTTTTTCTTTTTTTCTTTTTTTTTTACCCTCTGCCTTCTGCGGCTTGTTGGTTGGTGCGATGGTGTATCGCGTGATGAGGAGGGTAGTACTAGCACAGTCGCACACAGGCAATCTAGCGGTGGTACAAATTTCATCTCTGGGCTAGTATTCTACTGGTATTACACAAAGGTGCTAAATTCATTAATCGGGCGCATTGCTTGAGAGATGGCTGGAGCATCGTTACATCTATTGACAGCTTAAACAAGAGGAAATATATACTTATCCGTACGCACAGACACTAAGTAGAATGCGTTTTATCCTCGTCGCTAATTGTTCATGACATTGTGCCGAGCCTCTATGTACTCCGTGTTGCGCTCCTATTTGCAGCAGTTTTGGCTACGGGTGGTGAACTCCGCTGGCTGGATCTCATAAGTTGAGGATGGCAAGCCACAGAGATACTGTATGTATTGTTGGCACACTAATCGGGCAAGTATAGGTTTGTGGTGATACGAAACCCTTGGCTGCGCGCCTCTGTCGTACAGAGACGATAAATCAGCTTACCAAGCAGGAGCACTGTAACTCAGCATGCAAATTTGTGAACGTAATGATGGCGAGCGTGATATGGTTCCGGCAGGCGGCAACGCTCCGATAATAAGATATTAAAAGAATAAGTCGAGCAATCGATGATGGGGACAACATGGGTGGGCGAGCCGATGTTGGCTGATGGCTATCGGGCTGGCGGCTCCCCTGCATGTGTCCAGAAAATGTAGAGGCTATGTAGTGTATACATGTATCAAGGATTGTTTTGGGTGGGCTGACTTGCGAGAACGGGGTTCTAACTACATCTGCGGGACAATGCGGAATCTCAGCCACGAGCCTGCCCCACAAGTACAAGTCTCCAATTTGCATCACCCACAAGAGATACTTTTAATTTTAGCGTGGCACCATACATCCCTCAAGTACTCCGTACCCCTTCCTCAATCCGCTCCAGGAAAGGACGGCAAGATTGGTCCCAGCACCTGGCGCTGGTTGCTCCAAGTGCTGTCGCCTAACTACCTCAACAGTCATCCATCGAGGTACTGGAAAGGCACAAAGAGCCTGATTAGTGTATTTCAATAAATAGATAAAAGGGTAAATAAACCTTGGCGTCCAAATTCGTTTCTAGCGTGGAGCCTGAGTTGGCGCTGCTTTAACCTGAGTAGAAGCTAGACCCTGATTCGGATGCCTTACGATGAATTGACTTGGATTTTGGAAAAGTCTAAGAAACTCTGAACAATGTCGCGCAATGCTTCTTGCTCGAAACTTGCACCTTTTTCTGTCATCTTCTTCAAGAACAATCCCAGCTCATCGGAGATAACCAACGACAAAGTTCCCAATGTCACAGGTGCGTTTCTTATTAGACCAGGTAGGAGCCATTGTCGACTTGCCATCCAGCGGTGCATGCCCTTGCTAGACACAGAGTCAAAAGGAATCATTTCCAATAATAATGTTCGATGAATCGAGATCTTCGCGATATATGACTATTGGGTCTGTGGTTGCTGCAAAAGCCTTTATAAAGAGCTCGCTGGAGTAGACAGCTCGCTGGGTCTATATCGGAGGGTTTGCCGTAAAGAATAGGGGTGAGCTTGCGGTCAATAATACCCGTCAAGAACGACACGGTGTCGTTGCCTGTGTGTGGGCAAAGGTCAGCGTTGTCCGGTCATGATCGCAAGCTACCTTCAGCATACATCGACGTTGAGAGCACTCCACAAGTTGCGTAAGTATGCGTCCTATCTGAGCGACAGCTTTATCCCGGTTCTCTCGACACTGAGGGATGTTCTCCGTCCACTGTAATGGTGTTCCGCGTATCCACGTCGAAACGATGTAAGGAAATGCAATTGGGTTGTCAACCCCTGAGCAGTACCCTACAAGCCTCGGTGACCAAGTAAAATCACATCGTTCAAGACTTTTCAAGATTGAGGCTTCTTCCTCGACGGTGTTACTGATCATCTCTGGTGGAAGATGTCTGATGTGTATTGGAACGCGAATTACCCACATACTCTCATCAGAAAAGCCAACGGCGTATACTCGACATTGTTTCCCCGAGAGCGGTGTTGAGTCTATATCAAAACGGAACGAGCCCACCTTGCCGTCCGGACGTAGAGACGTGATGATGCAAAGAACTGATTCAGAGCAATCGCATCGCCAATAGCGCACATCTTGCCTGGGTCGAGGACTCACTGTCGAGCTGGGCCAAGCTTCTGGTCGGCTACTTTGATGACATGGTCGATCTCGAGGCTTTGCGCAGCTGCTGCTTTACCTGAGATGATGTTGTTAGGAACGGCGATTCCGCCACTGTTGCAAGGGTTCCAGAAAGCAGGGTGATCAAAGCCTGAGCAAAAGCGGCGTTGCTGACTAGCCGGGCCGCGGCGCGTGCCTGGGTTTCGTGGCAGACTAAAGGTACCCAGGTACTCTAGGTACTTTGTAGTTGGTGAGGAGTAGGGTGCCACTTCCGGTATCTTTGTGACGGGTCGCTCAGTGGTTCACCCAGGAACCTCTTGCCATCTCTCTCTCGCTCATATCCGGGGACGCTCCCTCGAACCCCATTCCTCGCCCGCCCTCCATCGCTTCAATATCTATACCTTACACCAACACCGGCTCTCGCGCTGCATCACTCGCCCTTTTCCCTCTCGACACTACTTGCAGGCTATGCGAGTCCCACGCACCTGGCTTGGCTTGTGTCCTCTGCTTTGATTTTTTGCACAATTCTTTTTTGTAAGTCTACTTGCCAACAACTCTTATGTCTCTGGTTTTTCTGCGCCCGTTTGATGATACTATCCTCTCGACGCACACACGATCCTGTGTGCCGACTACCCTCAACTTAGCCCCGTGTCTTTGCACGAATTTGCAGTCTCTAACCAGGAAAAAGAATTTGTGCAGCCTCTGACCTCCGGGTTTCCGATTTTACAATATCCGATCGATCGCATGGTCTACATCGCCCCTTACAACTCCGCGACGATGCCCCTGGTATCTTGACACTACCTATTTTTTTTTCCCTCGCGCATCGCTCCCCTATGCCAAATTCGACGACCAACATATCCTCCCGATCGTTCCACCCGACCTCGAATCTCCTCAGCCTCTGAAATAACTCCCTATAATCCAAACCGCGGCGACCATGGCTCCCGGAATGACGGCTAGTGCGACCGCCACGACCAGTGCACGCAGTTCTGTCGGCCCAACCAAACCCAAGTCAAAGGTCAACTCCAATGGCTACCATCCGACCGCTACCATCCCTCTCAGCGCCATGTCCAGCACAGCGCTCGATCTCACTTCCGTCGAACGCCGAGGTCAGCCCACGGCCCCCCGCGAACCCATCAGGAAGGCCAGCAGACCTCACGGTATCTCCGATGCCCCGACTTATTATCCGACGGCAGAGGATTGGCGCGATCCCTCAGAATATATGAAGAAAATTGCACCCGAGGCCTCCCAGTATGGTATCTGCAAAATTATCCCCCCGGACTCTTGGAATCCCGACTTCGCCATCGACACAGAGGTAAGCCTTCGTCTCGACTCATTCTACTGCCACCACCCAGCAATGTTCCGTTTCTAACCATGTCACAGAAATTTCATTTTCGCACCCGAAAACAAGAGCTCAACTCTGTTGAAGGCAGTATGTTTCCATTTCAATCCCACTCAACGCTTGTCACACGCCACTCACACCTCACCTCACAGGTACGCGCGCAAACCTGACATACTTGGACGGTCTTGGCAAGTTTCACAAGCAGCAAGGCAATAACCTACACCGTCTACCCTATGTCGATAAGAAGCCCCTGGATCTCTACCGTCTAAAAAAAGCTGTCGAATCCAGAGGAGGCTTTGACAACGTATGCAAGCTGAAAAAGTGGGCAGAAATTGGTCGTGATCTAGGATATAGCGGCAAGATCATGTCTTCGCTGTCTACATCTCTCAAGAACTCGTATCAGCGATGGCTGTGCCCATATGAAGAATATCTTCGCCTTGCCAAACCTGGCGTCCACCAGCAGCTGGAACAGGAATACGGCGGACCCTTGACGCCAAGTCCCGCACAAACGCCCATCAAGCGTTCTGAGGTTAACACGCCATCTGGAACAACCGCCAAGTCTCCCGCCAGGAATGCCTCCGAGGCCCTACAAAATGGCCTCAAGCGGGAGGCCGACCGTGATACCCCTATGCTTGATGCGCCACCTGCTCCCATGTCCGGAGGCTCCGGATTCACGGCTGTGAATTCCGGTTTCACCAGCATCAACAGAGCCTCTATTGACCGGAAAAGCTTCACCCCAGAAGTGGTTAGTACCAGGAATGTGACACCAGATGATCACACTGGCCTTGGCAGTGCTGCACAAGTCAAACAAGGAACCAGCACTGACGTTGTGTCTGATGCTTCAAAGAAAGAAGCCGACGGCGACAATGAAGACGGCGCAAATCGCCGCAGCAAGCGTCTCAAGAGAGAGAATGTCCCTACCGTTGCTGGCTCGCATATGACACCATTCCGCCCCTCCGTTCCTCGCATCCCACGTGAAGAAGATCTGCCTGCAGGCGAAACTTGCGAAACTTGCGGCCAGGGAGAGGCCGCTGGATCATTGCTTGTCTGCGAATCTTGTGATAACTCGTACCATGGTCTTTGCTTGGACCCCCCTGTGAAGCGCAAACCGGACGCTGAATGGAACTGCCCTCGCTGTCTTGTTGGCGATGGACAGTTTGGCTTTGAAGAGGGCGGCCTATACTCACTCAAACAGTTCCAGCAAAAGGCCAACGACTTCAAGCAAGGATACTTCGAGAAGAAGATGCCATTCGATAGCACCTTGAAATGTCACAGGCCTGTTACCGAGGAAGATGTCGAGAACGAATTTTGGCGTCTTGTTGCTGATTTGGAGGAAACTGTTGAAGTCGAATACGGCGCCGACATTCACTGCACTACTCATGGTTCCGGCTTCCCTACGCTCGAAAAGAACCCTGGTAACCCTTATGCTGCGAGCGGCTGGAACCTCAATGTGCTCCCATTTGCCTCGGAGAGCTTATTTCGACACATCAAGTCGGACATCTCTGGCATGACCGTTCCTTGGGTGTACGTTGGCATGATGTTTTCTACATTCTGCTGGCACAACGAAGACCACTATGCCTATTCGGCTAACTACCAACATTTTGGCGCCACAAAGACGTGGTACGGTATACCCGGTGCTGACGCTGAAAAGTTCGAGGCCGCCATGCGAGACGCTGTGCCAGAACTATTTGAAACACAGCCGGACCTTCTCTTCCAACTTGTGACACTGCTCACCCCCGAGCAACTCACCAAGGCTGGCGTCCGCGTGTACGCCATCGACCAGCGTGCTGGCCAGATGGTCATCACTTTTCCACAGGCTTACCACGCTGGCTTCAATCATGGCTTCAACTTCAACGAGGCCGTCAACTTTGCCCCGCCAGACTGGGAGTCCTATGGTATGGCTGGTGTGGAGAGGCTACAAGCCTTCCGACGACAGCCTTGCTTCTCTCACGATGAACTGTTGTGGACTGCTGCCGAAGGAGCGTCGGCCAGCCTGACAATTTCTACAGCCAAATGGCTCGGGCCAGCGCTCGAGCGCATCCAAAAAAGAGAATTGGCTGATCGTGAACTGTTTGTGAAACGTCATCTCTCATCGGCGACTCACAAATGCCAATGCTTCAACGAAGGGGACGGAAACTGCCCCCTTTCGCTCAAGATTGAAGACGAGGATATCTTGGACGAAGATGAACAGTGCTGCAGTTACTGCAAAGCCTTTGCTTACCTCTCCAGATATAAATGCCACCAGTCTGGCAAAGTTTTGTGCATTTTGCATGCAGGTAATCATGCTTGCTGCAATGAGAGCGAAGAAAACCGGTACCTCGGCGCGGGTCACACGCTCTACTACCGCAAAACGGAGGAGATGATGAGAGATGCCCATACAAAGGTTATTGAGAAAGCAGATACCCCTAGACAGTGGGAAGAGAAGTACGCAAAACTCCTTGATGAAGAGATGACTCCGTCGCTGAAATCTCTTCGAGGCCTCCTTCACGAAGGCGAGCGCATTCCCTTCGATCTCCCGTCCCTGCCCATTCTGAAAGAGTTCGTCGATCGATGCAACGAGTGGGTCGATGAAGCAACGACCTACATTGTGCGCAAACAACAAAATCGACGCAAAAACGAACGAGCCTGGCAGACTGGTACGCGTAGATCCATCGGCAACTCATCCCAGGATCAAAAAGAACCCGAATCTCGCAACGTGAGCAACATATACCGACTCCTTCAGGATGCCGAGCACATTGGTTTCGATTGCCCGGAAATTTCACAACTTCTAGAGCGCTCGGCTTCCATCGAAAAGTTCCAGACCAGTGTTTCGGAAGCGCTGAAGAAAGACGCCAGCCCTGACGTGAAGCTCCTCGAGGAATTGCTTGAGGAAGGACGCAGCTTCAACGTAGATACGCCCGAGATCGAAGCTCTATCCAGGACGCTTCGCCAGAAGCGGTGGAACGAAAAAGCCGAAGCCAGCCGAAAGCTGCCCCTGACCCTCTCCGACGTTCAGGATCTGATTGAGGAAGGCAAGCGACTGGGCCTTGAGATCTACAACGATCACTTCAAGTTTTACTGTAATCAGATGGCGGCCGGCGAATCCTGGGAAGCCAAAGCCAGAGAGCTGATTCACGCCGAATTTGTTCACTACCCACAGCTCGAAGCATTGTCTAAGCAGGTACAGGTGGGCGCTCTGCCCGTTTCCAAGGATACACTGGCTGCAGTTGATCAAATTCTGCATAAGCAACGGGAGGCTCATCGCCAAATTCTCGACATCACTGAGCGCTGCCGTGAAGACGACTTCCGCAAACGCCCAATGTATAGCGAGGTCGTTGATGTAACAAAGCAACTGGAAGATCTGAATTCGAAACCGAACGGCACGTTGGACCTTGAAAATGAGCGCAAGCGCCACGAAGACTGGATGCGCAAGGGCAAACGCCTATTTGGCAAGTCTAATGCGCCATTGCATATTCTCAAAAATCATCTGGAATATGTTCTAGAGCGTAACTTGGACTGCTTTGACACCGAACACGATACTCCCCGCCTCCCTGCAGAGCCTGTGTCCAGAGAGCAGAGCCCAGATGGGATCAAGAATACCGAGGACACTCGCCGTCGCCAGGTTTTCTGCATGTGTCGAAAGGTTGAGGCTGGCATGATGATTGAATGCGAGCTTTGCCACGAGTGGTATCATTATAAGTGCCTCAAGATTGCGCGCGGCAAAGTCAAGGAGGATGACAAATACACTTGTCCCATCTGCGACTGGAGAATGAAGATTCCTAGAGATGCAGCCCGCCCCAAGCTCGAAGACTTGATTGCGCTCATTGAAGAAGTGCCACATCTTCCCTTCCAGCCTGAGGAAGAGGAGGTTTTGCAGAGTATTATTTCGAACGCACAAAACTTCCGCGAGTATGTGTCGCGGTACTGTAACTCCCTTGTCTCAACAGAAGCAGAGGCCGAGACGCAACGATTCTATCTACGCAAACTCGAAGGTGCTGAAGTGCTACTTGCGTATGAGACCAATTTCTTTCGCCAGGAGTTGCACAAATGGTACCCAGTCGCCCCAGATGCACCACCCATCCTGGAGGTATCCCTCAGCACCCGAAAGCCACGACCCACGAAGCTGCAGAAGATGCTTGTAGAATATGGCGTCGATAACCCCGACGACCTGCCAGAGCATGCCAAGGGTAAGGCCAATAGCCTGCGACGCAAGGCCGCCAATGCCGAGGCCGCGGCTGCCGCAGCTCAATCAGGGCCCGGCTCTCTTCAACCGCCATCTTCGAACGTTTCTTATGGAGGACCAGCCTATTATTCTCAGGATGGGCAGGGAGACTCGGACAGGCGCGACCACTCGGAGGACGATGGCAATGATGATTCGGTGGCGGATCATCCCCGGGAGAAGTCAACGTCCGAGGGCCGAGAGAAGTCCGATGATGGACGGTCTCTTGGCGAAGCCATTGAGGACGTCAATATCCACACGGAAGCGGGTAAAGCAAAGGCACTCGAAATCTTGGGCCGAACAGAGGATGGGAAAAGGCAGGCTGAGAAGATCTGGGGCTCCGATGTATGGGCCAAGCGGGCCCTGCGTGATGCCGATGTGATCACTCCAAAGCGGGTGGACGAGTCCAAAGACGAGGCTAAGACGGAAAAGATGCTCACAGACACGAGTGACGAAAAGCGGGCTGAAGAAAGGAGCAAGGAAAAGAAGGACGTGAACGACGCCAAGATGACTACGGAGTCTCTGGAGGACGAGCGAAATGGACTGGATGCAATGATAGACGGGGAGTAGCGGATACTTGGGCACTGTAACAGAATAGGCGTTGGGCGGAGTGTTTGTTATTTTGTTTTATTTTTTTTTCGCTAATTTGCTTGGTGGAATTTTTGCAGCGGAGTTGAGCGTGAGGATGTATGAGTATAATGGGTGGATTCAAGGCACCAACTGTACGGACATGGGATCCCAGGCGTAAGGGCATGACTGCAAAACGTTCTTTGCTCCGGAAAAAGGGCCTGTTTCGAGATATCTTGGTCATTTTGTTTGTTTTTCTTCTTGGGATTGATTTACTTTGCTTGAACGCGGCGAGATACATGAAGATGCGACTGCGGTCAGTCCGACCTGAAATTTGCAGGTCTAGCGCACCATTCTTTGTTTAAAGTACTCTATGTAACCAATACATAGTAGAGTAATATTAGAGCGTTGAGCCCGCTGTAGTGTGTCTGAAGGGTTTCATGGCAGGGTGATGTCTGTTCTTTCTAACATGAATTTTAATGTTGTAGTCAGGCTCGCAAAGGCTGTCCAAGCTGGAAGGATCTCACTAGTGCACTTGTTCACCACATGATAATGCAAGGTTATGAACGTTCTGAATAAATACTTGATTTTTACAGGGTATACAAGTTAATTATAGTACCTCTTAGGTTTGTAGGCGGGATATGTTATATATGTTATGTGAGGCTTATACATGTAGTAGAAACCGCTTATACAAATATCACTATTAAAAACAAACGCTGATAACGCCGCAGTATAATGTTGAAGATGTGGATAATCCGATCCAGTTTCCCTCGCTGTCGCTCATTCCTCCATGGTTCCTTTCTTGTCCGTAGTCGTGGGCGCGCCGGACCGAGGCTTTTGGACGACTGTTATTTTTTTTAGCGGTTGATGCCGACGAGGGAGAGGAACTCGTTGCGCGTCTTGGACTTGCGCTCGAAGCAGCCAAGGACGCATGAGGTGATGGTGGACGTGGCGGTTTGCTCGACGCCGCGCATGACCATGCAGAGGTGGGAGGATTCCATGACGACGGCGACGCCCTGGGGCTTGAGAATGTCCATGACGGCGTTGGCGACCTCCTTGGTGAGGCGCTCCTGGACCTGGAGGCGGCGGGCGTACATTTCGGCGATACGGGGGAGCTTGGAGAGGCCGATGACGGTGTTGCGGGGGATGTAGCCAATGTGCATCTATGGTGGCATTGAGTTAGCGGCAGGACAGGCGGGCAGCTGGATATTTGCTTTTTGTAGGCCCGCGTCGAGCGAAGCGAGGAAAAAGAAAAAAAAAGAAGGAAATATTTTTACCTTGCCGGTAAAGGGTACGAGATGGTGCTCGCAGAGGGAGTGGATTGTTATGTCCTTGACGACAATCATTTCGTTGTGGCCCTCGTTGAAGAGGGCATTGTTGACGAGGTCGTCGACGTTGACCTGGTAGCCCTTTGTGAAGAAGAGCATGGCCTTGGCGTAGCGCGAGGGGGTGTCGAGGAGGCCCTCGCGGTCGGGGTCCTCGCCGACGCACTCGAGAAGGGTGCGGACGGCGCCGCGCATCTTTTCCAAGCGCGCGGCGGCTTGTTCGGGGGTTTCCTGGCTACGGGCGCGCGTTCCCTTGGCTATTTGTGTTAGTCAACCCATTGGCGGGAGGAGGAGAAGAAGGGCGTTACCGGCTCGGCTTAGTCCGTCATGGTCGACGACGGGGGCGGGTTGGCGGACGGCGACGGCGCGCGCGTCGTCGCGGGGATCGCGGGCGGCTTTGGAGGTTGAGTTGCGGCGGTGGCCGTTGGCGAGGAGGTGCTGGTCGGAAAAGGGCGGCTTTTTGGGGGCTTGTTCTGTGTCGCCGCCGCCGTTTTTCTTGGAGGAGCGCTTGCGCTTGCGCGACGAGGAGTTGTCGCTCGAGGAGGAGGAGCCGGAGACGGAGGCTGTGTCGGTGCGGTTTTTGGGCATAGTGCGGGGTGTGTGTGTGTGTGTTTGTTGGTTGGAGGGGGTGTTGAGGAGGAGACGGCGGGGCGGGGGGGGAAATCGCGGACGGAGAAAGGGGGGAAGAAAGGAGATGAAGCAATTGAGGAAGAAGGCTCGTTGTGTGAGGGAGTGTGGTTGATGGAGGGAATGAGGCGTTCTAGTGGATGGTGGGATAAGGAAAAAAAAAACAGGGACGGCTTTGTTCGGTTCGCGACATCGGCTTCTGTAGTGGGTGGTCCGGCCGTTTCCACTGGGCTTGAACATGAGGTAATCGGCGTTGCAGCTACGGAGCGCTTCCAGGGTTCTCGGACAAGTCACTGGAGCGGAGAGAATACAGGGGGGTGTTCCGTTCGTTGGGGTTATTATAGCAATGTGAGGTTCTGGTGGAAGGAATAGGTTGTGCTTGGCCCTGAGCTGCTCAGCGGTTGGACTATTCGTACGACAACTTGGACACTAAAACCTAATAACTAAACGACCCGACTTGGATGGCAGACTTGACTGTGCTGCAGACACCTGCAGCGGCTCTGTAAGCCCGGCTGTTCCGTTGCTGTTACCTAATCGTGCCACGGCATCGGACGTGCCATGACGCAGCAATGGCCAGTATAATCAATAACACTCAATATTGATGCAAACGCTGCATCTATGCACCCCTTCCGTCATAAATCACCCCTCCCCCCCTTTAAGAGGTGGTGACCACCTCCGGCCAGTTGGGCCAGCCAGGGCAGGTATACTGCGGGCACTTTATGGACCAGCCATGTTAGTCTCTTTGCATCCACATCACCAAGCACAGGTTGGGAAAAAAACGAGAAAAGAAAAAGGAAAAAGAAACCCCGGAAAGAAAGAGGGTAAAAAGAGAAGAAGAAAAAAACAACGTACGCAGTGGGGATAGTCATCGCCAGGCTCGCCAGGGATCGTGATGCACTGGGAGTTGGGGAAGAAATAGTACTCCGGGCAGTAGTTGTAGACCCAGCTGCCGGGCTTCCTGCCCCGGTCCCGGCCCAGGCACAGCCGTCCACTGTTCTTGTCGTCCTTGGCCGCAGCGTCCGTCACCTTGGTGGCGTCGGTCGCCTTGGGGGGCGCGGCGAGCACCGCGGTGGCGGCAAAAGCGAGGACGGCGGCAAACTTCATTCTGTTGGGATGGTTGTTGGTTCTTGTCTTTGAGCGAAATCGAGGAGTTGTCTGGCCAAAAAAACATATCCCGATGAGACGGCTGTCTACTTATACACAGGCGACCGGCAGGTTTCCGGCCGTCATGAACTCTGGTGCGAGCACAGCAAACAACTTCAAGTTGATGCTTTGATCCACCACATGATGGCAGCTTATTCTGCTTCGTCCGCGCGCCCGCAACCAGCCCAGGCAGGCAATCCATCCACGGGGCGAACTGCATCGCCACTACAGTTTCACGGCTGGCAAAATCTTCGATGAAAACCAAGGACAGCCAATGCGCGCCCTGCCAGCCCGCCGATGCTTGCTCATTATTGTTACAAAGGCCCATCTATTGGTTTATTCATCCTATTCATCGCTTGGGCCCCTGCGCCGGCACAGACTCGCTGGATCAGTCTAGTACGACCCGGGTAGCTGATCAGCCGGAAGGAACTCCTTTCACACACTATACTTCGGGCGCCTCACGATGAAAGCACAAAAGTACCCGAGACCTACGCGCAAACTGAGAATTGGAAAGAGTGCCAAATGTGCTGGCGTGTAACGAGCTGCGTGTCTACCCACAGGTCTGAGACATGCCTAGAGTTTCTCATATATGATGCACTATGACCACGTGGATTTAAGAAAATAAAGAAGGAAATACTTGATGCTCAGCCCTGTCCCGGCTAAAGGACCCATGTTTCAAGAGATCAATACACGATGCAGTCCAGCGACTATTGATCGCCGCGGCCTGTGCAGCGGTGTTTCTGTTCTCCTTGTCTTGTTCCCCTGCTGCTATTGGCTCGCTGAACGATACAGTGACTTTGCAGATAATCACAATATTAATTGTCGGATACCCCATGACTAAATGTACAAGGTCAATATAGATAGCGCTTCTGGCGGTTTAAATGTGGTTTTGTAGTGTAATCCGACAGTCCTTGAGCAACAACCTTCCACGCATGGGGAAATAGGAGTGAATTCAAAGCAGGCGAAAAAACAAGAAAAAAAACACGAAACAGATCGAATCCACACTATTTCAACAAATTTCTATTCCCCAATGACATAAGGTACTCATTTAGAGCCCAATATGTTTCTTCTAACTGGGCTGGAGCTTGTTCAGAAACAATGCTATCGGCCGCAGTTGCGGCAAACCAGCTCTAGCCAGCAGCACTCTGTGTTAAAATTCATCCTGTGGATGATCTAAAATATCATTCATCTCAAAGAAATAATAATCATCGTTTGCACGTCACTTTACCTGTGAAACCGCGCGGTCGGGCTCACGCAACACGTCCGGTCATGTGATTGGCTGGCCGTTGTACAGTCGCGCAACCGCGCTTGAGAAACTTGCAGCTTGCATCTTCGCGCCGAGCCCTTCCCCTGCTCATCCATCTCGCACATCAAATCCCGGCGGCGCATTCCCTCACGCACGTACAAGGCATCGAACCAACATCACGTCCACTCGTTTCGAAGCCCACGATGGCCTCGCCGCCTCCACACGCCGCCTCGCCGGCCGCCATGTCGCCGCCCTACCCCTCGCCCGCATCCATCCCCAGCAGCAAGAAGCGGACCTCGAGCTTCGACGCGAGCAACAAGCCGCCCGCTCTGAAGCGGCGCAAGGCCTCGACGCTCTCGCAGTCGTCGGTGCCGCTGCCGCTCGCGCACCCCCTGCGGCAGACGTCCTTTCCGCCCCCCGAGGCGCGGTCGCCGGCGCCCACGCGCTCGCCCTCGGTCGACGCCACGTCGCACGTCAGCGGCAGCGCGGTGAGCGGCGCGGCGGCGCGGAAAAAACGCCCCGGCGGCGGCCGCAAGTCGAGGGCGGCCAAGGCTGACGACGCCGCGTCCAGCGTCGGCGGCGGTAAGGCGGCCACAACGGCGTCGGGCCAGGGCGGCGAGAAGGAGGACGACGACGAGGACGACGACAAGGCCGAGATGGCGCTCGAGCATGTTGTGGCGCGCACGCAGGAGCAGAAGCAGGAGGAGATTCGGCTGCGCGCGATGCTGGTCGAGGCGTTTGATGGTGAACAGTATAATCGCTACGAACTGTGGCGCGCCGCCAAGCTATCAGATGCCGTCGTCAAGAGGGTAAGTGATTCGTGATTGACGGGTTCGGGTATGTGAGAGGAGCACCAGCTAATGAATAATATCAGGTCGTCAACGCCACCGTCTCCCAGTCGGTCCCGCAAATGGTCAGCACCGCCGTCAAGGCCGTGGCCAAGCTGTTTGCTGGCGAGTTACTCGAGGAGGCGCGCGGGGTGCAGGCCGAATGGATCCGCGCCGGCGAGCACCAGAGTGAGCTGCCCACGCCACCACCGGCGGCGGCTGCCGCGACAGACAACGGTGATGAGGAACCTCCAGCGGAGCAGGACCCGAAGCGCGGCCCGCTGCGGCCAGACCACTTGCGCGCTGCGTGGCTGCGGTACCGTGCGTCCAAGCACAGCCACGGTGTAGGCATGCAGCAGCTGTGGCACAACCAGCAAGGTAGCGGCGTGGAGCGCTTCTCTGCGCGGACGAGGAAGCAACTGTTCAAGTAGACGTGGCTGGGTGGTGGTGGGGAGTTTTGATCGTGGTCCATGATACCCAAGGGTTGTGCTTTTTTTCCCCCATCGATTATTATCATTAGCATTAAAGGCATTCTCGGAGTTTGCAGGATTAAAATTGATTCATCTATTTTTTTTTATGTCTTGGTTTATTCCGCATTGTAATGGCAGTGTCTTGGTTGGTGTTGGTGGAGCGTCTCATTTTTCCACCCACAGGACCCTGAGTTGGTTCGTGTATTTGTTGGATCTGCCACCAGCAGCCCACGCAGGCCTTCAAAATTGAGGAAAAAATCCAGACAGACGCAAAGAAAATATCTCGGTACGAACCCCTCCGCAAAACGGCGGATGAAGCACTGCCCCTCCCCCAATCGCTCCCTGCGCCTGTGACAATACAGTGACATGCCCTGACGAGGGGCCCCACCAGCTGACACAGCACGGACCGTCGACTTTTTGTAAGTGAAGAAACTTTGCACCACCAACATTGTGACACAACTCTCAACACAAACTCGTCCCCAGACACAGTGAACGCGTGACTGGTCCTCTGCCTGCTCCTGGCTCATCAATAAATCAATCATAATACTCTCTACGTGTTGATGTAGTTTTATCTTTGCTTTCCATACACAATGGCCGGTGCCAAGGTACGCTCCCACCCGGTTAGAGCTTTTCCTCCTTTGCGTTGCCCCGTTTCTCGCCGTGTTTTGCCCATTTCCTGTTTGTCGCTGCCTCCAATGCCTCTATGCCTCTTGTTTGTTACAATTCCCGCCGAGCGAAACGAAAAATAAAAACACAGCTAACCCGGCAGCTTCCCCAGATTACGCAAGCCCCCTCGACAAACCCCGCCGCCGAGCGCATCCGCGAGAACCAGCGCCGCTCCCGCGCGCGCCGCAAGGACTTCGTCGACTCCATGCAGCGCCGCCTCGATGAGTACGAGAAGCAGGGCGTCGAGGCCACGCTCCAGATGCAGCAGGCCGCCCGCACCGTCGCCATTGAGAACTCGCGTCTGCGGCTGCTGCTCGCCCGCCGCGGCGTCACTGATCGCGAGGTGGACAAGTTTCTCGCCATGTTTGAGACGGGCATTGCCCGCGACGACGAGATCCTGCACAATGGGAGCGGGCTGCAGGCTCTTCCTCCGCCTGCCCCGGCGGCCTACGCGCCGTCGACTGCATCACCAACAACGGCGATGAGCACATATCAACAACCGAGGCAGTACCACAGCGACGGCCAGTACCATAGCGACAGTGGCATTGACCGCTTAGCTGTCCTAGCAGACGCCAGCATCGGTGACCAGTGCTGCGGCGGCAGCGGCTCGACGGCCAGCGAGTCGACCGTTGCCGCGCAGAGCCCACCCAGCACCGGACCGAGCACCATGCCCGGCACGCCTGTCTCGGGGCCGCACAGCCAGTACTACACCCATCACAGCCATCACCACTCCTACGCTACGCCCCAATCACAGACCACATCTGCCTCGCCGCTCGTCATGTCCTGCAACACGGCCGCGCAAATCATTGCCGAGATGCAAGGGGGGGCGCCGGTCAACCGACACGCCGTCAAGGCTAGTCTGGGGTGCGAGGATGCGGAATGTGAATGCTTTGTCAAGAATACGCTGCTGTTTCAAATAATGGAAAAGAGTGCGTAAAAAAGAAACAAGAAACAGAAAAGAAAAACAAATGTTGGAGGATGAATTGTCACACAAAAAGGAGTTTGGGTACAAAATGTATTATGAGTCTGGGCATGGGCAAATACGAACAAAAGGCGCAGGAAGGGCCTCGCCCAGGATTGGAAAATGTGGGAATGATGGGTGGGAATGGCTGGACGAGGAGATACCCAGAGACAACTCAGGAGGTCATTTGCATTTACGGCCATGTTGGACTTGTATGGATGCTGCATCTGCATGGCAGTTACAACGCAGTTATCACAGCATTCACAGGAGATGTATTGTACAGACACTGCACAATCTACATGTCAATATCCAGTCTTGCATAGGCAAGTATAGCTATTCTACCATCTAGCGAATGACAAGCAATATTATCATTATTTCTATCCACATCCAACACACCACGCTGCATAGGCAAGTATAGCTATTCGACCATCTAGCGAATGACAAGCAATATTATCATTATTTCTATCCACATCCAAACACACCGCGCTTGTCCTACTCCTTCCAGTTCCATCGCGCGCCGAGCCATCTGACAAGATACACCAGCCCAATTAGGACGGGCACCTCAATCAGCGGCCCGACCGTCGCGGCCAGCGCCTGGTCGCTATCGGGTCCAAAAGTGGCGACGGCGACGGCAATGGCCAGCTCAAAGTTGTTGCTGGCCGCGGTGAAGCTCTGCGTGCAGCCGAGGCGGTACCCGAAGCCGAGGCGGCGCGTGGCCCAGAGCGTGGCGAAGAAGATGCACATGAAGTAGACGACCAAGGGGGCGGCGACGCGGACGACGGACACGACCTGCTGGACGACGCGCGCGCCCTGCGAGGCGAAGAGCACGATGATGGTGTAGAGCAGGCCGATGAGCGACCACGGGGCGAGCCAGCGCAGGAAGACGCGCTGGAACCAGTCGCCGCCCTTGGCGCGCCGCAGCGCGAGCCGCGTCAGGATGGCGGCGCCGAGGGGGATGCCGAGGAAGACGCCGACGCTCGTGGCGACGACGCCGTACGAGAGGCTCGGCGTGCTGCCGCTGCGCGAGATGACGCGCAGGAAGAGGATGGCGAGCGGCGCAAAGAGAACCATTTGCAGCACCGAGTTGACGGCCACGAGGATCGCGCAGTACTCTGGGTCCCCGCCCGCGAGCCCGTTCCAGATGAGCACCATGGCGATGCAGCGCCCGAGCCCGACGAGGATGAGCCCGGCGCGGAGGGAGGGCTCGTCGGGGAGGAACGCCCATGCAAGGGCCATCTAGAAATGGTCAGAAGACCAGTTCAAGAAGGACATGTGGGGGGGAAGGGGGCTGACGAACCATGAAAAAGGGCGCAACGACCCAGTTGATAAAGACGGAAAAACCAATCTGCTTCCACAGCTCCTTTTGGCGGAGAAGGAGGTGCAGCGTCTCGTACCGGACGTTGCAGAGAATGGGATACATCATGACCAACAGGCCAATTGCTGTACAGGACGATTGTCAGCCGAGAAGGGAAAGGGGGCGTGGGAGGATAGAAGATGGGTTTACCGATGGGCACGGAGACGTTGACAAACTGGCCGCGCTGCAGCGACTGGCCAATGTGCGGCACGAAGTTCCCGAGCAGGATGCCAATCACCATGGCGAGGAAGATCCAGACGGCCAGGAAGCGATCCAGCAGCCCGAGGGACTTGAACGCAGAGACTTTCTTGTCCGACGGCGGTGTCTGGCCGCCGCACTCGAGGGCGTCCTCGGTGGGTGGTGGTGCTTTTTCCATGTTCTCTTTAGTTTCCATGGTTGATGGCTTTGTTTTCAAGGTGGAATAGGGGAAACCGGAATTTCGTGGAGAAAAGAGTTAAAAAGAAAAGAGAAGGTGAGAAAAAGGTACGACTCAATGGAAAGATGGAGGAGGATGGTCGAGGTTGGCGGAACGGGTTATACTTGGCAGGGCGGATGGGGGCTGACCGGGGAAGAAAGTCGAGATTTCGGCTGGGCCAATCACAGGGCCGGAGTGACGCGACAACTTGGACCGAGATGCTGTGGGCCCTGCGATAACCGCCATCGCTCACATAATATGTAGATTTATTCCATGATATTTGCTGCGTATCCGAAATTAATATTTTGGATGGGCGACGGAGAATTTATTGTTAGGCAAATGATTGGGTTCGTGGAATTTGCCGTCCGCATGGCCAAAATGGAACCAAATGCAAAAGGAGCTAGAAACGGATGGCAAGTCCTGGTACAAGATGACATAAGGAGAAGGGGAAGAAGACCCCCAAACGGAAGCAGACTAGTAGACAACATCTCAAACTGAGCTACTGAGCAAGAAGTTACGATATGGCTGGGCTCTACAGCATAATTTCCTAGCTCATACACGGGTATATAAATGGACTCAATAGTGACAGCTAAATGCAGATGTATTCATATCCGGCCTTTAGTGATTTTCACGATTTCAATCCTGCTATCCTATAATCGGACAGGGTTCATCCCAGCACTTATCCCAGTGCGTCATGCCCGATGTCCAGAACCGCCTGAGCCTCGCAATGATGACCAGCGGATGCACAGCAAAGACATGCTGCGCGGCGTCTTGGAGACACTGGCAGATGAATGCCCGGTCAGACAGCGTGCCACCATCCGCGAGGGCACACCCAGCGACTGCCAGCGGCCAGTTGAGCGCGTCTCTGCAATGCTCGAGCTTCCAGGCTGCCTTGAGCAAGGCAAGGAGAGAGCTACGTCTCTCAGCTTTATCCATGGACCCTAGCCCGGCGTATTGAAGAGCCATCAGGCAGAACAAGCCGACGGCAAGCTGATACACGCTGGCCATGAGAGGGACCTCGGGTATGTTAGGCAGCTCGTAAGCGGCCTCGGTCCAGGCGGTTGGTTGGAACGCGTCGATGCGTTGTAGGATGGTGAGTGCGGCCGTAAAGTGCCCCAGCGACGGGTCGGAATGCATCTTGACCCGCAGGTTGTTCGTTTCAATAATGCCCTCAAACAAGTAAGTAGGGCAGGGAAAGCTCGGATGAAGGATTTGCCCGTGGAAGAAGAGCAGTTCCTCAGTTGTGAAGGCGGATGTGCCAAGGATCTGGTTATCTGGCGGGGCAACAGAGTTGGCGAGGATAGCCTCCCTGATGCATGGGTCAGCGCTCGTCCCAAACGAATGCAGGCTTACTTACATTAACATTCCCTTGCTATTCTTGATCAACCCTTCATGTCCTTGTGCAAATTTGGCGCCACCACAGAATCGAAGCAGCGACAAGAACCCCTCCATGTGGTTCCTCCAAATCGGCGATTGCAGCATCAACTCGACGCACTTGATGCCCTGGATCCGGGTCAAGACCCTGATTTTGGCGGCATCGGTGGCATCGGGACGTGCGATTTCAGCGTTGATGCAGGTGATCTGATTTGATATGCACGTGTAGAGGCGTTCCCACAAGTGCTTGGTGCGGTACGCTTCGCTGGGCTGGACCAAATTGCCGCGGTCGTGGGAAATCTGCGTGATACGGTAGGCAAGGATAAAGGCAATAAAGGCATCATAGTTGGCCACATTCTTCCCGAGGGGTCTATGGTACTTGATGGGAATGGCCTCGAATTTTGATATCTTGCACAGGAGATATGTATTAACTAGTGCTATAATTAACAGGCTGGTTCTCGCGGCATGAACGCAACAGAAGCCGGGAAGTGGGCAAAACTTGCAGTATGTTACGGACTCGGAGTAATACCAATCTGGAGGAAGGATATCGGCACCCAGAGTAATGTCTTGGCTTCGCGCAGGTCTCCGTTGATGCCGCCTAGACTGAGCTTGTGAGGTGGATAAGGGTAGCGCTGCGGCATGATATTGTTGAGTGCCGCCATGTCTGACGGCTATTGATGCGGTGGTATAATTGTGCGACTCTCCGGAATCGTGCAGCGTCTCTGGTTCTGGTGACAAGAGGCCAGAGTAGACGCAGCGCCGACAAGCTGACGGCGGCTCGTCGCACTTGACGGGGCCGGCGCTATTATCCGAGGACACCGTCGCGGCAGGCTTTGGCCGGATATGAACACTCCGTCTGGGCAGCGCATCCGAGGACGCGCCCGTGCCTGGCGGATTCAACTCATAATGACACTTGGCGTTGCGCTTCTGGCAGCTCTTACACTTGGGTCTTGCCTCGTCGCACTTGACGCGCCTCGCACTGTGCAAAGCTGGTGCGTGAGCATATCTTGCATTGCAGGCATGCACGAATACTGCTATTGCAACAAGCAGGGCCGGGCAAGGCATGGAAGAGAGGAATGCAGCTTACCGGCAGCTCAGGCAACCTGTCCTGGATCTGGGCGCCCATCGCTTTGTTCGCGGAGCCTCGGATGAATGGTCCTTGTCCTGGTCGCCTCCGACAACTTGGCCGGACCTCGGCCGGTCTGGTGACACTGTCGTCGACATTGCGACGAGATAGCCACAGCCGGGATATATGGCGCCGGCGGAAAATGAGAGTTTCCGGATACTCGGATGGCAAGATGTCGAGGAAGCTTAGTTCAGCGGGCCGCCGATGGCTTGGGCAAGGCGGACTATAAGGCTGCGCCCGGCTGAACCTAGTAATTTGATGAGTCAACGGCTGCAGAACGCTCATTGGCTCACAACTACACTGTGCACTTTTAACAACAGCTAAACAATTTGGGTAGGTCCCTATGGAGGCTCTTCTAAGTTTTATAGGTGATAGTACTAACGTTAATTTTCAACCAGTATTAATTATATCTATCAAGGACTACCATCACGATGGCTAGAATTGATAATTATGCTATGATAAAGCTAGCGGCTAGAACGGCGGTGGCGGCGGCGGCAGTATTAATTATTAACTCGTCAAGGCGTTGTTCTAGCCCTAAATTTACGATAACATACTATTATATTGCCTGCGTTGCCTCTATCGCTTACATTATCTGTATTGTCTATATCGTCTATATTGTTAATATCTATATTATTATTTTGATAGGTTGCGTTTGGGTACAGCGAGCTTGGTCCAGACGAAGGAACTTACCCTGTAGGAAGTGTGGTGACGAGACGACACCTGTAGCAAGCTGCGCTCCTTCATCGGATGCCTAGCATGCGCCATGTAAAACCTGAGGTGGCTGTTTTGCGCAAATAAATAGGCAGTCCTGTTTCGTCACTTGTTTGTGGAAGCGCCAGCCCTTATTGGTTCTACCTGAAATGTGAGTTGAGTGGAGTTAGACAATCAATCAGGAACAGGGCAACAACGCGCCAGACTGCCGCTGAGCATTCCACCAGAGCGAATCGCACTCCCGCGGGTTAATCGGAAGGAGAGCGTAAAGAAGGGTCTACACTGAGGTGGGATAATTAGAGGCCTGCATGTCTTGTGTGCAGGCTGCAACACTCGCAACCGTTCAACAATTCGTGCAACAGGAGAGCACAGAGCGCATGACCAACACAAGAGAATCATACGGCTGCCTCGGTCGACGCCTTGGTCGTGAAACCCCGAAATGGGACTTGGCTGTTGTATAAATAAGGAGTAGCTACCTGTGCAGATGTCTCTCTCAACTTCTGAATTCGGTTGGTCCATACTCAAATTCTTGCCCTCCAACGATCGCCAATATCAATTCTGCCTGGCCTTGACTCTTCTTGGACCAAACTACTCAAAAACCACTCGAAAACATCACAGGTACAGTGCTTGAAGCCGTTGGTACCTGCACTGAGGTCCCTGCTAACACTCAGTAGAAACATGTGCCGGCACAGAGCCATTATGTACGACGAGTGTGGCCATTTCGACCGTCGTGGTCAGAAGTGCTGTATATTGGTCTTTCTCCGACAGAGGTATTGCTCTGCGGCGAAGATTAAAGTCAAAAGGCACGTGATGGGCACATGTGATGCGTGTTCCATCGATCGGTTACCTTTGCCTTGGTGATTGCGCCGGCATTGTTTGGATTCTTTGCTCGCGGTGTCATGTTGCTAGTCCAGGGAACCTGTTGAACTTAGAAGAACCTTTCTAGACTTGGAATCAGAAAAATGTTACTACTCAATAGCCACAACTTTTACGGCTGTTGGTGTACACGTCGGACTCCCTCCATGTCTGCGCAATGATGGTACATAGCTAGGGATGAAGTAGATAGCTCTAAGTGCTTCTTCTGTCCACACGTGGCCTTTTACCGATTCTATACTATTTTCAGTGTTAGCTGTGCCTGGGAAAAACTACAAATGGCCTGGACTAGTTTCGTCATGTAGGTTCATCTAGTGACAAGTCAATGACGGCCAGCCAGTCTCGGAAGCAATCTGGATCCAACTAGAGCAAGGGACTAGCTAGTTCTTAAATAACAAGAAAACAAGGCGTCCAATTATTCGCGACGTCGTCAGCTTGATTAGCCACCGCGGCAACTAGTCGTGTGGACAGATCAAGAGGCGGCTGTCCGCACTGAATCGTAAAAGAAGCCCTCAATCGTAACAAAAACCCTCTCCCCTCTATGCTTCATTCTCTCCTAACCCTGCTCTTCTCACCCCATCCACCATGAAGATCGCCCTCGCCCTCGCCACCCTGCAGGGCCTTGTTGTCCACGGCATCCGCATCGTCCACAGCAACGATGACGGCTGGGCCGAGCTCTTCACGCGTTCCTTCAACGACGTCCTGCGCGCCGCAGGCCACGACGTGGTCCTCTCCTGCCCTGCCAGCGACAACTCCGGCTGCTGTACGTTGTCGTTTCCCCCGCCAAGTATCATGCCCAACTTAATACTCACCCTTCCCCCCCCCGCACCCCCGGGATGCAGCTTCTTTCGACGATAAGCCAAAATCCCGCGTCATGCCCTGCCAGTACAACTCGTGCCCAGAGTACGCGGGCCCGACCGGGTTCAACGCCTCGCGGCCGGACCTGCACTGGGTCAACTCCTTCTCGACCACGGCGATGCGGTACGGGATCCAGACCTTTGGCCCGCAGCACTGGGGCGACACGGCCGAGCTCGCCGTCGCCGGCGTCAACGTCGGCGCCAACATCTTCCTCACCGTGCCCTTTTCCGGCACCGTCGGCGCCGCCGTCTGGGCCGCCGGAAGAGCGCACATCCCCGCCATCGCCTTCTCCGGCGACGAGGACCGCCGCAAGACCGCGCGCTGGGACACCTTCCCGCCCCCGCGCGCCGCCGCCGTCTACGCCCAGCTGGCCATGAACCTGACCAGTGTCGTCATCGCCGGCGGCAAGCCGTACCTGCCCAAGGAAGTCTTTCTCAATGTCAACTTTCCCAGGATTAACGAGCGCTGCTCCGACCCGACCACGTTCCGGTGGGTGCTGACCCGCATCAACCCGGGCTGGTTCTCCCCCAAAGATGTCAAGTGGTGCGGTCGCAGGCGGCTCCCGACGGAGCGCCGCGTCCATTCCAAAAAACGCTGCTACGTCTCCGTCAGCATCGGCAACGCCAGGGACAAAACGACGTCCAACGACGTGAAGAAGCAGCAAATGGTGCTCGACAGGCTCAAGAGCATGCTTTCCTGCATGCGTTGAACATTGCACGACGACGACTGTCCGTCCAACGCGGGTCTGTATATATAAACACAGTACATAATGTAAATACCTTTTGTCCCATAAATTCATTGTATTCATGTCTATGCAATTTGCTAGCTCTTCATTTATTTTCCACCCTTGCCAGTGGGAATGGCAAACAGAACAACGCGGGGTCCCTTTTCACCCGCCTCGCCCTCGGCCCAGTCGCCGAGGCCCTTGTCCACACGGAAAAAGCCACGGCGCTCAAGCTGGATAATGTCGTCCGTCTTGAGCTTTCCAACGCCAGGGTCGCACACAGCCTCCTCCATGCTGGCCGTGTTGGGGTTGAGGAAATCCTCAATGTTGTCCTCTTCCTCGAGCTTGTCCTTGGTAATGAGGTAGTCAAACTCCCACAACTCAGCCGGTACCAGATCGAAGCCCTGCGCCGAGAGCCACGTCACCTTCTTCTCGGTCGACTTGAAGTCGCCCTTGATGTTGAGCTCGAGCTTGAGGCTGGGGATGGGGTCGCCGGACGGGATGTCCCTGACAAACGCGTTACCCCACCCCATGAGAGTAATCTCCTCGTCAGTCTTGAAAGTCTTGGCGTCGACTTGGTCAAGATATATCTGAGGGGAAAAGTATACCTGCTTGTTGCCAACGTCGGGGTTCTTGGGATGCTTGGGGCGCTCCTCAACCACGACGCCGGAGGGAGTGTCGGCGCCAGAAAGGTCAACCTTTACCAAGTCCTTCTTCAGCAGAGCAGTGTGGCGGGGAGCAATGGGGTCAATCTCCTTTTTGTTAGCAGCCCAGAAAGTGGTCCAGTCCATCGAGACAATGTTACGGCTAGGGCCTTGCTTAATGATGAAGTCACGGAGGGCAGCAACCGTCATGCCGCGGCGGCGGACACCACGAACAGTCGGCATGCGAGGATCGTCCCAACCCCAGACCTTGCCGCTGTCGACGAGCGTGGCAAGCTTGCGCTTGGAGAGGAAGGTCTTGATAAAGTTGAGGCGGGAAAAGTCCCACATGTGTACTTTTCGGAGGCCTAGAGTATCAAGGAACCACTGGTACTGAGGGTTGCGGTCGGTGTACTCGGTGGAACGGAGAGCGTGGGTGATGCCCTCGTGGCTGTCGACGACAGGGCAGGCAAAATCGTACATGGGGTACATGTTCCACTTGCGGCCAGTGCGGTGATGAGCATGTTCAACATTGCAGCGGTAGATGACGGGGTCGCGCATGGCCTTGTTGGGATTGTCCACCGAGAGCTTGGCACGCATACAGTTGGCGAGACCCTCCTCGGTACCCTTCTTCATCTCCTCAAAGATGCGCAGGTTCTCCTCGATGGTTCGATCGCGGCGTTTCGAGGCAATGCCGTCCATGCGCTCATCGCGCATCACCTTCAATTCCGTGTCGTCGGCGTACGCCATGCCCATCTTGATCATCTTGATGCACATGTCGTAGAGGTAGTCAAAGTAGTCCGACGTGTAGGTCAGGATGTCAGGCTTGATGCCCATGAGAGCGAGATCCTCGACAATGGCGTCCTGGAACTCTTGCTTTTCCTTGGACGGGTTTGTATCGTCGAGACGAAGGCGCATTTGGCCCTTGTAGGCGACATGGCCAAAGTAGTCGGAGAGGAGGGCCGCCTTGGCGTGTCCGATGTGGAGGTAGCCACTGCAACAGTCAGTACGCGTTGTGAAGCAGGCATCGTTAGTGGGAGCTTACGAGGGCTCGGGAAGGAAGCGGGTCACGACACCCTTATCGGTATCCTGGAGCGCGAGGTTGTAGTTGGCACCGGCCTTGCTGGCGGCCGCCGTCTTGGCCTTGGAGGCGGCGTCGGCCGCCTTGGCCTCCTCGCCGAGCTCGGGGTGCGCCTCCTCGATGTAGCTGAACCAGCGCGACAGGTGACCGAGCGTGTTCTTGCGGATGAAGCCCATAGCCGCCTTGTTGGCGCGTAGGCTCTGCCAGGCCTTGGTGTCGAGGGGGCCGAGGGCGAAGCCGTCGAGGTAGGTTCGCAGCGTCAGGTGCTTGTCGATGGTGCGCAGATGGGGCTCAATGGAGCGGAAATCGCCACCGAGGCTGGCGGCCACGGTCTCGAGCTCGTCGTGCTTCATTGTGATGGTGTTTGCAGTGCAACGAAGTCGGTCGTGGAAAGGGTAACTGATGAGGTCAAGTTTTGAGTCATGGATTTTCGGTCCTGGTGGGGAGTCGATGGAGGGGTTTTTGGCGGGGTAGCACGCGCTTGACCAGCCAATGGCTACAGAGGTGTCGGTTCCATGTGAGGGATTCATTATAAATAAATTCACTGTTGAGAATGTTATAATGAAAAATATGAATCACGGAAGAATTCTCTCCTCAATACCCAAGCAACTCAGTCCCAAGTCCTACCTGTAGTGTCTAAACAGCGGGCAGCGGTTCCAATACCCGTCGAAGCTTAGCTATCTTGAGCATTCAACACCCTCCTTCTAATATGATTTCCATCGGACTGTCGAAATAAGACATGAATCATTGCTACTACTTAGATTGTGTCCTCATTCTTCTGATATTATGACCCTGTCCCGCTGCAGGGCCGAAGTCAACTCGTGCCCGTATAAGCCCAACTCTGGTCAGGCACACGACCCAGCGTTCTACGCCCAAACAGGTCCAAGAACTTCGAATAAAACAAAAGGTTGAATTTCCAAGGTTTTCTTTATAGCTTCAAGCCTATATATGACAATTCTGAATTTCCCATATTTCTGTGCAATTTTACGCTGGCGATGTACAACTCAGTCTGCATAGTGGTTTATCGATAAGGACTTTTGACGCCTAACTTTCCAGGCCCGATCATTTTTTCGAGATGCCTCCATTTTGCGACAGGAGCTGCACCGAGCTCGAGATACAACCACATATACCATTCACAACACAAAATGCCTGCCGTCGATAAATGCCTGGCCTCTCTGGCTAGGCTGAGCCTGCTACAAGCCTCCCGACCAACGACGTCAATGGTGTCGCGATGCCTGGCGCCAGCAACCCTCGTGCAGACTCGCCAAGCCTCCGTCGTCCGCATCAAAAAGGGACCAGTCAAGAAGAAGTCTGTGCCAAAGGAATACAGACGCCATAACCTCGACAAGACGGATTTTCCCCGATTCTCGCTCGTCGAAGCCATGCGGTACGCCCCCATTGCGCGGAAGCCACCTCACGCGACCGCCTCGAGCTAAGCTAACCGGAACCCAGAATCCTCCGCGCATACGAAGTCGGCCAGCCTCCCGCCTCCGTCAAATACGATCTCGCCATCAACCTGAAAACCGCCCGCAACGGCCCCGTCATCAAGAGTAGCCTGCGTCTGCCGCACCCCGTCGGCACCGACTGGCGCATCGCCGTCATCTGCAAGGAGGGCAGCGACGTTGCGGCAGCCGCATCTGCGGCCGGTGCTGTCGCCGTCGGCGAGGCGTCCCTCTTTGAGCAGATCCTCAACGACAACATCACCTTTGACCGACTGCTGTGCCACGAGGGCAGCGAAAAGGCGCTGCAAAAGGCCGGCCTCGGTCGCGTGCTGGGGCCCAAGGGCTTGATGCCCTCGGCGCGCATGAAGACGATTGTGACGGACGTGGCCAAGTCTATCCGCGACACGGCCGGCTCGGCGGATTACCGCGAGCGTATGGGCGTGGTGCGGCTGGCGGTTGGGCAGCTCGGGCACACCGCGGAGCAGCTCAAGGCCAACATCTCGGCGGTGCTGGCTAAGATTAAGGCCGAGTGCACGGAGATTTCGGAGGAGTCGCACAAGGAGATCCACGATGTCATTCTGAGCACGACTAATGGGCCTGCCGTTAGCTTGAGCGGCAAGATGGTCAGCGAGGACGATGCAGTCACCGCGGAACAATTATCGAGCGCCATGTAAAGTAGCATAAAGTGCTAGCCCTGTATTATCTGTATAATATCTAAGTTACTGAACAAATAGCATCAGCGATTGGTACGCGAAGCGCATCGCGCAAATATTGTATGTTTTTTTTCATTAATAAGTCGTAATCACCATCTATTTTGTCCTCAGGGTTTTGACTGCCTCGTCCTGGGCACCCAGTATCCTATATATGGCGAGATACTTTAGCACCCTATCTTGTGCTGGGGCACCCGCCTTGCGACTCTCTTTTATCGCATTGCTGAGGTCCAACAGCAACGTTTTCCTGCACTTGATCAAGCGCGTCTCCAACTTTGCCGTAAATGCCAGCCCCGTAAGCGAGCTGAGCAATGCCTCGGCAGCATTATAGTCCTTTGCCAACGCCATCAGCACAGTTGGCGTGCTTCCCACCAGGCCCTGTAGTTGTTCATCTTCGTCCTCTTCCTCTTCCTCGCTGTCGTCATCATCGTCCGACTCCAGCTCCGTCCTGCTGCTCAGCGCGAGCCTCTCTTCCAGCGAGGCCAGCCTCTCCGTCATCTCCACCATGGCCCTCCCGCGCTCAATATCGGCACGCACGCGGTGCAGCTCCGACGTGAGCACGTCGGCCTGGCCGCGACGTGCCACCACCTTGGCCCTGACGTCCTCGACGGCGCGGCGGAAGCCGAGCAGCGACACGCGGACGTCCTCGACCTTGTCGTCGCCGCCGCGGAGGTCGGTGCCGAGGGACAGAAACGTCGTCGAGTTGGCGTTGACGAGCTCGAGCAGCTCGCTGCTGATGGCGGCGCTGCGGTCGCGCAGGTCCGCGCGTAGGTCTTCGAGCGTCTGGTGGCGGTGCGGCAGCGCGGACAGGTAGGCGGCGGGGTCGAACGCCGGTGTGAGAAAGTCGGAGCGAGGGAGGGCTTCGGGGAAGGGCAGCGGCGCGTCGTCGTCGAGGTCGGAGGAGGAGGAGGAAAGGTTGAAGGTGGAGGGCCGGCCCCGCGATGGGAGTGGCCGGTCTAGTGTGCTGGCCATGGAGGAAGACTTCTGCTCGGGGATGTTGGGGTTGGACAGATTGGTATTGTCGAAATGTAATGAAGCTTCGGGAAAGGCGTTGGGTTATCTCTGTCGTCGTGGGGTTGTTTGCCGCAGGAAGCTGTGTGGCTGTCTGCAGTAATTTTATAGCGTGTCCACAGTTACTCCAGCTAGGAGCCAAACCTGTATCTTCAACCTCGTCGTGTGTTTTCCACCCACTATCGAATTCCGCATGTCTACCATTGACAAACATATTTTCTTTCGTGTTCTTGATGCCGAAATTGAATTTTCGACAAAGGGGGAGACTGGCTTCCATCACCCATCCCCAGAAAGATAGTTCTCGAGGCAGGATATTGCCTACGAGAGCGACCGTCTGAGCTGTCACCGCAGGAAGCCTAGCCCAGGTGGTGTCTTCATCACTAGTTCAACGATAGGAGCTGCAGCAACGTTCCATTCCATGTCACTTGTCTGAACTTCGCTATCTCTCTTCCGACAACCCGAGCACATCATCCCCGCATGGCACCACTGCAGTGGGGGGGTTCCTCAGCTTGTGTGTGTGGCTTGCTGGAATATTGACCCCAGAAACCGGCTACTACTGTTCAGTCTCCGCTCGGGGCCATGAGAACCTGGGGTACCCCCAAAGCGGAGGGGTCAAACGCGAGCTCGCTCTTTTGCATCCCTCAACGGCAGTAAAGGAGTCAATACATACAACGCACACTCGAATCCATGTCTCTGTCCACTGACCGCGATCATCAAGGTGACGTGGACTGGGAGGAGCTCCCCCAAAACCAGAGTCTGCTTGGTGTGGGTGTGGTATCGGATGAGACACCAGCGTAAGTACGAGTTGCGCATATTGTCGACCCAGGATGCATTGATTGACCCGTATAGATGCCAGCTTTGTCGCAAGAAAAAAGCAAAATGCTCTAGACAACAGCCATGCTCTCAGTGCGTCAAATCAGGTAAGCTCCAGTTCAATCAAGGGGTTTTGTACTGTTCGGTTTACTGACAACCTCCTGGTCTAAGGGGTGGACTGCGTGTATGAAGACAAACGCGCCAAAGGTGGCGTCAAAATCGGTGTCATAGAGCGTCTAAGCCAACGCATTGGTCAGTGCTACAACCGAGTCCCTCTGCTCTCCCGACTAACAAAGTGTCACAGACACAATTGAGCACATGTTTCTAGGGCAGAGCATTTTGATGCAGCAGCTCATGAAGGGACAGAATACAGTGAAGCCGGACTCGTTTGTTCAAAGCTTCGCGTCCACCGACTTTGCCGCGTCTACAGAAAGAGTCAAACAGGCTCTGTCGGACGTCGCAGCTTTTACTAAAGAGACAGATAATGTTGGTGCGTCGGAGAGCGCTGACATCGCTTCAACCAGCAGAAAACGAGTGAAAAAGGATGAGCCAAACGTCGTTGATCTTCCACAAAAGAGAGTATGCGTGGCTATGAGTACCGGATACATCACCCCGCAACTTGCACCTGTTGATACCATTCTGGAAGTCTACTTCAAGATGATACATCCTTGGATGCCAGTAATACACACGGCAACATTTCTGCGGAGAGCGCGCGAGCCAGACAGATCACCCGGGGTTACCCTCATATTGCAGGCCATCACTGCGTTGGCCTTGCCATATTCTGTATCAGCCGAGACCGTCCATGCTCAAGACCTGCACACCCATGTATCACAGCTGCGCCAAGATGTCGTCGTTTCAGCAATAGAGAGCAGCTCAAAAGAGGCCATACAGGCTTTAATCCTGGTTGCATTCGATACCATCAAGCGAGGGTTAAGCTGCTCACCGTGGTCCCTCGTCTCCATTATCTGTCGGAAGATTGAGGGACTGCAGCTCAATGCAGAAGAGAAGAGAGACGAACACCATGTGGCTGCCTTTTTCTCACAGCCTACAAAGCCACTGGATCCGCCAACCATGTGGACAGAGGTGGAAGAGCGACGCCGCGTCTTTTGGGGCGCGTTCCTCCTCGATAGGTTCTGTAGTATTGCCACTGGGTACGTCCAAGGAGAAGGAAACCTCGTTCTATAGAATGCTGACAAGACTTTAGATCAAACCCCAACATCTCTAGCAGGAGCATTCAAAGACGATTGCCATGCGATGGGTATCTGTGGGAGGGCGACCATTGCGTCGAAACATCCTTCTTTAAGATACACGACCAAACTCAAGAGGATATGGAGGCCAATGCCGACACGGAGGAGCAACCGTTTCCACTGGTGTATAACGAGTCGGAAGGGCCGAGTGTAATTGGTGGGTTGGCCTACACAATCGAAGCTACAGAGTCCCTGTTTCTGGTCAATAAGTTCCACGAGCGGCAACCACTCCAACCGGACAGCGCATCGCAGCTCTCAAGTTGGTTGCACAAATTTCGGCAGCTCGATTCACGTCTCCTACAGTAAGCCCAAACTTTGTCACTGTATTCATCGTGCGCGGTATCCTAACTCGAGCTAGATGGGAGCTGTGCTTGACACACCGCTGGCGAGAAGTCCGCGTGGTGGATGGCTACATAGACCCGAATTTGACGATGGCGCACATGACGCACAATGCGGCCATCGTAACTCTCCACAGTCGCCTTGCGACTCCACCGCGACAAGCACGGGTTTGGCTCTCTTCACTCGTGTCGGGCGCGTCCAAGGAAGCTTGTGTGATGGCTTCGATCAAGATTGATCGCATTGCACGGCGCTTCTTGGACGCGAGCACCGGGATCCCACCGCATCAATTCGCGCTTTGCATATATATCGCTGCCAAGACATTAATTCGTACGTTGCACCTATCTGACATGAAGCCTCGTCTTGCTGATCTTCTATGCGATGAAGAATGGAATACCACAAGGCTGTCTGAAACCGTTACGTCGCTTCTTGCGCTGCTTCTGGAGGTGTCCAACAGGATCTCAGGTACAAGCGAGAAGGGACAGAGCCCAACTACAGAGGACCCGGCAATAAGACTTCGCACGGAACTCATCGCACAGAGAGAGTCGGCAAACGACAATGGTACCAAAAACGCGGCATTGAGTGCAGTACCAGGGCTGGAGATGACAGCTCCCACTGAGCAGCCGCTGATGAACATGGTGGACTTTTCCGCCATGCTGCACTCCTTTTCAACGTCTCCGTCTAGCGGCGGCAGCGTGTTTGGCATGAACTTTTTCGACCACGAGTCTCCGGTGGATTTTGATCGAGGTCTCCTGACCGGCCAGCAGCCGTCATTGCAAAACCCGAACAACGAGGACAGCCAGCTTGAAAATGGCGCGAGGGAGTCTGAGGTGAGTTTTGATTTCATGGCCGAGCTTCGAAAGCTTGAATCGAGAGCGCGAGAGCAAGGCAGAAAGCTACGAGGACAGCCGGAGCAGAGTCATGTCAAGTAATGTTGTCTGCAATCCTGTACCGATGCTCTTCCAATCATGTATTTATGCACTGACTGCTGTAAACTAATATACTATCAAATACCCGGGCCATTGTACGCTCCCCTATTCGGCTTTGTGGACTGCGACACAGGGTTCCCGAAAAAGTCGACGCCGCCATTGTTCGCAATGACTTGGCCGTTGAGCAACGCCGGCGAGCTCGCCTGCAGGCGATATCCGGCCGCGGATTCCAAGCTGTCCTCTCCAGAGCCTGGATTTACAAAAATCGGATCTCCTTGGATCCCGTTGTTCGTTGGCCGACTGACATTGTGAAACACGTTCCACATCCAGCTGATGCCGCTGCGCGCCGGAAGCGACGACTGCCCGTTTCCAACAAAGATGTTGTTCATCATCTGCGTGTTGGGAGGCAGCGTCAGATCAAACGCGGCCCTGTCGCAGTACATGACGTTTTGGTAAAAGTACAGCGTCGGCTTGTTGCCGTTGCTGTAGATGCGGCAGTCGTTCTGAAAGACGTTGTACCGAACGACCTGGTTCGCGCCGCCCGAGGTGCCGCAGCCGTCGCAGTTGAGAAAGGCGCCGCCGGCATTGTCCCTGCTGAAGTTGTACTCGACGGTGCAGGTGCCCGTGTTGCCCCAGTCGCAGTCAAAAGCCTCGCTGTCAAACGCCGACATGATGCTGCCGGTGACGACGTTGTGGCGGAGCGTCGGGTTGTGGTCGCCGAGCACCCACATGCCGGCAAAGTTGCCGCCGGTCCACGGGTACGCGCCGGTGCCGAGGTCGGCGGCCGTGTTGTAGTCGATGAGCGGCGTGTCGCTGAAGGACACGATGACGCCGTCGCCGCCGCACGCGCGGATCGTGTTGCGCGTCACGCGGGCCTGCGCGCCGCGGTTGGCGAGCGTGCCCACGCGCACCTTGATGCCGCCGCCGCCGCAGTCGGACACGGTGTTGCCGCGGATGAGCACGCCGTCGTAGCGACTACCCGGCGCGCTGCCGACGTCGACCAGGATGCCCGCCGAGAGCACAAAGTCGGCGGCGTGCGTCGCCTTGTTGGTCTGGCCGGCGACGTGGTGCACCTCGTTGCCGTCAATCGTGATGCCCGTGTGCGTCTGCCCGTCGCTGGCCGTGACGTGGATGCCCTGCCGCGCGGCGAGCGAGCTGGACGGGTTGGTCACGCTGAGGTTGGCAATGGTCCAGTGGTCCTGGTTGCTGAGGGTGACGGCGGCGGCGGCGGCGCCGTGGGCGTTGATGACGGGGCGCGCGCCGGCGGCGTACCGCGTGATGAGGATCGGCGCGCCGGCCGTGCCCACGCCCTGCGGCGAGAGCACGCCGTCGCACTGCGTGCCGGACTTGAGGGCGAGCACGTCGCCGGGCGCGAAGACGGGCGTGTTGGCTTGCGCGAGGCTGTTCCAGGGGCTTGCAAGAGTGCCTGCGCCGGCGGAGGCAGCGGAGCAGTCAACGTAGTACTGCGTGGCTTGGGCGGAGGCGAGGAGGGCGCCCGTGGCGCTGAGGAGCCGGAGGGCGTGAAGCATGGTGGCGGTGGAGCGCGAGGGGAACAAGCGTTCCTGCTGGTGGCCTTGATAGTGATTCGATGGCTTGTATTGGTGATTGAAGCGGGTATTTATTTATACCAGTGACGCGTATCAGGGCACATACGCGGAAGGAGGCCCGGCACTTGGCTCGTTCGCGAGGGGGGATCGCCGAAGCCGCCTCCGGAGCCCGAGGATGAATAGGGTTGACTTCCCCGCACCAACACCAACTGCAGGCGTTATTGATAGCGGACGAGGTATAATTAATTGTGGCTTCATAATTGGCTCCACTGTACAGATTGAACTACTGAGTAAACAACATGTCACATATATGTCGGTCTGTCGGGGCTATTCGGTCCGACCACTTACACACCGGCACTTGTCTGCCTCCGCAGTCCACGATCGGAGGTTTTTTTTTCATTATGATCGGAAACATTTTGATGAAATATCAGCGAAAATAGAAATTGCAGTCTTGCCCGATTTTTCTGATCTAGAGTATCAGGGGTGTACTACGATAATAGTACCTCACCTTGTGCTGAAAATGAAAGTCCAGGCCGTCTAAGCCATCGAGCTTCCGTCTCTTTGCTATTGCCCTCCTTGCCGGCAACTGCGAATACACCCGACGCAATAATAATCTCTTCCGCGTCCCACGATCTTCTCTCGTGCCGTATATTCGGAATCATAGTCTTGGTCACCATGATGTTTGTGTTTGGGTCTGGACGCATAACGTCACCCCGGGCGATAGCGCCCTGCGACCGGGGCGAGAAGTCGACGATTCCGCTCGCCCCAGCCTCCGATACTACAAGTGCTTCGTGCGCCGTCTCCATCGCCATGCCATCTTGATCCATCTTGTCAAGGGAGACGTGCGCAGCATCAGGCAACTTTGTCGTCTGCATGACGCGGTTGTCGCCCTTTCTCGGTACGGAAATAGCAAACCCCCCTTCCACGGCAGTAAAGGGCGACTCCAGAGGGTCGTCGGATCGCACGCGATGAACGCGCACATGCCAGTCGGGCCATTTGTCGCAAGGGGGGATGCTAGTGGACTCAATGGTCACGCTGGCTGAGGACCATGGCTTCCAGCGACTCACCATGGCCGTGACGCCTGCGCTCTGCCCCTTGACAGCGACGAGACGGAACTCTGTCTCTCCAATGGATATCCACCTCTGCGCCCATGTATCGCCGCCGTCGCGAGACAGCGCAAGGGTGCTGTCGGGCGCCATCTGCGCCAGCAAAGGGCCCGTCGGCACGCTGAACCCAAACGACGACGAGTAGGCAAACTTGGCGTACTTGGCCTGCGTTGCCTTCATGGGCCACACGCAAAACTGCCCGGACGAGAGCAGGAAATGGTGACGGCCGCTTGTATCATGGCAGATAATATGGCGTGCCGGCTTGACAACGTGGACGCTGGTTTGGCTCGGTTCTGCCGTCGTTGTCTGCAGAGGGTGCGGCAGCTCTGCCGCTACCCAGAAGGGATCGTCTTGTGCGAGGGCGATGACAATGAGCGATTTGAGGGTCCAGTACGGCGACTGCGGAGAGTTGTAGTTCTCACACATGTACATGTTTGGGTAGAGGTAGCCGATATTCAACGTGCCGTCTGGCCAGAAGATGTCTTGGGAATGGGCAGCCCACCAACGCATGTGGCGGAGAAGCATGCCCTTGACCGCGCCGTGGGAGGTGAGGGAGTGAGAGTCATCGCACAAGCCGCCGTAGGCAAAGGCTGCGTAGAACGCACCCATGGCGAACTTGTAGCATAGGGAACGGCCAAACGGGATCGCAGAGCCTGGTGAAAGAGTTAGCCGACAAGATGGTTGCAAGGTGAGGAGGTCGACGTGCCTTCAGTATTAAAATAGGCCCAGAAAGACTCAATAAATTCATGGGCTCTCTTCTTGAAGATGCTGCATCTTTGGGGGTCAAGTTCAGCAGCAAACTTGGTGTACAGAATTTGGCTGAATTGAATGGCAAAGCTGCCGGAGTAATAATCGGCATGTCGCCCGCGAGCCGCATTCTCGCCTGTTCCTTCGTCCTTCACATCAGTCGCAGCCGGACGCCAGATTCCGTCGCTCGACCATCCATCTGCAAGGTAGAACTGATCCAGAGTATCGAGGTCCTGCTTGATCAGAGGCCAGTATGTGTCCTTGTCCTCACCACACACCTGGATGAGGGCGACATTGGAAAAGACGCGGAACCAGCGCCAATTATTTTCAGGCATGATTTTGCCATTGAGTCCATTAAGCCATGCTTTGAGATTGGACTTTGCCGTCTCGTCCAGCGGCGTGTAAAAATCGGCTGGCGCAGAGAGAAGGGCAAACGAAATGACTTCGGCTTCGACCATGCGCTGATCCCAGTCCCCGATCGCTCCCCAATACTCGCTATGGGATGGGTCGACGCCATTTTGAAGGCCTTGTACCCAGTGATTCAAAAGATCACTGGATTCTGCATCGGCCTCGTCGGCATGGTGCCGCCTGGCCGCCAAAAGCGTCGCCACCACCCACAGGGGGCGTGCATATCCTTCCAGCGCGCCGGCGGCGTCGTCGAAATGAGCACCGGACGTGACTGGAATCTTGACGCGCGCGTGGCCTTGGGATAGGTATGGAGCGAGAGGCCTCAGAAGCGCTTTGGAGGCGGCGACAGCCTCGGAGCGGCTGGTGAAGCCATTGTCAGAGAAGCCGGGCAGTGGTGGCATACCTGGGAGGCCAGCGCGGTGAGACTGGAACAGTTGGGGGGCAAGTGCGGGTTGTTCGAGTAGAGGAACGGATGCTAGCTAAAATGGAGATAAATGGAGTCGAGTGAAACTTGAAGCCACCTTGTGCATGTGCATCATGCGGACGTGGAGTCGCGGACGCCGGGAGCGGCACGGCGCCGTCGCCGACGATGGCCCACCTTGGCGCGGACTGTCATCGTCCGTCAGGCTGCGGCTGCCAAGTCGGCCGTAACGAGGTGGTTACTAACACGGCCGTAGGCGCAGAATCCTGATACTGATAAATATACATGAGTAAGATCCTTGACTTGGGCGTCAACCGCGAAAACACACGAAATCGTACAACATCATGTCTCCCTCGACCCTACCAGCTACTGGCCAAAGCAACGGCTCATTGGAATATGAAGATGTTCCACTTCTGATCGATGGAATCAAGTCCAAGAACCATTCACAAGCTGGTCTGCCTAGCGCGGTTGAAACAACGACGCCTGGACACGCTCTGGGCGGCGACCTCGCGAAGCTGTTCAGCGACAATGTCGTATTGAAAATCTGGAAAACAGCCGTCGAGCATATTGCGCGCGAGGTAAAGCTCGACCAACAAACAGTTCAATCTTGGGGGAGTAGTGCTAACAAGAGAGTCAGGATCCTCCGCAGTCGTTCCCCGAGACCTGTCCGCAGACCGGTCCCCAGGCCGGGCAGTACCAGTACCGCGACGCCGAGTTCTGGACCTGCGGCTTCTTCCCCGGCAGTCTGTACTGCCTGCTCGAGCGCTCCGTCCGGTACCCGCAGGCCTTTTTGGCGGAAGCCGGCAGCGGCGTGCGCGAGCGCGAGCGCCTGCGGACGGAGCTGCTCGCCGTGTGCCGCACGTGGTCGGAGCCGCTGCACGACATGGCGGGCCGCAAGGACACGCACGACATTGGCTTCATTGTCGAGCCGGCGCTCCGCAGGGACTATGAGCTGACGGGCAGCGCGCGCAGCTTCGCGTCGCTGGTCAGGGCGGCGGAGAGCCTGGCGAGCCGGTACAGCGAGACGACCAAGGCGATTCGCAGCTGGGACCGCTTCGTCAACAACGGCAACAACTTCGTGGACAAGGAGTCCGAGTTCCTTTTGATTATCGACAGCATGTGCAGTAAGTCCAAGCCGAGACCTTTTCCTCTATCATCTCTCACTGCTTACGCCGAAATAGATTTGGACCTGCTCTACTACGCCGGCCATCACGTTTCCTCGCAGCGGCTGATTGACATTGCCACCAGCCACGCGCACACCATCCGCGCCACCCATCTGCGCCCGGAGCCGAGCATGCCCGGCTCCAGCGATCCCATGTATTCCACGTGCCACGTCGCCAACGTGTGCCCCCTCACCGGCCGGGTCCTGCAGCGGCTCACGGCGCAGGGCTACGCCGCCGCGTCGACGTGGTCGCGCGGCCAGGCGTGGGCCATCCTGGGCTTCGCGCAGACGTACGGCTGGACCGGGGACGCGACGTTTCTGCGCACCGCGTGCGGTCTGGCCGACTACTTCCTGCTGCGCCTGCGCGAGGCCCCGGCCTGCGTGGAGCAGCGCCGCGTCGGACGACACGTGCCGCTGTGGGACTTTGACGCGCCCGTGGACGAGGCCCGGCCGCTGCGGGATACCTCGGCCGGCGTGATTGCGGCCAACGGCATGCTGCTGATTGCCCACGCCGCGGCGGCGAGCGGCGACTTTGCGCGCTTTGAAAAGTACTACAGGGCCGCTACGACGATTGTGGACGAGACCATGGCCTTGTGCTACGCAAAGGACACGCTGGAGCTGGTCGGGCAGGAAAGCGGTGCGGGAGGTGTCGGTGTCGTGGCCAGGCGGGCATCTGGCTGTGCTGAGAGCCGTTTTGATTGTATTTTGAAGTGTGCGACGGCTAATTTTAACGAGAATTGGACCGACAGGTATGCTGATCATGGTTTGGTCTATGCTGACTATTATCTGCTCGAGTTTGGAAATAGATTGCTGCAGTTTGGCTATGCTTGAGCCTTGGACAAGACTGTGGCCTAGATAGACATCTCATTTGATTTGACGAGTTCAGTTACCGTACCACCATTACTACTCTATTCTTTCGCTGTGATTGTCTTGCTCTAACAAACCACATAATACCGAGAAGGCCAGAGTGCCTATGTTTTGCACACAAATAAATCACGACTACCGGAACGCTTTAGCGCGCCACAGCGGGCCCCCGTAGCCGTTGTGCCCCCGCATCGCCGGAGCCCGGGGGCAGGCCGGACACTGCTCCGGCCACCCACTCCAAGCCCACCGACCTGCTGAACCCCAGGCCAATGTGATGAGATGCTCCCTCGCAGAGCACGCGAGCCTCCCATTTATATACATGCATTTATCTGGCCTTCTTTCCATCAAATGAGTCCTTGACAAGCGTCTCCATCTTTTCCCGAGCTTCTTTCCCCAGATTCTCCCCCCCCACCACCATACCATGGCGGACACGAACCCCAAGCACAAGCCTTCCATGGAGAAGAGCGACATAGATGTCGCAGAGGTGCTGCACTGCGACACGCACCCCTCTGCTGAGGAGATGGCAGAGGCCATTGCCGCCGCCAAGCTCTCGCCGCTCAGCCGGCCTCTGCTCAAGCTGTACGGCTTTTGCGTGATTGCGTTTCTGTGCTCGACCATGAACGGTACGCGTGTCCTCTCATTTTTTCTTAAAATAGCATGTCCACTGACTCATCGGCAGGCTACGACGGCTCCATCTTCGGCTCTCTGCCGGCCATGGAGTCCTTCCGTGAGCGCTTCCAGGTCGGCAAGACGGGCACCAAGCTCGGCTACATCTCAGCCATCTACACCGTCGGCACCGTCGCCTCCCTGCCGCTCACCGGCCCGGCGTGCGACGTGCGCGGCCGCCGCGCCGGCATGTTCTTCGGCAGCCTCATCGTCATCGCCAGCACGATCCTGTCAGCGCTCGCCAGCAACACGCCGGCGTTTGCGGCGGGCCGGTTCTTCCTCGGCTTCGGGGTGAGCATCGTGCGGTGCGCGAGCTCCATCTGGTGCGCCGAGATCAGCCCGCCGGCGTACCGGGGCGTGCTGACGGCGTTTTACAACTGCACGTACGCGATTGGCGCGCTCATGGCGGCGGGCGTGACGCGCGGCTCGGTGCGGTACGCGGGCGACGCGCAGTGGCGCATCCCCGTGTGGTGCCAGCTCGTCTGCCCGGCCATTGTCGCCGTGTGCGTGCTCTTCTTCCCCGAGTCGCCGCGGTGGCTGTTTGCGCACGACCGCGAGGCTGAGAGCCTCGCGTTCCTGACGCGCTACCACGGCGACGGCAACCCGCAGCACGCGCTCGTGCGCATGCAGATGGAGGAGTACCGGCTCGTCATCTCGCTCAATGGCTCGGACAAGAAGTGGTGGGACTACAGCGACCTGTACAAGAACCGGGCGGCGCGGTGGCGCATGTTCAACGCCCTCATCCCGTCCGTCTGGGGCCAGTGCTCGGGCAACGCCGTCGTCAGCTACTACCTGCCCGCCATGCTCATGACCACGGGCATGACGCGGGCGGACCAGATCCTCAACATCAACCTCGGGTACACGGCCGTCGCCACCGTCGCTTCGTACATCGGCGCCAGCCTCATCGAGAAGATGGGCCGCCGCCCGACGAGCATCTGGACGTCGGTCGCGTGCTCCCTGTGCTTTGCCGGCATCACGGCCGGCACGGGCATCTACGCGTCGACCAAGGCGCAGAGCGCCGCCTCGGCCGGCGTCGCCTTCATCTTCATCTTTGGGTGGTGCTACAACTTTGGCATGACGCCGCTGCAGGCGCTGTACCCCGTCGAGTGCCTCTCCTACGAGCAGCGCGGCAAGGGCCTGGCCTTTGTCTTTGCCTTTGTCCACTGCCTGGCTTTTGTCAACCAGTTCTGCTTTCCCATTGCGCTGCAACACATTGGCTGGAAGACGTACTTTGTCTTTATCGCGTGGGATCTCATCCAGGCCACCATCAGCTACCTCTTCTCCGTCGAGACAAAGGGTCGATCCCTCGAGGAAATGTCGGAAATCTTTGACGCTCCTAACCCTGTCAAGGCTTCGCTGCGCAAGAGGAAGGTCACTTCTGATGTATTGAGCTAGAGTAGCGAAGTTGACAATGTTTCTTCTACAAGTGAACCTAGACTACTCTACCAATCGTTCAGTGATTCCTGCACTCCGTAGAAGCAGGCGGCCCGATCCAAGTGAAGCATCCACCTTCTGAGTCTAGATCCGGATAAATCGCCCTTTCTACTGCATTGGTACCCAAAGCTTGGTCCGGCCTTGGCAATTTGGGGAATGTTGCGATGTCGGCTGCACTGTCTGTCGGCTGTCGGCTGCCTCAACTGAAATGTCCAATCGGCTGTCTGTCAGCTTTCGTACAACCACGCCAACATTGCTCAAGACATGTCTTGCGCTAGTTGTTCAAGAATCTGCAGCTTGGTACTAATACAGTAAGTAGAATGGGAACTTTTTAGCAGCCCAAGTGAGGATGGTGTCTCCCTACAGCAGAAATTAAGTATATATATCCGTCCAAAGCCTGCCTACGCAACACCTCCAACCTTGCTCAACTCAGTACCCTTCTCCTTTCAACCATCTCTACTTCCTCGCAATGAAAATCATCACCTTTGCCATTCTTTCACTACTGCCGCTCATCGGTGCAGCCGTCTCCGGCGACGAAACCCAAGAGACAAGGCTACCATGGGTTCCTGGTGATCTTTCAGACCACACCAAAGATGCCGCTGAGAGCCGGCCACCTACGCTTGGAGGCCACAATGCCGAAAACATGCCGCAATGTACTCGCGAGTTTCCATTCCTCTGCCTTGGCCGCTGCTGCCGGCGGGCCTGGTGCTGCCGCCAGTCCTGCTGCGGCCCATTAGCCACGTTTTGCGGCGATGACGGCAACTGCTATTACAGAGTGCATGGTTCTCGTTCTTGAGAATTTTCAATGTCCAAGAGCCGGAGGAAAACGAATCCTGGCAAACTGATTCTACATGTTGACTATGCTCGTGAGCTGTCTGTTCAGACCTGTGGGGTTGCTGGAACTCGGTTGAGTTCTGCGGCCAAGTTATTGGGCACCATGTTGACGATGAAGAGAGCCTTTGGGCTGATACAAACGATGTACAATCTGGTACAGGTTTTACCTATATATCTTCAATCTATACACCATTGCTAAAAACACAAGGTCAAAACTTCAACGTTATGAAGCGACGTAAGAGACCACGGCAACCGTGTTGTCGCGGGGACTGCACGTGGAGTCGATCATACCAGATTTGTCGCTTGTTCAGCCTGCGATAATTCCTAAAGCTTGCCAGGGCGGCGAGAGATTGATGCAAAGCACCGGAGTCGTGCAAGCCTCGTCATAAACTCGATGCAGATAATTGGGGTCCGCCTTGTAGATGCCATCCGAGACATCACGTCATGTCGCGGGAAGGCAAAGTCGACAGTCGACAGTCCGGCTGGCAAAATGCGGGGTAAATGAGTCGAAATATCCCGTGACCATTCGCAAAGCTGATAGTCTGCTTCCTGTGGAGTGTAAGAGCGAGCATACTTGCATACGTACATATTACAAGGACTACTAAGCGTGCTCGACCGGACGTGATTGACTGCGACCTGGCTACATGGCGAGTGCAGGGGTGTCCAGAGCATGACACCAGCGTTTGCATAGTACGATCTTATCGCTATGAACCTTTTCCCCTCGATACTAGAGGTAGAAGATGATGTAGAGGCATGGCTCGTGGATGCTTGATGGCCAACGCGCTCTATGCCTGGCATGCTTTTGATATGGCGCCTAGTCTCTACCGACAACCAACATGTTTTCCTTGAACAGAATATGCGCAAATCGAGTGGGTTACAAGAAAATGTTGTGTGTGAGAATGGAGCATATTTTAATGTAGGGATGTTAAAGTGGGATTTTTCGAGATGATGGAGACGTGGTTGCGCTTGGTTCATGGATGATGCCGCGTGGTACCCTGGTTCTGGTAGGGTTGAGAAGAACAGGAATACATAGACAGTCGAACGACCAAGGAAAGAACCCAGCTTCACATGCGTTGCCACCCCGCGATGAGTGTTTTCGTATGTTGTCTGTAGGGTAACAGACGTTCAGATTGCCTTGAAAGTTGGCGTTCGGATCCAGGACGAGACACTCGGGCGGGTCATGGAATGTCCTCTTGGCCAATAAAGACATGGACCGCCGAGCGGAGAGTTTGGGGAACGGCAATTCCAAGTGCTTTGCCATGCCAGACGTGACTAGGTCGGCCCCTCGGCTGGATGCATGATGTGGAGAAGGAGGAGCGGCAGTACTTGCTGGATAGAGCGTGGCTGGCTAGGTTCGGGATGAATGAGGGGTCTCGTGCCAAGGACATGACTCCGTGCTGAGCCGACGCGCGAATTGAAGTTAGGGCTTGCCAGGTTGCCAGGGTTGGTGCAGTGGTGGTGCGGTCTTGGCCTGGGGCGAGATGAGATGAAGGTGTCATGGACAGCGCGCGATGCATGATTGCGAGAGAGACCAGGTGGACGTTTACATGTCGGTCAGGGTACGTAGTGTCAGGTTGGGTGAAATGGTTGTCGGCTTGTGAAGAACCGAGTGTCGCAAGCGTGTGCGCCATCAGTTGCTAGTTTATTAAAGATGCGGATACAGGGCCAAAGGGCTCAGCCATTTGAATTCATGTTGGGTAAAATTTGTGGAGATATTGTGTTAGGAAAGCGGGCAGTACTGCGCTCTACCAATAGATGGACGGATGGAAGAGTGGGTGGCCGTGGGTGGCCGTCTTGTCTTGTTTTTTCACGCAGGCTGGCAGGCAGGCTGGCCGACTGTGTGAGAAATTTTATCAATCAGCATCTTATCAATCGCATCTGGCCCACCACCTCTTCCTCCCACCTTGTCGTCGCCGCCTCCTACCATCGGACCTCTCTGGGCTGCCCCAGCAAACCGCGCCATTCTGCTCAAAAGAAGGGCTGTCCCGCACTTTTTGGATTTTTTCTTCGGAACACACATTCTGCACACCCCATCACGTTTGCGTTTGCCTTCTTTTTGCCATCCTGCGAGCGTCCATCTGATAAGGAGCGGCACACAAAACACACGAAGCGAGAGAAAAAACAGCAACAGATTGAAATTCGAGTCAGCACTGCGAGCAACCGATAAAAAAATACTCAAAACACGCAACCACTACAGCCAGAGGCAATTTTCTCAACCCCAAGCCATTTCCACTGCCTGCAATTGGCCGCCAGCCCACGCGACCGAGACGCCCACGAATCTTTGTCCCCGCGCGACACGACAACGACCGAGCTTCCGAGATCCAGGACATTGCCAGCATCGGCTTTCCTGTTTCTGCCTCTCCTACACTTTTTTTTGAAATTACTTCAGCCCCCGTTCGGCGCTGCAAGGCTGCAGTAGCGGTCGCGCTCTCTCCCCGCCTCCCACCCACTGCCACAACACTCACTGGCCCTCTCGGACATCCGAGCCAGGCGCCCCACAAATCACCTGCCCGCCCGCAAACATCCGACCGAGTCCGCAGGCCCGCCACGAAAATCATGGCCAGCACCACCACATCTTCACCAACGACACTGACCTCGCCCGTCCCGTTGCCAACCTCGCGCCCATCTACCGCCAGGGCCCGATCATCCGCCGCTGGTCCTGCGCCGCTCGCCTGCGCACCCCCGGCCGCCAAGCACCACCACCAGCGGGCGCCGCTGCCCACCCAGCCCAACAAGCCCGTCGCCGTCACCGCTGCTGCCACCCCGGCCGCCACCAAGCAGCCCAAGCCGGAGCCGGTGCCGCTTCCCAGACTCTCCGTCTCGGTGCCCCCGGCCCCGGATAAGATGACCATGGCCGCCGTCATCGCGCCCGCCCACCCCATGGAGGGGCCCAAAATCTCCATGACCTCCAAGGAATGGGTCATCCCGCCGCGTCCCAAGCCCGGCCGCAAGCCCGCCACCGACACCCCGCCCACCAAGCGCAAGGCACAGAACCGTGCTGCACAGAGGGCCTTCCGCGAGCGTCGTGCCGCCCGCGTGGGCGAGCTCGAGGAACAGCTGGACCAGTACAAGCTAGACTGGGACAAGAAGGAGTCGGACCTCAAAGACAAGGTTCACAGCCTCGAGCTCGACGTGCAGTCGTTCCGCTCGCGATGCATGCTCCTTGAGAATATGCTCGATAGAGAGCGACAGGACAGAATTAGAGTCGAGACGGAAGCCGAAACACTACGTCGTCGGCAAAGTGAGCACGTCTTTCGGAGCGAGCGCGTCAACAGCGCCCCATCGCCCCATGAGCAGCATCACCGCCATCACAGCATGCAGCAGCAGCATCGCCAGAGCATGTCCAGTAACAACAGGCTGCCTCGTCCAGAGACTAGCCGGGATTTTTCCATTTCACAAATCATCACGCCACCTGACTCCATGGACTCGCAAAACGCAGCACCGTTGGCGGACACGGATATGACGTGCGGCGGTTGCACGACAGACGGTCGATGTGCCTGCGCTGAAGAAGTCCTCGCTACGGCCACGTCGGGCTGTGGCAAGTGCGGGTTCGGAACCTCATGCCAGTGTCTCGAGGAGCTGAGCCCCTCCAAGCCCCCAACCAATGAGCTAAAGCGGCCGTCGTCGCCCTCCAATCATGGCGCTGCCGGCAAGAGGATGCGTCAGGAGTCGCGCGCCGATCAGGAGATGGATTTTACCACGGCCTTTGCCCGCCGGCAGTCCCAAATAGTGGCATCCCTAGACGCAGACCCCCCGCCGTCTGATATGATGATGATGCCGTCGTCATCAGTGGACGGCATCTCCTTCAAGGAAAGCTGCGGCTTCTGCAAGGACGGCACGTATTGTGCCTGCGCAGATGCCGCCATGGCCACGCCAGCCATGACACCGCCCGAATCACAGCCCAACATCCCCCGCCAGGTGCAGACGCCGCCGCCGTCAGAGACGGACGTGGCGGCGCCGCAGCCATTCATCATGGAGATGACGGCTGACGGTGCCGTCAAGCTGCCGCCCAGAAAGCCCAAGATTGGGCAGGCTGCAAAGCCCGTGGGCTGTGGTGCCGGGGCGCCCGGTACCTGCGCGCAGTGCCAGGCCGATCCCAAGTCGGGCCTCTTCTGCCGGCTCATGAATGCCAAGTTTGGCAAGGAGCAGGGCGGGTGCTGCGGGGGCAAGGGTGCCGGCGGCGGCTGCTGCAAGTCCAAGCCGGCCAATACGAGCGCGGCGGCCAGCAAGAAGGACGAGGAGCGCATCACGCTGCCGAGCCTGCCGAGCTTGGGACTAAGCTGCGCCGAGGCGTACCAGACGCTGGCCAGCCATCGCAACTTTTCCGAAGCGGCCGATGATATCAACTCGTGGCTGCCCAAGCTCAAAGCGACATCGCGGACGTCGACCTCGAGACAGAGCTCGAGGGGACGGAACGCGATTGAGGTGGAGGCGGCCAGTATCATGAGTGTGCTCAAGGAGTTTGATATCCGCTTTGGACGGGAGTGCTAAAGCACACTCTGTGTTGTATCTTGCCTTTTTTTTTACACCTTGTCACTGGTGTTGCGTGTGTATAGTAACGTGAACCGACAAAACTTAGGGTATACGGAAGGGTTTACTTTGTTTTTCATTTTGTTTATCTCTTTACAGAGTCATACGTACTCGAGGCGTTTTAGGAGGATTTCGTCATTTTATCATGACAATGGTCAATGATCAATCTCGGAGCACTGGGCTGAGTGTGAATATTAGTAACATATCTGCCCTAATGATGATAACTACGAGCATGAAGACGTCATAATTTAGGTTTAAAATCTGGAAAGCGATACAGGAAATCAGAGCGTGACAGGACATGTTAAAGTCGGTGTCGGTCACGACTGTGACATGCCGGGCGGCCAGCCAAGGACAGCCGGGTGGACAAGACTGTCCCAGGCGGTCGGGACGAGCTGGGGTTAGACGGAACGGAGCAGCGCCCAGAAAAGCGGTACAGGGGTCTCACAAGAGAGAGCGGTTTGAGGCGTCGTGCCGTTTTACACAATGGTTTCTTTTTTGGGGAGGTAATAGTTTGTTACGGGACATGAAAAACAGGCTGCGGCGCATCGTCGGTGTGCGACCGAAGCGAGCGGAGCAGCGATGAGATGGCGGTAGGCAAGCCTGTGGGCGGGTTTGTTTGGCCTACACCGACAACAAGTGGCTGCAGGTCTCGTCTGACCGCAGGTTGGTGTGTGGCAGGGGATAATGATGCTGTTTTTTTTCTTATGATTGAATGAGAAATATAGTTATCCCCAAGTTTACTGGTATTTCACGCAAGCTTTTGGGTTGATGTGATGTGCATGATGCTTGATGAGCTGCGGTAGGCATTGGACAAGGTGATTGGTCCTTGACGTGGGTAGCTTGAATCAAGGAGGTTTCAATACAGGATGGAGGAAACAGGAAAAAAAATAGAAACAACAAGACACAGAAGGAGGTATTTTGGTTGGCCAAGGCGCGACAACGAAATAAGGGCTGTTTCGTGGTGCGTTGGCAAGTGTGTGTGTTGTGTGTTGTGGTGTGCGTGATGGATGATGGATGGATGGGGGGGGTGGGTGGCGGAGAGCATGCAGATTGGCCCAACGACGGGCGCGCCAGAGAAGACGATGTCAAACCGTTGCAAAGAGGAAGGGAAAAAAAAAAAAAAGGCCAACTAACCATCTGAAGCGACTGGTACATCTGTCAAGTTCGGTGCGTATCCGTATGGACGGATGTATATAGGTATATATGCACGGTTGATGCAGTGCCAGCTCAGCAACGCACTACTCTCCCTTCATGGCGCGCAGGCCGTGGGCCCTTGAACACGTCGATGGATGATGTGTTTTCTTTTTACTTTGTTTTGAAAAGGAAAAAAAAAAAGAATATTGCTTTTCCCATCATCTTCTTTAGCCATTTCATTCCAATCTTGTTCTTTGTTTGGGTTGGGCTTCACAACTAATAGTAAGATGGAGAGAATCGTGGTTCCCTGGCCGGGGTGCTGCGGTACTTTTTTTTTTTTTTACCTTGCCCTTTTCTAACAGACGTTTCAATGGCGAAACCAAAGTAGTCTGCTTTGCTGCCATCGTGGTCTGCTGATCCGCCTTGTGCCTGGGCGCGGTGGCATTACCTGCATCGACAAGAAGGCGGAGAGTGTCTTGTGACGGCGGAACTGAGAGGGGGTGGGCGTTACCCATTCTCCGTAGGCCATCTTTTTCCCATGCTGTCACGAGAGCCGCAGCAACATATTGTCTCTCTTCCTTCGCTAACCCGCGCGGTGGCTCTTGTCTCGATGCACTTGCGCAGATGGACGGATTTGACAAAATACACTACTAGTTAGGTTAAGAAAAGCTATGGCCAGCGTGGTTCAGCCCGCCAACCTGGGAAGCGAAACTCAACTTGTTGAAACGTGGGAACAAAGTAGTTTGTCCTACCTACCCTCTTTAGATTATCCCGCCCCCCCCCTGGTGATAATCATTGTTCAGCGAGTGTCGTGCTGATCGTCGTTGTTTTGGAGGGGCTCGTCAGCAATGTCCTGCAGCGACCGAGAGACGCCCTCTCAACCTCGCCTTTCCCGCCCGTCCTCGTTAGATACCGCGCCATTCAATCTATCAACAGGTACGAAAGACGCAAAACAAAGTGGCTTTTTTTCTTCTGGTCAGTGACAGGCACACACACCCTCCGTTTCTTCCTTCCAGCGCCACACCCCCCCCCTCCTGTGTTGATATTTCTTGTTCGTCTACTGGCAGCTGATGGGCGGTGCGCTGGCAGGCGTCGCCCCTCCCTTCCAGACGGCCTTAGCGTCCGTGGCCGGCTCGCTTTGGAGCGCAGACCATCCATGCCAGCTGGCGATGCCCACCAATAGAGCTTTGAATAGGCGACAAGAGAGGAATTTGGAAGAAATGCTAAGAGTTTGCTTCTTTAGGTGGCTGGGTCGGTTGGGATGTGTTTTGCCACAGACGAGCGAAATGGCAGTGCGCAAATGGGGGCGTGGTGGTCGTTGAAGTTCCATCGCTGACTAACACCCACGGTACACCATCCATCAGTATAACTTTCACAGGTGGACGGCGTGACTCGAGCATCTGATGCGATATAGAGCTATATGTATGCATCCAGCCGTGTGTAGTATTATCTTGGTCTTTCCCTCGGCCATCTCTCTGTGCAGCACTTTGTAGTGCATTTCATTTTCGTGTACTTGCTGCACACCCCAGTGCCTACACCTACAGTAGTGGCATGTACGCTCCGGCACTTCCTTGACGTACCTGACACGTCTAGATAAAAAGTGAAGAATGGGGGAAGAAATGTACAGAAATCATGTGAGCAATAAATTCCTGAAAAGGAGAGAAAGAAACAGACACCAGACACCAGACACCCCTCCTGCATGCGTTGGCTCACCCCAGCCTGCTCGTTCATCGTGTGCAGCGACTCTGGCTGACCCTGCCTGCAGCGACTAATGTACCTCTACCGGCAGTACACCCACTGTAGACCCGCCTCTTAGCACTGCGGTACAGCGCATCTGCTGTGCTGTTCGGTGCTTATTACAGCCCATTCGTCACACGTCCCCGTCACAGTGTGGCCTCGTATTTTTCTGCCTTTTTGGTGACCTCGTATCGTGTAATCTGTCCCTATTCCCATCCCTTTCTTGACTTTCTTCCACCTCTTCCATCTCCATCAACGCCTTGCCCCCATCTTGCCTCATGCCGGGTACCTACATACTTGCGTACCGCAGTACCTACGACGTTACCCTGGACCGTTCTCCACCCCCACTTCTGAACCGCCCCTCCAAGGAACTCCCTCCAAGTACCTGCAAGTACTAGCACATCTCGCCTAGGCCTAGAGGTACCTGTCGTACTACCGACGCTACCACTCTTACCTCTACCCGCCCTGCCAGCTTTTTGGCCTGCCGGCCCGCCACCGCTACGGCTGGCCAACGCACGCTGCAAGCTGCACACTGCACACGCACCCGCTGGACTTGGGGCTCCGCACCGCCTTGTCGCTTGTCGTCGCCCGCCACTGCCACCACCCTCCATCGTCGCACGACAGCTTCTCGTCTCTCCCAGGCAAACAGATATCCCCCCCTTTGCGCCATCCTCGCCCTATTCTTCTCCCACCTGCACTCATCGCTCTCCATCTTCACCTCGCTTTCGGATTTTCTCTCGCTCATTTGCTCGCCCTGCTAGCCCGTTGGTAGCTTCCTGGTGAAGCTACTGCTCGAGCTGCCTGGCGCCCGAATAGCTTCACCTCTCATGGGACCAGTATCATGTCCATGCAGCGCTCCCTCTCTTCGCCAGTCCGTACGCAATCCACGCCCCGTACGTCTTCGCAACAAGCCGCGGCTGAACGTTGCTCCAGAGCCTGACCCAAAACCCGTTGTATACTTTGTTCGTGCAAGCCTACTGACGTTGCTACAGCTCCCCAACTCGCTTCCGCTGCGCCAGCCAACGCGCCACCGCCGTCGATAGACCTCTCGACCAAGCCGCACCGACCCGTCCGGCACCGCTCCCCCAGTCCCAGGCCTACCTCTAGCTCCCGGACCCTTGATGCCAGGCCTTCCCGCAGGAATGACGATACTTTGCGGCCCATCCGTCTCCAGGACGGTCCCCAGGCCGCAAAGCCTTTGCTGACCGACACCACGGCCTCTGCCCTGCCACCCGCGTCTGTTCGTCCGTCCCAGGAGCTCCCCATGAGGTCCCATACCATCCATGGGGAGAGGTTAGCCGCTCGCAAACCCCGGCCCCTCATCGATAATGTCGCCCTCTACACCAACCACAACTTGCCCGTGCCCAGGGACACCACCACCCTCCAGGAGCTAGCCCACTTGACCCGACTGTCCAGGTACCAAGCCCGCAAGAGGAATATCACCCGTGTTCGTCTGGAGAGGACCCTCATCAGCACCGCGCTCGGCGCCCGCCTGACGCGCTGCGGTCACATTGCCCACCGCAACTTGGTCGACAGCTTCCGCAAGGACGAAAAGGACAACTTTGCCGCCCTGTACAATGCCGTACAGGACGTCAGAAAGAGCTGCGACGAACTGAGGAGATTTGCCCTTCTCGAACCTGACCTGGAATCCCAGTCCTCCCCCATCCTTGGCTCCTCCGAAAGCGTCGACACTATTTCGCCCCCTTCCAATGACGAAGCCCCTCCACGCCCCGCGGCCACCTTTTTCGACGACATTTCTGTCTCAGCTAGAGACTGTTTCCTTGAGTTCCTCTCCGAGATCCGGAATAACCCGGATTACTTGCCCGCTAGGATATCTTCCCTCTCCAGCTCGGAGCTCAACGTCTTTCTTACCCCCCATCGCGGCCTCGAACCAGTCGAGTCTGTCCTTTCTTCCACCAACCGCTCCTATGCCCGGAACTACCCCAGCAACCGCCACGCCGTCGGCGACGTCGAGCGCTTCATGTCCTTTCAGCGCCACGACCCACTTTCCATCCTCATTCACACTTGCTTTGCTAACTCGGCAGGCCCTGACAGCAGCGAGGACCGAAAACGCTTGGAGGTCTGGGCCTCGGTCCTGGCCAAACTCATATCGGAGCCCAAGTCCTCAAGTGAGCACTTCTTGATCTGCGTACTCAACTGCTGGACCATGATGCGCGAGTGGTCCGGAAAATCCAACATGGAATGGTACCTCATGAAGATCCTGTCTGACGGCGCCTTTCTCCTCGAAAGGGCCGAAGACCAACATGGCACCCGCTTCAATCTCTCCGATTGGACCCAGGCCGACGAAATTGCTTCCCGCGAGTTTTACGAGAATGCCGTGGACCAGCTCTTTGAGATCGTGGATGACCCGGACAATACTGGAATCCCGGATGGCCTGCTTGAACTTGGCAACGCCGTCCTGAAGAAGTTGGACAGTAAGTATCTCGACAACACATCCAAATGGCTTGTCTGGAGATGTCTCTTTTTTGTCTTCTTCCTCGGCGTCATTGTCTATCCAGAGTCACACGGAATGCTTACCGAGCACCACATCACCCCCTATGCCAGGGAAAAGATTCTGAAAAAGGTTGCCATGAAGGCACACGAATACGTTTCCGGTCTCTGGAGCGGAAACAAGTCTACTGCCGCCAAGACAGCTGATATTCCGCGCCATATCCAGGTCCACATCGAGAGCATTCTGGCTAGATTCCAAAACTCCGAGTACAAACCCCCTGCTTCTCGTCTCTTGCCTGCCAAGTCGATAACATCTCTTCGCGAAACGGTAGAAGTTCACCCCTATCTAGTCCTGTGTCCGGCGGACCTGTCCTGCTTGGTGAATGCCCTGTATCCGGAACGCCGTCCACTATCGTCCGCCTCGAGCACGTTCAAATCTGGCTCTGCCTCCATATCAGGCCTTTCCTCTGCGTCCACACCTGTGGCCTTTTCCAACCCGAGAAACAGCTTTGAGACTGCATCGGTAATTAGCACTAGTGTATCCTCTGTTTTTAGCGAGGCTGCCTCTCGCGACGACCATGCTGATGGCTCCGCCAAGACTACTTCAGTGCGAGACTCGCCCACCATCACAGAACCAGATCTACAGCGCAAGCTCAACAAATACGAGGACGGCGGCTATCCGCTTCGACTTGCGCTTCACGAACTAAGCCGAACTCTCGGTTCAGACCTCGTTCGTGGCGCTAGCCACCCTTGCGCAGAACGTTGGGTGGTGCTTTTTGTGTCGTCCGATGGCAAGAAGCTAGAGACGAGTCTCAGCTACGACGCTGATGAAGAACACGATGAGCGCAATTCGTCGAGTAGCGACTACGATAACGAAACTGCATCAACATCCGAGCTAGACAAGGGCTACTACCAACTGCGTGATGCAGTCCTTAAGCTGGTGGAAGAATACGAAATTCCTCGAGATCTGGAAGCAGAGGCCAGCGATGTTGAAATTTCCAATCGTCCGTCTAGGCTGAAAAAGCCTATGCCGAAACGCACCGCTAGGCGAGAGAAGCTTGCTCCGGAGCCAACTGGTGGTGTTTCAATACGCCGATCACACTCGCCGCACACATCGCCTCGGCCTGTGATCCATTCCGCCGAGCCCGAAAAAGAGGCCCCGCTCCTCACAATGCTTAAAGCAGCGTGGTCTCAGTCCAAAGCGCAGGCCGACTTTGTGTCGTCACATATGTACTGGAGGACACTGAATCAGCTTCGCAGCCTAAGCTCGGAATCTCTGCGACGCAATGGATATGCGGCGCTCATCAACATATTTTCCCGTGAACCACGAGACTATATCAGCAAGTCGGCCATTGCTATTGAAGAATACGAAGCCTGGCTGGTCTGGCTTAAGCAGAGTCAGGAGCGTCTAGAGTGTCAGATTGATCTCATGATGCGGCAGACGAGGGCGATTCGCGATAAGATGTGGTACATTGCTGATGTTCGCAACTCCAAGGAGTACGAACACAGCCGTGACATTTGCCAAGCACTTCGTGCCATGGGCACCACAAGTCGCTGGCGCTCGCCAACCTCGCGGTCGGGCAAGAGCAGCTCATACATTAACAAGGCTGAGTCTCAAGTGTTGGACATGATTGCAGCCTTGCCTGACCAAGGCGGACCCAACAAATTGAGTGACGAGCAAGCAGATTTGACATCGGCTTGGCTCAAACGATATGGGATCGAAAACTTTTGCCAGGGAGAAGAGAGGATACACCGTTTCTGCTGCGAGGTAGAAAGATGCGTGGGAAAACTGGTTGGAGAAACAATTAGAGAGGCCCCAGTGCTGTGGTCCAGCGAGCTCTACAAACGGGACAAGGCAATGTACGATCGGATGAAGATGCGGGAGAGAGACCATGGGTGGTCAAGCGATGACACAGCTAGCATCATGAGCGAAAATGAGCGACGGCAAACATTTTCTTCGCTGCGACCCTCGACCTTTGGAAGAGATCTGCGGACCGTTAGCTCACAAAACACATCCCTGGAATCTGTTCGGCATGGGTTTGCAAGACATGCCGCGTCGCTGTCCGAGGTACTTGATGGCCATGACAGCTTTGACCGATACTCGCCTGTTCAATCATCGGATTCGGTCCACACTTTCTGGTCGCCATTTCAGCCGCCCAGATCTCCTGCCTCCGGCCGCGCCTACTCTCCCACTACCAGCTTAAGTAATCTCTCGACGACTTTTACCGGCTCCCCGCATCACGCAGCGCAGGCATCGCATAGCAGTGTTTCCACTGGCCGGCCAGCTACAGCAACGTCGTCTACCGAAACGGTGTACCAGCACGTTGCTGATGGAGATCGGGCCAGGTTTCTCACAGAGCTCAGACAATCCCTGACAAGCCTGCTGTTGTCTGACCTGGGTAGCCAGCTCCTATCCAAAGGATCCGAAACAGACATGTGGGTGGCGCAGCTGGGGCAGGAATGTATCGACCGCAAGGAGGCGCTGGAGCAGCACGCCCAACGAAAGAGTGCGCTGAAGGAGAAGCCAAGCCGCAGTTCGACAAAACCTAGGGTCATTGAGAAGAAGAAAAGCTTTGGCAACCTCCGTGGTGCTGGGGAGAGCGCACTGGAGCGGCTAGATGGGGTGGATAGTTCCTCGAGTCCAAGCACGTCGAGCTTTCTCACCCAGCTGGAAGATACTCAGCCTGGGAAGCCGAGAGACCAGGACGCAGAATTTCCATTCAGAAATGCCTACCGACGCCTGTTAACCATGTTTTCGGTGCATCCGAATCCCTACGCTAAGCTACAGGCGTTGAAGGAACTTGAGCATCTCTTGGCGGCGTCGATGCCAGCCTCGGTACGCAAAAAGTCAAGATGGAGACCGGAGATGGCGACCAGTCAGGAGACCAGGGACATGGCGCCTCGACGCACAACCCTAGATGGAGCCATTGACTCAGTCCAAGAAAAGCGGATGCAACAGACGGGCAATTACAACCTGTACGCCGCCAGTGGCGGGTCTCGTGGGACGTCTGGAACCGACGCCATTATTCCGGAGCTGATGAAGCTGTTCAAGGACCCGTCGATGCGGCCAAAACAGCTGTACCGTGACCTGCAGCTGATTTCAGCCTTCGTCTCACCGGCCGTGCTTGATCGACCGGACAAAAGTAAGGCTTTTTGGGATGTAGGATTGGCGGCGCTGAAGCTCAAGTCGGAGGTGTGCCGGACCATGGTGGAAATGGCAGACGAAGTGTTTGCAGCACATACACAGACACGAGGCTCCGCCATCGACACGAACGCGGGAGGCGCACCCGTGCAGTCGTGCACAGGCACCCCGCCGCCACCGTCGTCGACGTATAAGCTCAAAGACGTAGGCCGGATGTGGGCCATTACGGCTCGTGAGGGCTACCCGACGGCGCAGCGCGAGCTCGCCCTGTTTTATCTGTCCAACCCCGAGTTTGTGGAACGCATCACACTGCCTCTGTCGAAGCCGCGCGAAGTCTTTAAGCAGGTCGTGATGGACAAGTACAAGCGCAACGAGAAGCGCAGCAGCGGCGTGGGGGGGCAGAGTGGGGGTGGTGCCGGCGCGGCGGCACTAGGCGGCGGCCCGCAGACAACGGGCAAGGACAGCGACGTGAGAAACGACCCGGGGTTGATGTGCGTAGCCGTGCACTGGATGGAGGCGGCGGAGCGAGGCGGCGACGAGCTTGCGACGAGCTTTTTGCGACAAAATGAATTCATGGTACGGGGATGAGTCCAGTGGTGTTGTTGATTTTGGGAGTTTTTGGCGTATTTTTGAACCGGGACATGTTGGATCTGGGCATGCTGAGATTACCTGGGTATAATATCTGGACATTTCGTGCCCTGTATTGTTGGCTCATCCTTTATGATTGCGCATATTTTACATGCATGGCGATTTGGGTATAGATTGGATATATAGACTGTGTTTTTGAACAAGGGCGTTTTGTCGGTAGTGTAGTGTATGGCAGGCGTGAATAATGGGATAAAGCTGGTGACAGGGTATCGGCATTGCAACAATAGCTGCTGCCTAGCATCAGTGAGATGAAAGCCTGATAGTAGAGTAGGAATCACAATAAACTGTGGAACCCGTGAAACCTACGATAACCTCTTTTGATCGCCGTCGCCGCTATCCATTGACACGACTATTCATAAGCCGTTTCTGTATATAGTAGGCTCTAAAAATTTGTCCCTACCATGGCGTCCAAAACGACGTGAATGTTACAAAATATGAAAAATAATATAATAATAAGTAAAAAGAAGACATCAAAAGGACAGGCCTAGGGATTTTTAATAATACTGATTCACACAGGATGCGTGCACGTCTTTATTGCTCCTTGAAGGCTGTTGTCTGCCTGGAGAAGTGGGTCCGGATCCGGCTCTCGACCAATTAGAGGCATCGGTCACTTGGTGGCTGCTTCCACAAGGCTCCAACACTTGGATCAACACAAACGGATCGAAACTCGAAACCCAGCGTTCATTCCCCTTCAGCATCATCCATCATGGACGAGTCCACTGCGTATACCCATGGAAGTCCTCTCCTAAGGCTTCCGCTCGAGCTGCTGCTCCGCGTCAGCCATCATCTGACGACCATCGAGCTGGGCAACCTACGCTTGAGCTGTCGGCACGTTGAGAGCAGCCTCTTCCACAGTTTCGCGCGCGAATTCTTCCTTCACAAGCAGTTCAACCTGACCGAGTTCAGCCTGAAAGCGCTCGTTGCAGTGTCGCGCAGCCGGATGGCGCCGCACCTGCGCTTCCTGCACATTGGACTCGAGACTGTCTCTCACGCGAGCATGTGCCAAACGCAGCGCTCGACGGCGCATACGCACCGCCACAATCGGCTGCACGCCGAGAACTGGATCCTCTCCGCCACCGGCCAGGATGTGGTGCTGCTGGCCGAGGCGCTGCGGGGGCTGGTGAATCTGGAAGACGTGGTGCTGCGGGATACCAATTCCTCGCGAAGGTCGAGGGACGGCCATGGTGCGACGTGGAGGAGCTACGGAGATGCCACATTTCGGCAGCAGACGGGTACACTTCTGTCGAATGCGATGGCGCTGAGGGACGATGAGTTTGCCAGCTACAGGGTGCTCATTAAGACGCTGCAGGCGCTGGCCGCGGCGGATGCCAATGTGGGAGGGATCGAGCTGCTGCTGCGCCGGCATGGCGTGCCATGGCGCGGCACGTTCTACATCCCAGAGTATCTGGTACCCACGGTGCGGCCGGTGCTGGCAAAACTGACCAAGCTACACCTCGTTATTGGCGACAACTACCGCGCGCGGCCCAACGTCGACTCCTTCGATGCGGAAACCTGGAGTTTTGACCTGCGCACCTTTCTCTCGTACGTGCCTAATCTCCGCGATTTCCGCTTCAACGGCCAAGGCGGGAACACGGTCGTGTTTGCACGGTTCCTCGAATGGCTCAGCCTCGACGCCGGCTCGGCCGCGCCGCCGCCTGCCGGTGTCACGAATTCTGAGGAGACGGCCATTATTCAGGCCGGCCCGCCGCCTGTCGGCTTTCCGCAGCTCACCCGTTTCAGCCTCGGCAGGATTTACGTGCAGCCGCCGCTGCTTGTGCGGCTGCTCCGCAAGTTTGCGCCGACGCTCGAGGACCTTGCCCTCTGGGAGGTGACGCTGTGCGTGGACGATGAGCAGGAGCTCGTCGCGTGGCGGGGACTCTGGCAAGAACTGCGCGGCCTGGGCGGGCTCGACAAGCTGCGCCGGCTCAAGGTCGGACGCCAAACGTTCGACGATGTGCAGGTCATCCGGTCGAGGCCTGTCACCGCACGGTTTAGGGACGGCGGGGGTGAGGTCGAGTACATAGGCTCCGACTGGCGGGCCTTTGCACGGGAGACGCTGGAGAGCGCGGAGATTACACGCATTGTGCAGGATGAGGACAGTCAGGACAACGAAGACAGTAGCGACGATGATTAAGATGACAACAACATTCAAGACGATATCAACAGTCCTATACCCAGTTGCCACCGGAGCTGTCATGGGACTCGGCCCATGGCGGAGGGCTAGCGTCAGACTACACACACCTTTTCCCATGTCTATGCGTCAACCATTAGTCATTAGAAAACCTTGATACGATCTATTTGTTATCCGTTTGCAACTATTGATAGTTAGTTGGCCTTGTTACCGATAGTTGTTCGCGTTGCGGAGAGCGGGGCTGGGAATGGGGCCGAGGAGATAGGGCTGATTATGTTGCGCTTTCTTTTAGTCGCCCGCCGCCGCCAGGGTCCTGCCTAGCACACCCACATGGGTGATGTATGATGTAGGTAAAAAAAGAAAACAAAAAAGAAAAAAAACAAACATGGGACTTGTTGGCGATGAGGGTGTAAGCCGAATGTGGAACAGAGTTGGCCATGACGGCCGAGATGTTTTTACTCCCCAGCAAACTCCTTTTTCTTTGTTTCTCGCCAAGTCTCTTGTTACAGTGTAGCTATTCAGCGAGGTATTTCTTGCCTCCCGCCCAAAGACGAGGGGAATAAGGAAATGTGTGCAAACTAATGATTGCGCTAACAAAAAATTCACGAGCGCTAGGCGCGTTAAGCAATGGCTGGTAGTGTGTGTGTGCCATGTGAGCCCGAGCCGCGCTACTGTGTAAGCCGGTCTCGCCACGGAACTTAAAAAGTAATATGCAGAAATATGTTGATTTCCTCTGGTATATAAAGACTCCCTTTTCCCCCTGCCAGGTCTTTCCTGCTCTTCCTTCTTTCTCCCCAGAACACACCAGACTTCGTTGACTTGCAACCAACACACACACACACACAAAACTTGTGAGTAACACTGATCCTCTACATTGCGGCACCTGTCTATCCTTGGATGGAAACTAGACGGAATAAGAAAAAACTCAACACTGATCATGTACGCCAGACTACACCCTGTTCAAGATGCAGACTTCTGTTCTTGTAGCCGCCGTCGTGGTCGCCGCCTCGGCCGCCTCGGCCCGCAATATTCCCGAGCCGGCCGCGCAGCAGCTCAAATCCATTAACATTGACAATGGCATTGATACCAGCAGCACCATCACCACCACGGCCACGGCCACGGCCACTGCCACTGCCACTGCCACTGCTACTGCTACTGCTACTGCTACTGCCACTGACACTGCCACTGCCACCACCACCGTCACCAAGACCAAGACCAAGACCAAGGGCAAGAACAAGACCAAGCACAAGACCAAGACCAAGGGCAAGATCCAGACCCAGACTTCTGCCACTGAGTCGTTGACCACGCTTTCCGACTGGGTTTGGAAGCATAAGCCCACCAGCAGCAGCAGCAGCAGCGACAGCCCCACCACCACCGTCACTGTCACCGCCACCACCACCGAAACCATGACTCTGGCCAAGATGGAGCCAGAGCTGGAAAAGGTGTCTCTGGCGTCCCGGACCAAGATTGTGAAGACGCCCGTCACCTTGCAGACATCGATCTCCGCGCCGGCCACCACCACCACCAAGCCAAAGCCAAAGGGCACGAGCTGGCAGGACTTTGCTTGATACGTGCGTGTCGCCTCGTATTATTCCCCTGGCAGGCAGGGCAGAGACACCAACTCCCTCTAGCAGGGTAGCAACGGTGGGAAAAGGATGGGCAAAATGGGCACTTGAGGTGTCAAATGTATTAAGAAGTACACGCAGTTAATACAACCAATCCTGTTGCGATTCATGTCGTCCTTGGTGGGTTTGTCAAGTAAAGTAAGAAAATCACAGTGGTATCAAGGCACCGTTGTGTCAAAGCAAGACGTGTACCGGTGTATCAAAGCATTCGTCCCAGCGCGTTTTCCCCGAAGCCCAAAAACGAGAAAGTGTGAACAAGATATTGCTTGGGCCGCTGCTGCCGACGGGCACCCTGCGCAGCTCGTCGGCGACGGTCAAGATGGCCGCCTTGGTTTCCGCTGGTCCATCATGGTATGCGATGCCGAGCACGGCAAGCGGCCAGCACAGGCAGCCATGGACCAGACTGGCGCGGCGCTTGCCAAGTACAACGATGCCAAAGAGAAGTTTGCGGTAGTGGAGACGTGCTTGGTTAACCTCACTGACTTGTTGCTGTTTGCTCTTCTCTTTTCGTTCTGGATTTGGCTTTTGCCCCATCTTGGCAAAAGGCTGCGATAACTCAGTTGGGAGCGAGAGCAAGGCATATAGTATAGTGGCGAGTTTGAATGCCGTGTCGTAGACAGTCCTCACCTTGCGAGGCTCGGGCACGGTACTAAAGGCCTTGGTCCAGCAGGCGGGATCAAACAGGTTCAACTTTTCCGAAGTGCGCTCCGCAGAGACCAGCAGGGCAGCAGGCGACACACCGTTTGCTACAGCCACGCGAAGATTGGTGATGCGACCTACACAGAGGAAGAGGGCCGTGGGGCATGGTAGGATATCACTAAGCGAGTAGTCGTAGGCTTGTGAGTATTGCGTTTCAGTCCATTCCTTAGCCTGTGCTATCTGGTCGGTGGCAGGGCTAGTCGCGTTGGCCATGGTGACGGCGCTGTTTTTCGGTGGTGGCGTCCCATGTCAGTCGTTAAGCGTACTGTGGGAAAATGGGTGGGCGCTCACATGGCAACACTGTGAAAAAGAAATATGGCTTGGGGAATCGAGTCAACAACAGCTTGAAAGCCTCCATGGTGCCGGACAAGGGCAAAGAAACCTCGGATGTGGGATCGCCATGGCAGATCAGGGATGTGGAACTGAATGGGAGAGTTGCAGTGAGCGCAGGAGCAGGATGGGTGCGTGGGTGGCTTACCCCTGTGAACATGAGGGAAGCTATTTGATAGAGTGAAGAACGTATCAAAAAGCGATCAGCGAGCTCGCTATTCAATGCAGCGAGGGTGTAAGTCATGTAGACTTGGAAGCTATGCCAGAGGGGTTCAATTCCGGGCAAGGCGTCGCGTTGCGGCAAGACACCATTTTCTCGGCAGATGGCGCGGATGCGATCTGCGAGCATAGACATGATGAAAGTATGTTCTATGGCAGGTAGAGCATCGCGTCGGCCGACGACACCATGTTCCTGGTATAGGGCGCGGGTGCCCTCTCCGAGCAAAGCCGTGGCAAAAGTATGTCGAGATCGTAGGGTCACGCTGTGGGCTTCCAGCCCGTGCATGTCGGTGAGACTCCATGCCTGATAGCGAGGGACCAAGACTCGAAGGTCTGACGGTCATGGCAAACTATTTAGTACAGCGTGCCGAGGCGGGGGGGGGGCAGGCGGGAAGAGAACTGACAATAACGCACAGCTTCCATGATGTCTGCATCCGGAAGCGGCGCTTGTCGAAACGGTGCGGTACTGAGGACTGTTTGCTGGCGGCAAGGTTGGCCGTCTCCCGGAGGACGCCATACGAGTGAGTATTGACAAGTGCGCCCACTGCTCACGCATCTTCTGCAGTCAGGTTGAGTCTCATCGCATTTGATCCGGCGCGTGCTGCAGGCAGTAATTAGAGACAAGGAAACGGGCGAAAGTTGGCGGAGGTTGGGCGAGGATGCAGCTTTTGGTAGACGAACCGGCAGGTACGGCAGCCTGTGCGAACTCTAGGTGCCCATTGCTTGCGACGCGGTTCGATAGAGGGAAAGTTCGTCATGATTTATACCAACGCGAGGTATTGAAGTGTAGGATGAGGATGGGAGAAGTCAAGATGGGTAGGAGCGTTTGATGATGGGTGGATGGTGGGACAAGCCGCTGCGGGGTGGAGGATTCGATAAAGCTGACAGTGACGAGTATATCAATATATCTAGCCGAGGCAGAACGTAAGTGCAGGGAGCTTGATAGGGAAGAATCAAGAAATTTGGCAATCTCAGCATCGTGCATTACCATCTAAGAACACGCAGAATAATATGTCTCGCAAGGGCTCAGATGGTGCTGGTAGACCGTTGAAGGTTCAGCAATACGTACAAACAGGTTGCCAGGTGGCAAGTGTGTGGGCGGGTAGACGCGGCGCAGCTACGAGTACGGCAAGTGAGAGATACAGACAGATGTCGACAAATGGAAAGTAACGTTACCAGCACAGCACAGAGTAAATTAAGAAGGCCGACAAATCAACATGGCGGACAGGTCGCTGCGCGGTAGTTGGAACAGGAGAGGCTCACCATCAAGAATAAGTGCCTAGTAATGAAGTGCAAGCGCACTTTGAGGCTATTGACCCACGTGAGCACGCGTCGGGTTGGTGTGCAGCCTCTGGATAATCCATAATCCATGACGATCTGGCGCGTCTGCTGCCTAGAATTCAGCTGTGGATGATTGCGGTGCACAAGGCACGATTATTGATTATTGACATTTCACGCGGCTGGGCCAAGCCGACAACAAGCGGGTCGGGCTAGGCAGCAGAGGCCCCTGATGAGCGAATCCAGTTAGTTACAGCAATTTAGCGATCTCAGCCTTGTGTGCCTAATTAATTGCGCATAACAGCCGCTCTCCTGCTTTCCCTGCTCCCTGCTCCCTGCTCGCTGCCTGCCTGGCCTCCTCCATCCGTGCACTGCCAGTAGTTACTGAGCAACAAGAATAAAAACCCGCGTCCATCCGCGCAACTTCAGCCTCGTCCTGCATCGCATTCTTCCAAATTTTGTGTACACTTTACCTTGCCTCATCATTTCTCTTCCACTTCAGACCAATTAGCCTTTCCCTTAACATGCCTCGGGCGAAGAAGAAGGCCACTGAGGATCCAGCCCCCATGAACGGTGCGGCAAACGGCACCACCACAACCTCATCCACCATCCCCGATGCCACGCCTTACGGCGCGGTCCATCGTCCTCTCGAAGGCCTCCGAATCGCCGTCAGCGGTCACGTCAATGTGAGCGACTACGGGCCCCATGGTATTGAGTACCTCCTCGGCGACCTCGGCGCTGTCCAAGAGAATCGCGTTGTCAATGCCGTCACACACGTCGTTTCCACCAGGGAAGACTACCTTAAAAATGCCACCAAGGTCCGAAACGCCAAGGACAAGGACCTTCCCATTGTGCGAGCTGCATGGGTCACAGAGTGCGACCGCACGCAGACCCTCGTTGACGTCGAAAAGCACACCTGGTCCCAAGTCATTGAAGAGGAGGAAAAGCTCAAAGATGCCCGCCGAGAGTTTCTCGCGGCACAAACTATTAGCCAGACAAATGGCGCAGACAAGAAGCGTCCCATTGCCGTCTCCAACTCGAATGATGTCGCTGCCAACGACGACGACGTAGACGAGCCACAAGCAGCAGAGCCCAAGCCAAAAAAGGCTCGATCCGCAAGGGGCAAGGCGAAAGCACCCTTCGAGGAGGAAGACCAGGAGATGAAGGATGCTGACAAGGACGATGAATCCGCCAAGCAACTGCAAGAGGAGGACGCCAATGGCGCCAATGGCGCCAAAGAAGAACAAGGCCAGATCGCCAAGCAGGGACTCGTCATTCCCGTTGACAGCTTCTGCTCCCTCCCCGGCTTTCAAGTATACCTTGATCCCGACTCTGGTGTCATCTACGACGCATCGCTCAACCAAACCAATGCCAGCAATAACAATAACAAGTTTTATATTATCCAGGTAAGCTCTGCTTCTCCGCCAACCGACCAGTCACCGCTAACGTTTCCAGCTGCTACACGACGCAAAGGCGGGCAAGTTTTCTACCTGGACTCGCTGGGGCCGCGTCGGTGAGCCCGGCGCCAGCGCCTCTCTCGGCAACGGCGAACTCTCGAGCGCTCTGACCAACTTTGAGAAAAAGTTCAAGGACAAGTCGGGCCTGCGATGGGATGATCGCAGCAACCCCCCGCGCCCGGGAAAGTACGCGTTTGTGGAGCGCAGTTACGAGCCGGACTCGGACCACGAGGACGACGGCAACGGTAGTGCGGCCGGTGACACGAAAACCGTTATGAAAGAAGAGCCCGAGCCTGACTGCACGCTCGATGAGCCGACCAAGGCACTAATGGAGATGATATTCAACAATGGTTTTATGCAGGCCACGCTCGCTGAGCTCAACTACGACGCCAACAAGCTGCCCCTCGGAAAACTCAGCAAAACCACCATCCTGCGCGGCTTTGAGCAGCTCAAATCCCTCTCGGACCTCTTTGACGACAGCTCGCTTGCTGCCTCCCGCTGGAGCTTACCACTTCCCAACGCCATCGAGTACCTGTCCAACACCTACTACTCTCTCATCCCGCATGATTTCGGCCGTCAGCGGCCACCCGTCATCTCGGACCCGCGCCGTCTGAAGCGGGAGGTCGAGCTGCTGGAGTCTCTTTCCGACATGAAGATTGCGGCCGACCTTATGAAGGCCGACCGCAAGGCTGCCGCGACGGACCCCGTACATCACCTCGACCGCAAGTTCCAGGGCCTTGCCATGGAAGAAATGACGGCCCTCAAGCGCACCACCAAAGAGTTCAAGACGCTCGAGCAGTACCTCTGCGGCACCGTCGGCAGCACCCACAACTACAACTACCAAGTCGTCGACATTTTCCGCATCGAGCGCCGCGGCGAGAAGCAACGCTTCGCCGCGTCCAGCTTTGCTAGCATCCCCTCGGACAAGCGCCTTCTATGGCACGGCTCGCGCTCCACCAATTTCGGCGGCATCCTCAGCCAGGGCCTGCGCATCGCGCCTCCCGAGGCCCCCGTCTCCGGCTACATGTTTGGCAAGGGCATCTACCTCGCCGACATGTCGTCCAAGTCGGCCGGCTACTGCGTGCCCAGTATGTCCAAAGGTGAGGGTCTGCTGCTCCTCTGCGAGGCCGAGCTCGGCAACCCCATGCTCGAGCTCGTCCACTCGTCCTACACCGCAGATGAGGAGGCGCGCAACGCCGGCAAGTTCAGCACAAAGGGACAGGGTACCTTTGCGCCGCCCCAGTGGATAGACGCTGGCGCCGTCCACAGGAGCCTCAAGGGCATCACAATGGTATGTTTTTTTTTTGGGTCCTCTCTTCGCTCGAGCGTGGGCTTATATCGAATGTAAATGGGACGTGACGCTAACAACTTGCAGCCCGATCCGAGCAAACCCGCCCAAAACACGAACATCCAAAACGCCTCGCTCTACTACAACGAGTACATTTGCTACGACACTGACCAGGTTCAGCTTCGCTACCTCTTTCGCGTCAAAATGTAAGCTGTACAGTCATGTTTTGGAGCGACGCTTGCTTCGTCATGGTCACAGCGCTTGCATTTTAGGAAAATTGAGTTTTTTGTCAGTTGATATTGGATGAATGGACGCCATCCATCTGCTGTTTTCGACATGGTATGATAATAGTTGTAAAAGAACATCGCTTGCTTTAGCCGTCTCTCGTCATTCGCAATTCGTATAAAAGCTAGAAAAGGAAAATTATACGCCCGCGCCATTGGCGAATTCCGGCGCCATCCATTCAGAGTTGGGCGCCCACATGGTACTCAGGTCCATGACACCCATCGCATGGTCCAGCCCGTTGGCCAGTCCCAGGCCTTCTAGGGCACCTTCGTACGCATTATTCAGCTCCGTCGATGTCAGCCCCGTGGCATCTTCCTCGTCGTTGGCACCCATGCTCGACTCAAAAGGCTTCCAAGCGTCCGGCAGCATCGTCGGCGACAGCATGGCCATATTGGGACTGTACACGTCGGGTCGCGCTCCTGAGCCGTTGCTCAGGCGCGCAGGGGTGTGGATCACAGACGGCTCGTCGCCTACGCGAATATTCCTGAGAACCGGGTGTTGCGGAAAGGCGGTGCGCCCGCGTGTACTATTCTGCGCTTCGAGGACGGGCGACGACGTGTCGGCGGCGCCGAGGCCTCCATTGATCAGGCGCTCGAGGTCGGCCTGCACGCCGGCCGCGGCCGGCCCGCGACAGCACTGTTGTATGACCTTGAGGCACGCCTTGGACTGTTCAAGCACGCTTTCCGCCGCGAGGCCAAATTTGACGGCATCGAGGCGGTAGGCGTAGTGCAATGTGCGGGCGCACTGGAATGCGCAAATGGCCAGGTCGAGATCGGCAATGGGCCGAGCATGGAGCTTCTCCATGCACTGGAAGATGTCGGTCATGGCGATGGAGTGTTCTACACACTGGCGCTGGCAGTGGTCGAGAAAGCTCTGGTCCAGTGACTCGAGCGTCTCCAGCGGCAGTGCATCGCGAAAGCCCGTCATAGCTAGACGGTAGAGATCGCTGTAACACTGGCGCCAGTATATGTGGATCATGACAAAGGCACATATTCGAGGCGAGTACGCACGCAGACGCATAGAGTTTTCCGAAAACTGAAATGAGGCGGGCATGCGGAAAGCAAAGTCCTCCAGTTCCTGGTGCAGGCCAATGACCCGGCTCTGCAACTCGGCGGCATTGATGTTGCGGCCGATGAGTGCGGTCTTTGTGAATTCGATAATCTTTTGCCGAATGTGCAAAATGCGGACATTGAGAGCTAAGCTGCCAATGTCTTCGGACCGGGGTTGGTTCGGGTCGTCGGGGTCGGGGACCAGCTTTTCGGTGGGCTTTGAGAGGTCAAACTCAAAGTTACGCTCATTGCACGGCAGGCCAACATAGATACGGTCAGCGCGCCAAAGCGAATACTCGGCAAAGCCGCCCGATATCCCAGAATCAATGCAGTAGAGCGACCACATGAGGCGGCGGCGCGACTCCTGGGCGAGGAAGCAGAGATTGGGGCTGTGATGATTGAGGCGGAGAGCAGCGGCGAAGCGGGAGGCGAGGCTGAAGAGCATAAAGGCGCTGGGAAATTTGCTGCAGAGTATACGGTGCTTAATGATGAGGACTAGCGCTTGCACTTTGATGGTCGAGGGGATTGTGTAGTCGGCAAAGATGAGCGACTCTGCCTCGTCTATGCATCCGTCACCATATTCACGTATGCCGGGGCCCATGCTAGTAAGACACGAGGTAATGCCGATGAGGGCGAGAAGGAGGGCCTTGTCTACTTTTCCAGCATAGTACTGCTCCATCAGAGAGGCGCGGTGCAGGAAGGAGAACACGGGGATGTGATGGATATGATGAAAGAACTTTTCAAAGGTTCGCCGGATTAAGGAGTCAAAGGACTCGTCTGGCGAGGGACTTTTTTTTCGTTAGCATTTTTGACTTGACGCGGACAATTTCTACGTATGGCATCTTCTACTGGTAAGGATATCGACTTACCCGTCATGGCCGTAGGAGGCGGGTGTGCTGACCGGGTCACTCATGGCACGATCGCTGTCATCGCGGGCATCGTAGCTGTCACTGTCTATGGAGCGAGTGGCGGGGCTCCTAATACTGCCGTGGGGATGAGATGGCGTCCTGATGCGCTTGGTGGGACGATAGACGCAGTCTAGACCGAGCGAGGAGCATCGCTCACAGCTGGGTAGGTGGCCGGAGCACCTTGCCTTGCGGCTGTGGCAGGTAAGACAGGCCTGCTTGACGCGGCGACGTGGTAGGGCGATTTGCCATGCATCAGCGTCGGCCTCGTCGTAGGAGCAGGGGAAGCCGAGGCGTTGGCAATTGGAGCACATGGGACGAGCGCCGTTGCATCGAACCTTGCGATGGCGGCAGGTCGCGCAAGTGGAGGACGACTTCTTTGGCCGACGGTCCAGGGGCGTCGCGGGGGCAGCAGCGGTGAAGGCACCGGCGATGGGCTGCAACGGCGCGGGGTCGACGGCGGCCTCGGACGCGGACCTTGCATGGCTCCGGGCATCCAGCGTGTTAGGCGGGGAGAGAGGCGTGGCAACGTTCATCCTCGGTGGTGTGTCTCATGGAGTAGCAGCGAGCAGCCAGACGGACCGTCGGGCGGTTTTTTGGGGAAGTCGGGAGCGCCACTGTGGTGCAGTGTCGGAATGTCGGGGGTTGTGAGCTTGCGTCTGTCCGAGTTGCGGAAAGAAGCAAAAAGGGATGGCGGACAGGTTCGGAAATAGAGTCCAGAGTGGCGAGGCAGTGGTAGGAACTGATGGATTGAAAAGATGATGTCTCTGGTAAAAGGGGGACAATGAGCGTTTGTGGGAGAATGCGGGCACAATGGCTGGAAGTAGTAGCAGTAGTAGAGTGGTAAAGTGGTAGTAGTAGAGTAGTAGTAGTGAGAGAGAAGGAGAGCGAGTGGGAGGACAGAGCCGGGCGATCGATCCTTGATCCTGGTGGGGTGGGTTGGTTGAATTTTAATCAACTTTTTTTTTTTTTTTTTTGGCCCTCCAATTCCCATCCGCCTTTTTCTGGATTTCTTGGCTGGTGGTGGCGTGGCGACTGCGAGCAATCAATGAGCGGCGAGAGCAGCCAGCAATACTACACCTACTTACTGTAGGTACACTGCTTTGACTCGTAAAACGAGCCCCCAAATCAGGCGGCCAAGGCTAGCCGATGGGCCGGTCAGGTGCCTGGCTTGGCCCTGCCCACTGTAATTGGCCGTAATAGGCTAGAAAAGGCAACTACAGGCCACTATCGGCCGCTGGTGCAGCAAGTGCCTGCGATGTCGCCGACGGCCCGCCACGCTTTACTCCGGCTTTCCAACCCTTGCCAGGCCTGCTTGCAAACGGCGAATGACAAATGACAAAGGCCGAACTTGTTGTTCCATCAACATGGGCTCTATCTATTCTTGATAATTACTCTACATCTCCATCGCATTGCGTACCATCGCCGTCGCCATCCCGTCACCGTCACCGTCACCATTCTGGAAATCGCCACACAAGCAATCAATCTTACAGACACACTGTCTCACATGCACCGTCGACCGCCCTCCCCGTACAGCGTCGCACCAATTTATGCGCCCTCCTCGTCGTCTGTGCTTCTCGCTACGCCAATATTTAAGCATATTTTTCACCCGGGTCCTTTCCGACCCGACTCCTGTCTGACCGACATGGTGTTGACATGACCATCACTAACTCATAACTAGTTAAAATGATACACACGCACAAGGAGCATTCGCTAGCGACAACGCCCCAGCCTTTCCAGCCCGAGCCTCCGGTTCAACACCGTTGCGCCCCAGCGAACAAGCCTCCACCATCGGCCTCCGCCGTTGACCCGCTATCGGCGTAGCAAAGCCCAGGCCTAGCGCTTGGCGCTCTCTCCTATGTACATATTATTACGTGGACTGCATCAACCCTGCTGGCCTCTTCCTATCTAGTCGCGTCGATCACTACTTACAAGAACAGGAAAGCGCAAGCCTTTGGATCAAATGACCTGCAGTTTGGCTGCTAATCATTCCGGGCCACCTCGACCGATCGTAGTTGTGGTAATGAGCCATCTCTTTCTTACCATGATCCAACACGGGGTACCGTGTAAACAAACTAGTTACTGTTCGACACTCGCGCAGCCTACCAAGTAACCCGCCACGCCAAACTGTCGACACAAATGTATTACTAGCATGTATGACATCTGCCAACTAACAATGCTGTGACATGGCCCCTCGCATGAACCCGAGCATGCAGCCTCTCTATGTGTACCACGTCGCTTCGGGAATCTCCTGCAGCAGCTGATATCTACCAAGTTCTCTGTTCTTATAAGCCACCGGATCGTGCAGCGTATGTGTCCGAATATCCCGCCAGAACCTGTCCAGCCCGACCTTGGTAGCCGTCGCCTTGGCGCCAGTCACTTCAAATACTCCCGATGTGACACGCAGGCCGACATCAGTTGCCACCACTTTGACGCTGGCCACCCATTCCGCAACCTCGCCGCGAGCCTGCACCGTCACCTTGGCACGGTCTTGGACACTGTTCTGCGTCCCGTCGTAAACGGCGTCGATTTGCTCTCCAGCCTTTTCCGCCAATGCCGTCGCCGCACGGAGGTGCGCCAGGAAGTTTCCATACGTCGAGAGAATGTAAAATTCATCCTGTGCCTTTTCCTTGTTCTAACGATATGTTAGCAGTCAACTTTGAAATGTCGCATCGTAACCTACGTCTCCGCCAAATGGCCATGCTCGAGTCGAGGCCTTTGTGTAAGCTGTCGCCGTATTCAGTGCGCCCCAGGCGATACCGATGTAAAAGTTGCTAAACACCAGTTGAATCCTGCAATCTCAGTTAGCGCTTACGAGATCAGTTTCTCCCGAGACAACTCACGTTGGTAGCAGCAGCGACCCGAATGGAATGCCCAGGACGGCCGGATCCGGCTTCTTGGCCGCAGCATCCCACCCGAGAGCATCCGTCCACGGTGCCTTGACATTTTCAATCTTGACGCTTCCCGACTCTGTCAGACGCAGGCCAACATTGTCCCAGTCATGACCAAAGTTGATGCCCGACTGGTCCGTCTTGACAATGGCGAAAATATGATCCGCCGTGTCTTCATATACGCCTTCCAAGACTGTGAGGTCCGAAATGACACCGCCTGTATTGAAGAATTTGAATCCGTTAAAGACAATATTTTCGCCGTCGCTGGAGATTTTGAGGTCACTGTCGCGCGGGTTCACGGCGCCGCCGACGAAATAGTTGTTCTTGAGGATGAGCTCCTCGGTGCGCTCGACCTGCTCATCCGTACCGACGACACGTGCTGTTGTTGACCATAGCAAGTGGTAGCCAAGCAGCATACCAATGGATCTGTGGGAAAATTAGTGAGCCTTTCTTTTCTGCAACGCTGAAGACTAGCAGTACCCATCGCCTTTGGCAACTTCCTGGATGATCTTGTATCCGACCGACCACGGCTGGCCACCACCTCCATACTTGGGCAGCCCGAGCACCTTGAGCAGGCCCGAATGCTTGAGCAGTGCGATTTCAGCCCTTGGCGACTTGTTCTCGCGCTCTCTGACGGCGGCATCAGTCGCAAGTACCGTCGCAACGTCGACGGCACGCTGTACCCATGCGGCGGTATCTGTGGGCTGCTGTTGCCACTTGTCGCTATACTCTTCGTACACCTTGGGGTCCGTCGCCGGTGCGTCACGAGCGTTGGAAGACATGATTTAATTTGCGAATTGAAAGTTATATTAATGTAGTGTCCGTGGTGAGACTACTTTCTTCGCCGCGTGTTCGAGAGACGGCACGCTATATAAATGATGTAGCATCGATGTTGGTAGTCGAAAATCTATTGCGACATAGCTGTCGCGATGCGCGTTGGCGATGGCGCCACTCCACAAACAGCTCGCAACCTGTGCGGAGCAGATCTCTGGTTTGCTACATTCCACGTTGGCTGGAGAAGGGTCGCATCGCGCTATCAAGTGCGGAAACCTTGTGACGAACGCTACTTACTCCTCAAATGGGGACATGGCGTGCTTTGCGGTGATGGTTTGCGGTGATGGACGCCATGGTAGGGACAAGTGTTCTCAGGGATTGCGCAAACTGCCAGCCCTGAATGAATGCTTTTTTGTCTATTATGTCTCGTCTTTCTACAGGGGTACTGAATACAAGGCCAAACTTTGGATCTTTTCTTTTCTTCAAGTATGGTGTGCTCGCTTACTTGCAAAGTATTTGCCTGTGTTTCCGAGCGGCAGCTCTAGCAGTTCGTCCTTTAAGAGCAGGTGAAAAGTCAGGTACCTGTTTCTTGTCAGCAAAGAGCCAGAGCTCAAGGTGAGAGCCTGCAAAAGGCGTCATGGTACATACCACCCCAACAGACCGGCAATGAAGCAGCTTGCGCCGCCCGCAATCTGTAGCCCTCGCGCCGCATTTGTGTGCCCGTCGGCCTTGGCAAAGTAGCTCGCGGCGATGAAGAGAAAGCCAACATCGACAAAGAGGTAAATGAGGATGCTGACGAGATTGGTGGTGATGGAGGCGACGAGAAAGGTGAAGACAAAGATTGTCCATACTGCACAGAAAGGAACTGATCAGAAGCTGAAGCGCATGATGTAAAGAAGGGTGCGACAAGCCGCGAGCACGTACATAGGACGAAAAATCCGAGGGCGTTGTTGTACTGCGCCACATCATCGCCGTATGCAGCGCGAATACCAAACGACGGTGTCAAGACGGCTCCGTACCCTGCGTAGAAGAGACCTGGTGTGCATCTCATTAGACGAGAGTGCGTTTTGGACCACGGCGGTAGGTAGCAGGCTTACCAAATGCGCTGTACACTGTGTAGGCAAAGCCGTTGCCGGCCGAGAGCTCCCACTGGGCGGAAATGAGGAGGCCCAAGGCGGCGACGAAGAAGAAGTTGGCGACGTAGACGTTGGTGATGGTGACGCCGCGCCATTCCATCAAGCTGAGGGAGAGGGTTGTGAGTGTCGTGGCAAACGCACCGATGGGAAAGGCGGCCTGCCGTTTGTCAGTTTTCTTGTTCTCTGTGGTTGCGACTCTCGCTGGGTATTCTTACCGCACTGGATGGGAGCGGTCTTGTGTGATATACCGGCTCCCGGCGAATGCCTTTTTCCTCGGCATACCCGGCCTCGGACACTGTCGCGTCAACAGCCATGACTCTGAGCTCAGACGAGAACCTAAAAGCGTATCTTTTTTTTTTTTTTCTCGGGGTGAGTAAGACGTTCAAGCAGCTACTGGCAGACACCACGGTGAAAGGGATCAAGAAAAACCCAAGGCAGCTAACTTTAGAACTGCATGGGTTCAAATCGCGCCACAGTGCGGGAGGACGAGGTCGGTGCGCTGCTCGGCGATGGAGGCCGGCCGGTGCCGCGAGGAGTGTGGTGCCGGAGGACGGTGCCATTTTCTGGGGAAATGGTAACATTGCGTTATGTTCGGCAGTTGCGGCATCCGTGCCGCTAATCGAGGGCGGCGGTCATTGCAGACTCTGGCGATCTTTGAGGTTTGAAGATGGGTGTAAGTGGGGGAGAGACGAGGACGTGACGTATCCCTTGAGGCACAGGATCTAACGCTCTTTTCTTTCTTCTGTTTTTCTTTTCTTTAAGAGAAATCACCAATTAGGATGGGGCTAGAATATCAAATGTTGTATCAAATTATTGAAAAGTCAGAAATACCGCGCTGCGGAGACGGCGAGGGCGGCGGCGGATGCCGGGCCAGGTGGCAGCGACGATGTCGGCGTGCGCTATTAGCGTCGGCCGGATGTGGGAAAAATAAATCAGTCGATATTACCTGCTGGGGTATAAATGTGTCGTTGGGGTATAATTTAACCTTGTTCATAAGCAAAAAGAGGATGAGCCTGCTTGCAGTATTCTATTTCTTTTCGAGCCAACATTTTGTGCCTGTCCAATGGATTGTGATAACCCGTGTCTCTTGGCGGCTTCGAGCACGGACTGACGACTGACCGAGTATTTGCCTACACCGATGACTTGCACCTACACATTGGCCGAACTGAGCGATTTTTTTTTTCTTTTTTCGTTTCAGAAAGTCTGGTCAAGGTATAAATACATGCCTGCTGGCAACGCATGCAAATCACCTTTTCGACAAGACACTTTACGGCTACCGGGTAACCAACCCCTGCGACAGCGCCGCCAGAGCCCGTGACGACGTCAACAACGGGCGCCGACATCAAGGGCCCAACCCGGAGACGGGAGAGAGTCGTTTGAGGTTGTTTGGCGACTGGATAAAGATGGCGGGCAGGTCGTGGGCCCATGTTTCGCGTAGATGCTTGGCGGGCTTGCAGCAAAAGGAATTGACCGACCACTCCGCGCTGAGACTTGGGGCACATTCGTGGATGCGTAGCCGGATGGTGATTTTGGACGGCGCTAGAAGATTCTGCGCGTGCTAGACTGTGAATCCTGCCGAGCCTCGTTGATCATTGGGAACTGGTACGGATATTGGTGCAGTTACAATGACGAAGCAGCTGCCGGGTAGCAGCTGCCGGGAAGCAGCAAGTTGGGTAGGTATGTGCAAGAGAAGAGAAAAGAAGAGCAAAGAAGCAGAAAACATCTCCATGTCCTGCCTGTCGATCACGGTTCGCTGGCGCACTCTGACAAGCAGAAACAGACCAGGCCAGGCCCGGATGGGAATGGGGTGAGAGGGGAGATGGTGAGATGGTGAGATGGTGACACTTTGGGGTCTCGGGTCTAAAAGCGCCACCCCGCGTCGTTGCGCCGCCGTGACACAGGGTCCAAGAAAAAGGAACAATGGGTGCCTCCGACTTTCGTCTTGAGGCGGATCTTGCGAGCGCGGTGAGCGAGGCCAAGCCACGAACCGGATCCTTGCGTTTTTCTTGCAACATTTCAAATAGTTATCGTGACCATGTGCGGATAAAGGGCTGATTCTGACAGAAGGGCAAGTTGGCTGCTGGGGAACCGTGCTGTGATTGGACGAGCGCACAACCGCCGTAGGTAGAAACTCGTAGCTCCGAGCAGCTTCCTTGCATCCTTGCATCCTTGCCTCCCCTGCGCTTCTCGAGGGCTGGCAATCACAGTTTAGTTCCGCCCGGCCTTGATCCATTTACGGGCTGTGTGTGTGATGGATCAACCAACCCCTCTGGCCATGCGGGCATCTGGGTGCGGATACAAAAAGAGTGTCTTGTCGCCCAGCTCTGCTTTCGCTCTTACTTCCCCCCTCTTGCTGAAAGCAGCCTCGGAACGAAAGAGTGCCCGCCTGGTGCACAAACGAGCAAGGCCATCATGATGGAACAAATAGCACCGCTGCCGCTGCGCTCTGCCCATGCCGCCCAAGCTGTGCTCGGCGCCGCCGCGTTTGCATCGTGCGACGGCGCCTTGAGCCCGCTCCTCGCCGTGGGCTGCCGCCATGGACGCCTCGACTTTACCCTCCTCTTTGAACACGCCGCGTTTGCCATTGTGCCTTCGGCCATTTTCATTCTGGCCGCCCTGGTTTGCATCCTGCGGCTTTGGGGCCGCAAGCCCAAAGTGTACGCGACGCGCCGATATTACCTGAAAATGGTGCGTTGATGAAAACCAAACGCTCCGCGCCGTCACGGGCTAATGCCATGTCTAGGCAATCTCATTGGCATTGGTCGCTGTCAAAGTCGTCCTGCTCGCCCAGTGGATTCGACTGCGCGCGGGCCTGCCCGGCAGCACGCTCTCCGTTGTCGCCGCAGCCGTCAACGTTGCCGACGCCGTCCTCCTCGCTCTCCTCGCAAACCTGAGCCACATGCGCTCCATCGCACCATCCAACCTCATCATTGGCTTCACCTTTTTTTCCGCTCTACTCGATGGCCTCCGATGCCGCACGATGCTCCTGGTCGACGAGCTGGCCCCGCTGGCTTCCCTGTTTGCGACGGGCGTCGTGGCCAAGACCCTTCTCTTTGCGCTCGAGGCGCACAGTAAGCGGGACGTCATGGTGGAGGACTGGAAGGCGCTCGGCGCCGAGGAGACGTCGAGCATCGTCGGCCGGCTGTTCCTGTGGTGGGTGAATCCGCTCCTGCAGATTGGCAACGCCTCCTTTTTGGACCCGGACGACCTGCCGCGGCTCAAGCCGGAGCAGAGAGCGCGCGCCTTGCTGCCCAAGATGCTGCAAAATTGGGAAAAGTACAAAGGAAGGGGAAAGTACGCGCTGGCTTTCATGGTCCTCAACAGCTGCCGGTCCACTGTATTGGCGGCCGCGATCCCGCGTCTCTTTCTCTCTTTTTTCAAGATGCTTGTTCCGCTCTACATCAAAGCCGTCATCGAGTACGCGACGCGCCAGGACCGCGACACGCACGTGGACAAGGGCACCGGCTACGCCCTGATTGTTGGCGCCGTCTTCCTCTTCTTTGGACGGCTGGTGATTGTCAATGCCTACGAGCAGGCCAAGGGCCGCATGCGCATCATGATGCGCACATCCATGGTGGCTACGATTCTGCACTACGGCGCGCAAATGGAACCCGGCGAGAAGAAGGGTTCGGCGGCCCTGACCCTCATCACCGTCGACGTCGGCCGCGTCACGGCCTCCTTCTTCTTCCTTCACGACTTTTGGATTGCCCCGGTCGAGACGGCCTTTGCCTTTTGGCTGCTGGCCGGCCAGGTGGGCTGGGGCTTCCTCGGCCCGCTCCTCACCATCTTCGTCGGCGCGGCCGTGTCGGGCGTGTGCGGGCTGTACGTGCCCGACGCCCAGAAAAAGGTCAACGAGGCCATTGAGAAGCGCATCGGCGACACGACCACGGTACTGGGCCACATGAAGGAGACCAAGATGCTGGGCCTGGTGGACTCGTGGTTTGCCGCCATTCAAAGGCTGATGGATGTCGAAATTCGCGAGTCGCTGGTGTTTCGGCGACTCATGACGGTGCTGAATGTCAGCAGCAAGGTGCCCGAGAGTCTGGCGCCGCCCCTCACCTTTGGCATTGCTATTCTCGCCACCAAGGCGGGCGAGCGGCTGTCCATTGCCGAGGCCTTTACCGCCATGAGCATCATGGGCCTCATCATCGGTCCCATTTCCATGATGGCCCACATGTACCCCTTCATCATTGCTGCTCTGCCGTGCTTCGTCCGTATTCAGGAATTCCTGCAAATTTGCAGCGAGTACGAGGCCCGCGTGGCACTCGTCGGCTCCTCGGCCGAGCTGTCCACGGCCGATGATCTGCTCCCTGGCTTCGGGGAACCCGTGTTTTCCATGACAAACGCCAGCATCACGGCAAGGTCTAAAGAAGAGCCCTTGATCAAAGATGCAAGTCTGGCGATTCTGCCAAAAACATTCAACGTCGTCGCCGGCAAGGTCGGCTCTGGAAAGTCGGTGCTCTTGCAGGCGCTCCTGGGACAGCTCAGCATCAGCGGCGAGGCCAAGATTCGCACCTCGAATGTTGCCTACTGCGCCCAGCAGCCGTGGATTACGAGCGGAACTGCAAAGGACAACATTGTGTGCAAATCGGAGCCGGATGAAGCTTGGTATCGGACCGTTGTGACGGCCTGTGGCCTAGACAGGGACTTTGAAGACTTTCCGCAGGGCGACGCCACGGCCGTTGGAACCAAGGGCGTTGCCCTAAGCGGTGGACAGAAGCAGCGCATCTCGCTGGCGCGCGCTCTCTTCTCTCGCAAACCCATCGTCTTTGTGGACGACGTGCTCAGCGGCCTCGATTGGGCCACCCAGCGTTTTGTCTGGGACCAAGTCTTTGGGCCAGCTGGACTCCTGCGGAAGAATGGCATCACTGTTGTTCTTGCCACCCATGCGCTTCACTTGATAGATCAACCCGACAGTGTGACGCTTGTCGGAGACGACGGTCCTGGATCGCTCATCCAAGGCACACTGGACGAGCTCAAGGAGAAGACGAAAATTCAAGACTTGATTGCCACGAGCCACAGTTCTGCCGACAACGACAATACAACCACCAGCAGTGCAAGCTCGCAAAAAGGCGGCGCGGACCAGACCGCCAGTGTCAACGACGAGGAAAAGACCAGAGACCTGGTTCGAAAGACGGGCGACATGACCCTGTACTCGTACTACCTCGGCATGGTCGGTCGCAAGCTGGCCGTCATTGCCTGCTTTACCGCGATGTTGTCGGCGACGTGGCCCGTCCTGCCCACCCTGTGGCTCAAATGGTGGACCGAGGCCAACGAGTCGCCCGCGCCCATCAACACGGCCTACTACTACTCCGTGTACGTGTTTGTCAACGTCATGGAAATTATCATCATGCTCGGCACCTTTTACATTGCCCTCATCTACGTGGCGCCGACGGGGCTCCGCAAGATTCACACCCGGCTGTTGCAAGCCACCATGAGCGCGCCGCTGTCCTTCTTCGTGGCCACGCCGCCGGGTGATTTGGTCAATCGCTTCAGCAGGGACATGGAGCAGGTCGATCTAGACCTCCCGCTAAACTTGGTGTTTACGTTCATGTCCGTCATCTGGTTGATGGCGCTGATGGGGCTGATCCTCGTCGGCTCGCTGTACATGAGCGTCATTATCCTGCCCATGATGCTCTTTGTGTACATGCTCCAAAAATACTACCTGCAGACGTCGCGACAGCTGCGGTACCTAGACCTGCAGTCCTCTGCGCCGGTGAACACGCACATCATCGAAATGATTGACGGCGTGGCCACGGTGCAGGCGTACGGCTGGGAGTCGCACTACCAGGCCACGGGCATGGACCTGCTGGACGAGACGATGCGGCCCAACTACATGCTGCGTATCATCCAGCTCTGGCTGGAGCTCGTGCTGGACGTCTTTGTCGCGTTTGTCTGCGTCCTGCTCATTGCCATTTGCATTTCCATCCCGTCCTCGACGAGCCCGGGCTCCCTCGGCGTCGCGTTGACCAACATCACCAGCCTCGGCGACTCACTAGCGTGGCTGGTCCTCAGCTTCACGAGCACCGAGACGGCGCTGGGCTCGGTGGAGCGCATCCGCAGCTTCGAGACCAAGACGCCACAGGAGGCGCCGCCGGCGCGCCCGACGCGCGTGCCGCCGACGTGGCCGTCCAAGGGCGCAGTCCGCTTCACGGCCGTCAAGGCGTCGTACCCGCCCAAGGGCAGTAACCCGGCGTTCCGCGCGCTCAACGGCATCGACGTGGACATTCGGCCGGGGCAAAAGGTGGCCATTTGCGGGCGCACGGGCAGCGGTAAGTCATCGCTGCTGCTCGCGCTGTTCCGGCTGCTGGATCTGGAGTCGGGTTCCATTACGATTGACGGCATCGACATTGCCGACGTTGCGCAGAATGTGCTCCGGCCGCGGTTGATTTCCGTGCCGCAGGAGCCGATGCTGCTACCCGGCACCCTGCGCTCCAACCTCGTGCGCCACCAGCGTGAGAGTGGCGACGAGGTGGACGACGACGACGCGCTCATCCAACACCTCAAGACGGTGGCGCTCTGGGATGTCGTGGAGAGCCAGGGGGGTCTGGGCGGCGACGTGGCGGACCTAAAGCTCTCGCAGGGCCAGAAGCAACTGGTGTGCATGGCGCGCGCGCTGGCGAGCCGGGACGAGAGCTCGATCCTGGTGCTGGACGAGGCCATGAGCACTGTGGACAGGCAGACGGAGGAGCACATGGTGCGGATCCTGGAAGAGCACTTTGCCGAGCACACGGTGATTTCGGTCGTGCATCGGCTGAACACGGTGGAAAAGTTTGACACGGTGCTGCTTCTCGATGCGGGCGAGGTGGTGGAGGTTGGCGCGCCCGAGGAGCTGCTACGCAGAGAGAATGGACGGTTTAGAGCGCTGTGGCATGGCAAGGAAGCGTAATGCTTGAAGACGGTGTTGATGTGCTTTTATTTTTGTATCTATTTTTTCCCACGTATTGGATAGCAAACCAACGTATATGAATGACATTGATAGACACAACACTTCCAACTTGTTAACCTCTACCCCTTATACCGGCCTTGCTCTAGATTATAATTAGCTATCGCAACCGACTAGACAAATACAAAAATCGTGTTTACCATATCTTTGGATTTACAAATAAATCCCGTTGCGACCCGGCGGCGCCGGCTATAATGGCTAAACTTAGCATACGCAATGCGCCGTGTGACGGTCTCTGTCCTCCCGGCAGCAACGCACGCCGCACACGGCGCTCACCGCCCAATCTCCCTGGCTGTCACAGGTCAGGATTTCGTACTTATCATCAGTACAGCCGAAGTCGCCGGGCGTGCACGGCCAGTCGTCGGAGGTAAGGGCGGCGGCGCCGGTGACGGCGACGAGGAGCAGCACGGTAGCTTTCAAGGTCGGAATCATGATGAAGTGAAGATCTAGGGTTCAAGGGGGACAATTAATCTATAAAGGTGAGAGGAGAGGTCAAGGTTCGAGGTAAATACCGAAGGGCTTTGTACGTTTTTATAGTCGGGAGAGATGGAGAGCGTTGTTGCTTTCAAGGAATAAGGTTACCCCAAACCAGCCATTGTGTATCCAAGAGACAAAGATGTGACTCCAGGGTTCTACATCCATCCGTCTAAGCCATTAGCCCGTTGGACACACGACGAGCCCATGCGGACGCTGGTCGACGCTTTGCGCCGGAAGCCACAAGGGACCAATATGTCACGTGTTAGGATGCATTCTCGTGAATTATGAACAACGGGCGCGTCGTCACAAGCTTTCTTTGTTATAATAGGCGTTAGGAGCCCTGTCTGCAATATGAAAAGTTCGCCTAGCAGCCTGATTTCGGACGGGATCACTAAGGCCACCAGCAGCAACGGCTGGGTATACAAGACGGCCCGACACCACCCTTTATCCTCTCTTTCACGATAACCACCATAGATCCCACGCAGCTATAACATTTCCTCCGCGCAGCCAGACTAGCTATCCTAGGCGATGACTCCGTCCAAAAAATGCCATCATGTGGCTGGTCGCAAGACCATCAACCACTGCCGGCGGCGGCACAACTTGAGGATATCTTGAAGAGAGTTGGAGGCAGGCACTTTGCCGCTCGTAATTTCGCCATGGGTTGGACCTGTGCGACTCGGCGGCGCCGCCCATAATGGGCCAAAACTTAGCATACGCAATAGGCCGTGTGGCGCTCGCTGTCCTCCCGGCAGCAGGCGGTGCCGCACTCGGCGCTCACCACCAACTGGCGCTGGCTGTTGCAGGTCCAGATGGTGCTCTCGTGGCCGTAATCAAACTGGGCACAGGTGAACTCGCCGGGCGTGCAGTCTATGAATGGATTGTTCCTGATGCTAGAGGGAAGGGCGGCGGCGCTGGTGACGGCGACGAGGAGGAGGAGCACGCTAGCTTTTAAAGTCGAAATCATGATAGAAGAAGTGAAGATTCTAGGGTTTTAAGGGGATAATTAATAGGTAAAGGTAAGAGAAGAGGTTGAGGTAAGAGGAGAGGTTAAGGTAAGAGGAGAGGTTAAGGTAAGAGGTAGATATCAAAGGGCTTTTATACGTTTTTTTATAGGTAGGAGAGATAGAGAGCGTGTTAATTTTAAGGAATAAGGGGTCCTAAAACTAGCCATTTTGTTATTAAGAGACGACGATGTGATTCTAGGGATCTACATTCATCTGTCTTGGCCTATTTGCTGTTCTTTGACTTGTTTGCCGTCCTTGCTTAGGCCAGACAAAACGTTGAGGTCGGAGGGCGGAGGGGCATGAAGAGGAGCAAGCAGGTTACGTATGGGCCAGTATTGGAGACCAAAAAGGGCAGGGACTTTGCCGCTCGTAATGTAGCCATGGGTTGAATGGCTGTTGGCTTGCTATCGGGCGGGTTTCTGTGAGCAAACGGCTACTACGCCCGGCGCAAGGAAGCGACGGGCGACCTTTTGTTCTTCTTCGCTTGTGGTGTTTGCGTCGAATAGAAACAAGCCAAGTGACTGGGGAAGTCCTTAGTTGGAACCCCCTACAAGTCGACATTGAACGGGTGTGCAATAGTGTCAAGGATATCAACGGCTAGCTAGAAGAAGGAGAGAGGAGAGATAGCGAAGATGTCGTAACGTAATGGCTGGTAGTTCCCAATGATGACTTTATTGATCACTAGAGAGGAAGGTCCTCTCTAGTGGTTCCTTGCTGCGCTATCGCTCTTTTATAGCTACTTGTTCGCACGTAACTATAAATAGGTTGTGACAAATAGTATTGTACTCCGTATGCCTTATGTATTATCCCGATAAAGGTCTTGTTCAGTAGACAGGGTATGAGCAGAGGGCGGAAAGCGTTAATGGGGTCGTTGTCTTCGTTAATGGCGAGAGCCTCGGACACCAACCGTCATAGGCCAAACTTAGCATACGCAATGGGCCGTGTGGCGCTCGCTGTCCTCCCGGCAGCAACGCAGGCCGCAGTCGGCGCTCACCACCCATTCGCGCTGGTTGTTGCAGGTCCAGATGATGGTGTCATAGGCACAGGAGAACTCGCCAGGCACGCAGTTACCCCCCGTGCTGGAGGGAAGGGCGGCGGCGCTAGTGACGGCGCCGAGGAGGAGGAGCACGGTAGCTTTTAAAGTCGAAATCATGATGGAAGTGAATTCTGGGGTTTCGAGGGGATAATTAATATATAAAGATAAGAGGAGAGTGTAAAGACGAGAGGAGAGTGTAAAGATAAGCGGAGAGTGTAAAGACGAGAGGAGAGTGTAGAGACGAGAGAAGAGGTCAAGGTTTGAAGTAGATATCGAAGACGGTAAAGGGGCTCTTATACGTTTTTGTAGTTCGGGAGAGACGGAGAGCGTTGTTGGGTTTCCACCCCAAAACCAGCCATTTTGTTATCAAGAGTCAAAGATGTGATTCTAGAGATCTACATGAATACATCCATCTGTCTTAGCCTATTTGCTGTCTTCGAGACTATTGTTCGACTTACTTGTCGTCGGCGGAATTCTCTGCCCTGCTTTGACCAGACAACATGTATGGTCCCTTTAACGGCGGAGGGGAATGAAGAGGAGCAATAATGCAGGTTACTTATGCAATGCAGGTTACTTATGGGCCAATATTGAAGAATACAAAGGCAGTAACTTTTTTCCGCTCGTAATTGAGCCTTGGGTTGAATGGTCCCTGGAAGTAGCAACCCGTCTGCAGGTTTGCTACCGGGCGGGTTTCTGTGAGCAAACGGCTACTAACGCCCGGCGCAAGGAAGCGCGGGCGACCTTTTTTTTTTTTTTTTTTTTTTTCTTCCCTCGCTTGTGGTGTTTGCGTCGAAGAGAAGCAAGACAAGTGCTGTGAAAAAGCAGCAGTATTGTGCCTTGTGTCGGTTGTCCAGATGAAGCCCTTGTCCAAGCAAAACAAGGTCACGAGCGGAACTTTGCAAAAGACAGGCAGTCATGGGCGCTCAAAAAGCTCGAGAGCTATTCTTGCTTGTCGGGAACCAGATCACGAGGGAAAAATGTACCCCATGTGCACACCCAAGTATCCAGAATCTTGGTTGGATGCTTGGCACGCTTTTGGCGGGCATGTCAAACCGGCCATTTGGACTCGAATGAATGAGCAAGTGCCTGTAGGGTACATGAGACCTCTCTAGAGCTCACATAACCTCCACAATACATCATAATCACAATATGGCATGACAGTCCTCGATCGCGCTAATACGAACCGAGTTCCCACGGGCAGGGGTGAGAACCCTTGCCGGTAACCAAACAACAACCAACAGGGAGTCATGGCACGGGACGGCCGCACCTTTGTCATTTTTCTTCTCCCCCGTCTCTCTCCCCCAGTTTCTACCTTGGTACTAACAGATATGGCCCCGCCCATGGTGAGGAACGCGGAAGACTGCCCGTCGGGTGAGCCCCGGGGTGTTGGTTCCCTGTTGGGAGAGGGAGTCGACCTCTGAACAAACAGATGCGAGTCAAAAAAAAACCCCGGCGCAAACAACTCTACGGTCCATGGCACAAACTACAGTATCTCGGAAAAAGCGGTTCAACACACAATGCTTACCGGCGCGGCGCCCATGATTGCTCTGTGCCGTGAATCTCAGAAAGACATCACCAGTTTTTGCATCAACAAACATGGACCATGACGTCCCCTTTGGCGCAATGAGCGCAAAAACCGGCAGCGACTGGGAGATATAAAAGTCGGCGGCAGCACACTCCCAAGGCTTTCTTTTTTTTTCGAATCATCTTCACTACCAAAACAAACTCGCACCATTCATCCCAACCCAAACCGCAAACCCCCTACCAAAAATCATGCAGCTCACGATTTCCAGCTACCTCGCGGCAGCGCTTGTTTTTGCTGCCATCGGCCAGGCCTTGCCTTGTATGCTTGAACTGCTCCCACCCGATCAAACGTGCGAAAAAAAAAAAGAAACAACTAACAAGACTTGGCGCCACTAGTGGAACAAGTCCACGAAGCAGTCCTTGCCCAGGTCAACGCACCCCGCGGCGGCGGAGTTTTCTCTGCTTCTGTCGACAAGACCCCGATCAAGATTGAGTATCCCGAGGTCGAGGCCCTGCTCCCTTCCGAGGACGACAAGGGTATCAGCGGAGGCCTGGTCCTTGAAGACGGACTCGAGGGCATCACGGCGCCGGCTAGGCGCGCATCGGCCCCGTCCGACATTGAGCTCCAGAACAACGTGGCCAGGAAGTACTACGCGTCCCCTCCGCGTCTGCCCGGCACCCAGGCCAGGAAGCACCACGGCGCCCATCCGCGCCAGGCCGGCATCCAGGCCCGGGCGCACCGCGCCGGCGAACCCCCCCAGCCAGAGGACCTCACGACCCGGGCGTACCGCGCCGGCGCACCTCCCCAGCCCGAGGGCAACACGGCCAAGCGCGCATCGGCCCCGTCTGACATTGAGCTCCAGAACAACGTGGCCAGGAAGCACCACGGCCCCCTCCGCGACAGCCCGGCATCCAGGTCCGGGCGAACCGCGCCGGCGCGCCTCCCCAGCCAGAGGACCTCACGGCCAAGCGCGCATCGGCCCCGTCCGACATTGAGCTCCACAACAACGTGGCCAGGAAGCACCACGGCCCTCCCCACGGCCCTCCGCGGCTGCCCGGCATCTACATCCCGCCGCACGGAAAGTCCTCTGCGGCTCAGGAGGCGCGCGAGCCCGCCGTGCTGCGCAGAAGATGGCTCCCTGGTGGTGTCTGGCACGAGGGACCGGGCCTCCCTGGTGGTGTCTGGCACGAGGGACCGGGCCAGCACTGGCCTTGAGCCGCGCTGGGTTGGATTTCTTGGCAGGGCTCCGATGGTTGCCGCCGTGAAGCGGTAGGGAGAGCTCGGTGCCAGCACGACCACCTCGCAAAGTTGGTGGCTAGTTTGTGGGTTATTAGATGTTGAATAGGTTCTTTAGATTAGATTTAACAATATTGCTTGCTTTTTTATATTTGATTTGGCTCAAAAAAGCAAGCAGTATCAGTATGGGCCTTATCAATCAGTCCTGCTTGTTAAGAAGTCTACCGCAGCCGTTTTTGTACATTGGCTGCACATGACGTTGCGGCTCAACAGTGAGGAGGCCTTTCATAGGTGGCCTTCCTGTATGCAGGGGACCCTATTAGGAGACAACGGTAGCCTGATGTTGGAGCTCTTTGTGACTCAAAATCCGACAGTAAATTCATACGAAGTGTATCTTTTCTATTGCCTAATATAATGAAACAAGAGAAAGTGTCGGAACGATGATTACCGGCGCTGTTGCCGGACGAGCACAAACACTGAGGACACCAAGGCAGCGACAAGTATGCCACCAAGAAAAGGCTTTGAAACGTGGCCAATATCCTTTGCGCCCGGCGGCTCAACAACAGATACATCCACTTCTTTGTCCAAGGCGCGCAGAACCTCATCGGCTGTCGAGTACTGCCTTTTCCAGCAGGCTAAAATCACGTTGCCTCCTACTAGTCTCGTCACGTCTGGGTAATTTTCGTTGTTGAAAGCGTCGGCGAGCTCCCTTTCGTAAGCCAGCTTCTCCTCTATTGTCTCAGGTGCACCTGGGGTTGATCGGTAAGGCCAGTGCCCTGTCATGATAGTGAAAAAGAGAGAGCCAAGCCCAAATATATCGAGAGCTGGTGTCGAAGAGGTTTTAAAGGTAGGGTGGTAGAACGGGCCATCGGGTAGGCAGCCCCCATCTAGACCTAATTCATCACATGTAGACCCGCCAAAGTCACAAAGCAATAAATCCCGAGACCCTGCTATTGTTTCATGCACAAGAACGTTCCTAGGGCGAAGATCCGAGTGAACAACGCCGCGGCTGTGGATATAGGAGATAGCTTCAGCCAATTGTCGGCACCATATTATCCGTTGGTGTAAGTGAATCGAAGGGAGACTACTGTCTAAGTAGGCTTGAAGATTGCTATGGCTTGCTTTTCCAAGCAGTATCCCGCGGCCTTGTTGACCGAGATATCTAGAAGAATCAGCGTTTGTATGTGAAAACGAATGGCTATGTGTGTTTACTTTACAATTCGCGGATGTTGTCCAAGCCTTTGGAGGATAAGCGGCTCCACAGAAAAGCAAACGTCAACCATTTTAGCAAGTTCATCATCCTGAAAGGTAATTGGCTGTTTGAGGACAACTCCCCTGCAGACTGGCTCAATCGTACTCGTGGAACCGAGAGTTTCCATTGTGCGCTTGGTGAGCCGATTGGGAATTGTAGAATAAAGGGTGGAAGCAGGGCTGTCTGGCTCTGCTATAAGCTGTCGGCGGATAAACATTGTTCCGCGTTTGGCCAGCCTTGCTAGGATCCCCTCATTTCCTGGTCTACAGGTCATACCAATAGCCAAGTGAAAGGGACACGCTGTATGTTCCCAGTTACGTCCTCCTCCTACTAGGTACTTGCTTATGTAAGACGTATACCTACCCTAGAGCAGGGCTGCGGTTGTAGCGTGTTAAACATTTCACCATGCTTGACCCGTTATTAGGGAGGGAACACTGCTCCGGTGGAGCGGAATGGTGTTCATGAGCTAACGTTATCAGGTTGAGGAGCTGTGACACATGCAGATCAACTCACTAGGGGGGGCGCACGCTGATGCTTTGGCAAGGATGATGATATTGACTCGGCGAGCACACACAGTGGCTGGGCGTAGGCGGACTTTCATGCGGGGAGACGCCATGGGGCCAAGGCAAATGGTTGCCTTTTTCTAACAAGGCACTTGCATGAGTAGCGACTTGCACGTGTAGAGACTGGGACTTGTAGAGGCTTGAACGAGTAGAGAGTGTATGCACTTGGATGTTGGGTGAGGTGACAGTCTTGTCCATGACTGTCCATGACTCTGGCTTGGAAGGGCTGATACATACTGTCGCTCACTTACATGACGGCCCGGTCGTGGATCCGGGCCGACGAGATGATTTGGATTTTGAAGAGAGCCAGGTCGGGCGTCTTGCGGGCGGCTTGGGGCTGAGGAGGAGGAGGAGGAGGACGCATTGTTGCGGGGCTAGAGGCTGAAGAAGAGGGGGAAGGGGGAAGGTTTCTGTGCAGGCTCTCTGGCTGGGCCAAGTCGCCGAGCCCCCTTATGCTCTCGACTCTACTAAGAGGTACCTAGTTACCAGTAAACCTACTTAGGTACCGACAAGTGAGACGGCAACTAAAATAACACTGCATTGCATTACTGCATCAGCCGTGGTGGGGGCAGCGGAAGAGCCCGCGAGATGGCTGGATGTGGCCGGACCGTGACAAGCGCAACCGGTGTTGCCAAAGTGTGAAAAAGGCCAACTTGATGGGAACTGGTATATACTCGGGATGTACTCAATTTATATCTTGTAATCTGGATGACTATTGGGATGAGATAAATGCGGGCTTTTGCCGCAAGCGGCGATATGTAGGTAGGCAAGGCAAGTAGGTATGTAGGGTAGGTTATTGCCGGGTTTCTGTCACCCACTTGGCTGGACGCTAGGCTGAACGCTAGGCTGGACACGAAGTGAGGCGAAACAAACGAACGGCGGGTTGCTGTGGTTCCTTGGAGTTAACTACTAACTACCTAGGTAGCTAATTAATAATACTAGTACCTGCAACGGCTGCCGCCGATACTTGTTGTACTTGTGACACTCCCTGCTGTGCCTTTTCCTATTCCAGACACAAGACACCAGCAAATAGAGTCAGACGCACATCACATCACGGAAGCAGCTAAACTCATCGCCGCACATACAGCCGGGCGGCAAAATAGCATGGCCACTTGTCCCCAACACCCCTTTCTTTCCTTCCCTCTTCATCATCTCCTTACGACATACGAACAGTTTAACACCTTGGTTCTCCATCATTATTTCCTGCTCGCGTCAGCGCCCCATCCCCGTCTTGACTAACACGCCCGGCCCGCTGTCACCTGGCCACAACACAACACATCACGAGCCAAGACAACATCTCTGGCCTGGCCGCAGCCGTCTTGGCCCCAAACCGTCGGCCAATCTTTTCTTCACCACACAGCCCCTTTGGCTGGAACCTCTGCCAAACGTCGTGCTCCTCCTTTTCGCGGCAAAACACATTGCCAATCCACGTCACCAAACCACCCACTTGGACGCCACATTGCTGCCTGGAACAGCAAACACACGCACGCACACCCAACCCCAACCACGCACGGCACGCAAGCGTAGCTGTCAAGGCCCAACATCTCCGGAACCGCTCCTTCTTGCCAGCATGAACGGGAGCGCGACCGCTTGCCGCATCGACGAGGTCGATGCCATCGCCCGCGCCCTCTACCAGCGCACCAAGCAGGTCGCCCCGCCCACCTTGGACCATGCCACCCTCGCCCTTCGCCAGATGCACATTTCCCTGCGCCACCTGCGCGCCGAGGCCGCCGACCCCCTGTCTGTCCTCAACACGTCGGATGCCTCCTCGGTCGACTTTTACGCCGCCGAGCTCGAGCCCATCACCGACCACTGCGAGTTTGCTCTCCGCCAGCTCGAAAAGGTCCTCGACCGCTTCGACGCGGCCGATCACAAGGAGGCTCTGACGGATCGCATTGCTGCCGTCACCACCATCGTTGCCGAAAAGGAAGCCGATTTGGCTTTTTTCCTTAACACTGTGCAGGCGCGTCCGGCGACGGTAGCCGCCGTGCCGGAGCAGGTGTCGCTGCTCGACGAGATGAAGCAGGATATTGACCTGGTGGCCACCAAGATATTCAGTCGCCGTTCTGGTGTACATGATGCTGATCCGGAAGCCCTCTGGTACGAGTTCAAAGCGGAACTGGAGCGGCAGGATTTCTCCAGCAAGGAGCTGGAAACTCACAAGGTATGAAGTAGACCAAGTAGACGACGCTGCCAACACCACACGTGCTAACATGCGCCCACCAAAGGTTCCGGTCAAGGCATACATTCAAAAGCTGAGCGCGGCATGGGACCAAAACTGCGGCGCCACGCCCACATACCAAAGCGTCGCCGAATTTGAGGCCAATACGGCACCCCAAGTGCAGTATCCCGTCCAACTACCAGTTGTCCCGCCCAAGGTGCCCATCCTCCCGCCCAAGGAAAGTAGCCCGCCATCCAGGAAGAACAGCCAGATGCTAGGAGAAATGACCCAGTCGCCTATTGAAATGGGCTACTCGCCCAAGGAGATGAACCACGTCCCCAAGAATGAGAAATCACTGCTCAGCATCAAGACGGAACGGCCCCATCCCGCCGGAAGCCTCTCGCCGACGGTGCTGCCCGCGCAGTACTCGTTCAACGCCTCCAACGCAGCCATCGAGGGCAACCGGGAGCAGAGCGGCGACCCCCTGTCCACAACGCTTGTCTCGACCAAGGATCTTGTGACCCTGGACAGCCTGCACCACGGCATGAGTGCTCTCCGCATCCACACAAGCGTACCAGCGCAACCAGGCCAGCCAGGCAACGCCAGGGAAGAGTCGTGTCTCTCGCCCACGGCCGTCTCTGGCTCGCCGCGGTACCACTCCAGCGTGCCCATGGATACAAAGACACAAACCTACCCTGGCACTGCCAACCCGACACGCTCGTCCTGGCTGGCGCCCGACAGATACGGCCGGGATATCCCGGCCGATGCCCAGTGGACCCAGATCCGCCGCACTCTCGTCAGCCCAGAGGTTCTCGACCGCGCCGGCGTGCGCTACGAGGCGCGTCCTGCGTATGTGGCTGTTCTCGGCCGTCTGGACCGCCACCAGATTGCCGAGCTCGCCCGGCAGAGCGCCGAGTGCCGCGCCGCCCGCTCCGTGCGTCCGCCGCTGCCGCCCCGTCGCTCCGATGACGACCGGGGACGGGACCCCAAGAAGCACCCCAGCTCCGACGACGACCGGGGACGGGATGCCAAGAAGCACTCCAGCTCCGACGACGACGACAACAGACGACGGCCCGGCTCCGACAACAAGAAGCACCACAGCGACGACGACATCCTCTACGACTCGAGCAGCAGCGGCGACTCCACCGTCTACGAGGAAGACCCCCGCCCCCGTAGAGCCAGCAGCCCCCGCAGCTACCCGTACATTGTCAGCGCAGCCCCGCCACCGCCGTCATCCAAGACGTCCCCGTCGACGACGGTCAAGCCCAAGCCGATCCTCAAGAATAAGAACGAAAACCGCGTCCGCTTCGACCCGGAGCCGCACGAGGTGGAGCATCCCAGCAGCGCCCCGAGCTCGTACAATCACGACCGTCGCAGGGATTACTACAACGGAGGCGGCGGCGGCGGCAGCTCATCGTCGCGCCGCCACAGAGAGTACAACGACCGCGATGGGTATGAGCGCGGCGAGAGGGCGCATCGCGCGCATAGAGACCGCCGCGATACGCGCAAGAAGAAGTCGTGGGGCGAGACGCTCGGTGCCGTCGGCATTGGTAGTGCTGCGCTGTTGTTGGGTGGTGTGGGCTTTTGAAGACGGACATGTTTTATTGATGATTTTCTTTTCTTTTTTTCTTTTTTATTATTGTTGATGATATAATGACTATACTACGATTATGATGGTGGGAAAAGGGCACTCATGACATACAGCTACAAGACGAAACGGACGCATAACTATATATCACTGTGCTTTTATTTACTTTATCTACTTTACTTAGCGAATAACGATTTTCATGACTATACTCTTGGCGTCTCAATCGTCACAGCATCAGCTGCTTCTCCATCGTCTCCCACCACGTCCCCTCGCGTGCCGTGGGCGGCGCCACGACCCGCGCCAGCCGCTCCTTGGGCACCGGGCGGACCTGCAGCACCGTCATGGGCCAGACCGTGGGCCAGTCAAACGCGGGCTCGGCGGCGCCGCCGTTGCGGGCGCGGACGTGGGTGCCGCTGCGCTTGGCGGGCCGCGTGGGGCGGAAGCGCCGCGCCCAGTCGACGCGCTCCGTGCAGCTCTCGTCGGCGCGCAGATCGAGCGTCACGGTGCCCTGCGCCGTGCGGTACCGCACGGTAACGGGCAGAAAGTAGGCGTAGTCGCGGATGAGGTGGGGCACGAGCGCGCGGCCGACGGGCCCGTCGCGGAAGTGCCGGTTCGCCGAGACCACCTTGAGCAGCTGCTTGAACCAGAGCGTGATGCGGTGGTGCGTGTGGTCCTTGAGGGTTTCGGCCCTTTGGCGGCGCAGCGCGGCGCGCCGCGGCGCGACGCCGGAGAGGGCGTCGGCTTGGAGAGCCTCGTCGACGAGCGCCGCCTCGTACGCCGCGACGAGCGCGGCGTAGTGCGGCAGCGCGTACTCGTTGATGGCGCGAAACGCCTTGACGACGCAGCGCTGCACGAGCAGCGTCTTGATGTAGACGTCGTAGTCGTCAAAGGTGGGCGTGGTACAGCGGCCTGACGATGTCATGGCCTCCCAGATGTGCATCACGTCGACGGGCCGCTGCGTCGTCGACGGCCAGACGCCGAGCTTGCGCCGCGCGTCGCCAAACGGCTTCGAGGAGAAGAGGTACGTCCAGTGGAGGAGGCTGGACCGGACTGCGGCCGGGATCGGGAGGCCGTAGCGCTGGGAGACAAAGGTGACGAGTTGCAGGCCGAGGGCAATGTGCGACATGGCGCCGAAGCCGTCGGCGATGGCTTCCAGGAGAGCGGGGGTTGGCCGCAGCGGCGAGTCGGCGGGGAAGTCGTGGCCGCCGGTGATGGTGGTCTGCGTTGGATCGCGCTCGTTGTCGATGGTGATGCCGTAGTAGTTGCTGAATATGAGCTGCTTGATGGCGTGCAGCGAGGCGGACCGCGAGAAGGCCTTGATGGAGGTGCAGAGAAGCGCCTCGTTCATGTCCAGGCCGTAGAGCAGCCCGCGCGTCCAGTGAGCGCGGTAGCCGCGGTCCTGCACACGCTTCCGCAGGTCGCGCATGACGCCCTTGTCCACGTCGGTGAGGGCGTTGATACTGAAGCGCTGGCGGTCGAGCGCCTCGAGGGTGGCGCCGTGCATGGGGTTGCGGCTGCGGTACAGCGCGCGCGCATGGACGGCGACGCGCGCGCGGTCAAACTGGTAGTAGAGCGGCTCCGTCATGAAGAAGGCCTTGAGGAACTCGTTCCACGCGCGCGCGGTGCGCCACTGCTGCAGGCCGTTCTCGGCAATGTGGCCCCAGAACGCGCGCGCGGCGTGGAAGTCGACGGCGGCGCCGGCGCTGCGCATGGCGACCTCGTAGTCGGCGAGCGTGAGCGGCAGCAGAGACGCGGCCCGCAGGCGGAAGAGCGTCTGCAAGCCGGCGAGCCGTCGGCGGTGGCGTCGGCGCACGCCGTCTTCGTCGACGAGCTTGCCCGAGGCCGTGTACAGCGCTTCGCCGGTGCTGATGCGGAGATTCTCGGCCGCGTCGTCGTCGGAAGAGAGGAACGGGTCCAGGCAGCGTATGATTTCGGAGACGGTGGGCGCGGAGAGCTTCAGGAGCTCTTCGACGGCGCCTGGATAGAGCGGGGACGTCTCATTGGCCAGCACGTCTGTCCATTGGAGAAAGGCGGGGAGGATCTGAGAGGAGTCTTTTTTTTTGCACCGCGCGTAGGAGTTTGTCTAGTTCTGTCTTTTCGCGCGGCGGCTGCACATCAGCAAACTGTGGCCGAATGATGGGTGTTTCTGCGTGCGTGGCTAGGCATCGTCGCCCCAGCCGAGTCGCTGCTCGCGTGTAGCCTGTGGTGTGCTGCGTCTTGGCGACGAGCGCGGAGCGACGACCGAGGCATGCTATTGCCAACGTCGGTGACCGCGAGCCCATCTCTGATCAGAGCCCAGCAGCTTTGGCGGAATATTACCGCTCAATTGGACTCGTGGGCTCTAAATCGCAGCGTTCGCTCGATAATAGATGAGGAGGACCTGGGGGCGGGACGGGTGGATCTGGTCTGAGGGCAAGTTGGGGTAAACGGGGCCACAACCGAGCGGCTGGTTAGTTGCATATGTCTGCTGTGCTCCGATTAATGCATAATTCGCCCGAAGATTTTCCAGCTATGACCTGAGATAGCTCAACCCTTGCAACATCGCAGCTGGTATTCGCGAACCCGCCACACGCCACTCATTCATCACAAAATTGATCTAGCGGACTTGCTTCACAACAGAGCGCTCATAATTTCATAATGGCCGACGACGCAGACGGAACTAGCCATGTGGCGGAGCCCTTGGACCTTGTGCGTCTGCTCCTCAACGAAGTCGTGTTTGTGAAGCTTCGAGGCGACAGAGAGCTCAAGGGCAAGCTTCATGTCAGTTGTTTCAATTTCAATTTTTTTTTCCACATGGGTACTACGGAACTGACATGCGCAGGCTTACGATAGCCATTGCAACCTGGTGCTGGGCGAAGTGGAGGAGACCATATATGGCGTTGATGAGGAGGATGATGAGGAAGAAGCCAAGGTATGATACGATGAAAATGCGAGAATCTGCCGAGCTTGACTAATTTCCTTGTCAATAGACCATTAGTCGCAAGTCTGAGATGCTCTTCGTTCGAGGTACGTAAGGAACGCAGGAAACAATTCAAGCTGGCCTCGACTCACTAACCATATGCAGGTGACAGCGTTGTCCTCATCTCCCCTCATGTTCCGTTTTGAGATGCTCTAAAGTATCTCTGCCTAGTTTGAGCATGACTGTTCAGAACGTGAGGCGCAAGGCATAGCACTTGGGATAGCTTGACCGAGCCCGATGGAGCGGCAGCTTCGTAGTCTTGGTTCCGCCAACCACGGAAACTCGGCCTCTCCATCGGCGTATCAGTTACGTTGCTTTATGAGGGATTCACGAAAAAAGCTATCGCGGCGTGCGATGATGTGGTTTACATCTCCTTGCCGTTGCGCCACAAACAGGCCAAAGAGACCACTGCATCTCAGGTGGCGCATTGTGGGCTCTGGCCGGCTCTTTCTTCAAGGATGAACCAAACTTAGAAACTCACTTTAAAGAAAATAATCCTCTTCGCGCCTGAATTTCTATCAATCTAGGCATTGACAACGTTTCCCCGGTTGCCACCTGTGACGTTCACTAGGTTAGGTAGTTGGCGTTCCCCACAATCGTGGTCACCGAGTGGCTCACCACGGTCACCAGTTCACGAGTTCCCCACGCAGTCTGCCTATGACTGCTCCGACCTTGTACGGTGGCGATGACTCTTCAATGACACCAACAGGGCGCGCGACAGCCAGGATTTCCGCCTTATTTAAATCCCCGTCCGTCCTCCTCAAACTATCATAACCACAGACAGCAAATGATTACTCGAATATATTATTGAGTATTAGCGCATCGCGCGTCATTAGATTCCGCCATGGCTACGAAGGCGTTAAAAGCACTACCACACGAGAAGCGCAAAGGCGAATCGGTACGGTCTTGTTGCCGCGGCATTCTCTTCATACCTAAGCTAACATATAGTAGGCTCTTAGCGAATTTGCCGAATATGTTGAACAGCAACAGAACATACGATTCCCTACTGCCCACCTGACCTCCGCCGACTCGACCGAGCACCATGAAGAACTCGACGATCTTTTTGACTCCTTGGATCTGGCAGACACTAGCACTCGAATATATATGAAGCCGCTTCTCCTCGGTGCTGACGAAGCGTCAATAGCTCAGCTGCAGAACCTCATGGTCGAGCGAATAGAGGAAGGCCAGGGAGAGGCCATCATGGAGCTGGGCTATGAGAATAGTGGCGAATCGATGAACCTGACGCTGGACGAATGGAACATTGCCCACGACACACTCAAGACAGCCGCCAAAAATATCGACGCCAGCTGCCAGCTGCTGCTGACTATCAATGTCGGCGGTGAAGCCGAGGCGGCAAGCACAACCACCGCTCCAACGAAGGACAAGAGCTGCAGTGGTAAAGTGCTGCTTCGCCGAGCGCCAAAGAAAATCGAAGAGGCCATCGAGACGCGAATAGCCGTAGTGGGCAATGGTGAGTCCATACTCGAGGCTATGGAAGACGGCTACTAATACAGCGCCAGTTGATGCCGGTAAAAGTTCGCTCCTGGGTGTCCTTGTTAAAGGGGATCTTGACGATGGACGAGGAAAGGCTCGCGTTAATCTCTTCCGCCATAAACATGAGATTGAATCTGGGCGAACCAGCTCTGTCGGCATGGAGATCCTGGGCTTTGACGCCACGGGCAAAGTTGTCACTTCTGACGTTCCTGGGCGTATGTTGCCCCTGCACCTGCCTTTGCCTTCCCATTTTAACGGGTACTAGGAAAACTGTCTTGGGAAGAGATCGGAAAGCGAAGTGCCAAAGTCATCACCTTTACCGATCTTGCTGGCCACGAAAAGTACCTGCGCACTACAGTTTTTGGCATGCTTTCCAGCAGCCCAAACTACTGTGTCCTCATGGTTGCCGCAAACCACGGCCTAACGGCGATGAGCAAAGAGCATCTTGGCATTGCGCTGGCACTCAATGTTCCGGTCATGGTCATAATCACCAAAATTGACATCTGCCCACCCCACGTTCTCGAGGAGAGCATAAAGCAGATTACCAAAATCATGAAGAGCCCCGGAGCGCGCAAGATCCCAACCTTTATCAAAGACCGTGAGGACTGCATCAATACCGCAACACAGTTTGTCAGTCATCGAATATGTCCCATTTTCCAGGTCTCCAATGTCACTGGCCAGAATCTCGATCTTGTGCGCCTCTTTTTCAATATCCTTCCTCATCACGGAAGGTACAATTCCGAGGGCCCGTTCGAGTTTCAAGTCAATGATACCTTCTCTGTACCCTTCACCGGGACAGTAGTGTCTGGAATCATCAAATCGGGTGTCATTCACGAGGGCGATACTGTTGTCATTGGCCCGGACTCGCTTGGCCAGTTCATGCCCACTGCGATTCGCTCAATCGAACGCAAGAGGCTTCGAGTCCCTGCGGCATCTGCTGGTCAGTCCGTCTCCTTTGCTTTGAAAAAGGTGAAGAGAAAAGACGTACGAAAAGGCATGGTTGTTCTCCCGAAACCCGAAGGCGAGGTGCCGCCCGTGGTCCACCGAGACTTTGTAGCTGAAGGTGAGTCACGACGAAAAGGCCCTGACTGCCAAAGTCCAATGTTTGCTGACCCAAGTCTCCAAGTCCTCATCCTCTCGCATGCTACTACTATCAAGAAAAAGTACCAGGCGATGCTGCATGTCGGACCAGTCTCCCAGACATGTGCCATCATCGACATTGATAGGGAGCTCATCCGCACGGGTGATCGGGCGACGGTCGCATTTCGTTTCGTGCAACGGCCCGAGTACCTAGCTCCGGGCGACAGGCTGCTATTCCGTGAGGGGCGAACGAAAGGCCTCGGCATTGTGAAGTCGGTGGGCTACGACCCGGAGCATCCTCTCAATAAGGAGGCTGCGGCGAACAATGGCGCCAGGACGGGAGCTGGGCAGACGACGGGGAGGTAAGCGTGTTGTGCAGCGTGCAAGTTGAGCCGATGATGTATGAACAGCGTATTTTGTCTATAGTTTTTATTTTTATTTTTTGGATAAGCCTGAGTGCTTTCAGCGAATGGATTGTACATTTTCGTATGCTCTTGATTATTGCTCATTTTGTGTTATCGGGTCCGCCCGTGGCTATGGGTGGCTGTGTGGCACCCTATGCACTGTGAATACAGTGGGGTGTGACACATGTAGCCTTGTTTGCCTGTCAACGATGAAATTGAACAGCGGCATACCGCGAGCTTTTTTATTTGTTTATTTGCGCAACGCTGCATCATGGCCGTATCAGACAAAGGCGCCCTTCTATCGCTGGTCTCGCCCCCCTCCATCCGCAGCTGGTCCGGGTCATGCTCAGGCGGCTGCTCCATCCGCACCTTCCACAGCTCCACGGCCAGCGACCCCCTCTGGCGCGAGCCTGTCGAGCGTCTCCGGCGCTGGAAGGTTCTCGTCGCTGAAGGTATCCGAATTGTCCGGGAAAAGGGGGGGAAAGACGGTCTGGACGTCATCGCGCGGTTACCACTGCGTGCGCGGAAGCGATGTACCGAGTTATTGATGATCGACGGCAGCCCCTTACCCGACAACCTGGACTTCTGGAAGTCGAGTCACGCGTATTTGGAGCGGGAGTTGCGCCGAATACGTGGAGTTGGGAAGGAGCTGGATGGCGGGCTTAGGGGGAGAAGGAAGATAAATCCGCAACTGGACTGGATTTATGACTGGATAGCTGAGTCGGAGGCTGCGCGGGTCGCGGGTGGATTGGACACCGCTGCTTCGGAAGCTGCCCCGTACGAGAGTCTGTCGTCGTCGGAATTACAAGGCTTGCACACAAAAAGATGCGATGCGACCAACGAACCCTTCGAAGAGACGCCGCCAGCGCAACGGCGGAAACGCAAACACCTCGATGTCGCCGAGGAAACAGTTCGAGAACAGAGCACGCCGCGAAAACATTTGGTGCGCGATGGGGCAGATACAAACGGGGCAACGCCACCGAAACGACCGAGACATAATTACTCTGATGCAGACGACAAAACAGATGAAAACAGGACTTCACTGTCAAAACGAGCCAAGCGTAAGCATCCTAGTGTCACGTATAAAGCGAAGACACCGCCTCCAAAAAGAAGCAGGCGTCAGCAGTCCATTGAACATACAAGTGGGAAACGGCGGGTTGCTCCAGCCAGCCAAAGACTCGACAAGCACAAAACAAGAATAACAACTGCCGAGAATCGACAGAGCAATTGTATAGCTAGTCATGGGGACGGGACAGTAAAGAGGGAAATGGTCTGCAAAGGACAGGTACAACAACCGCTTCGACGCAGTCAGCGTATTGCGGTTCTTAACAAAGCTAAGGCGCATCGATATTGACGTTGATGTTCTTGTTATTCTGCGTACAGAGAGCACCGGCTTCAAGAAATGGCCAGAGCCAGTGCCATGACGACCTGCCACGACACGAAGCAGCACCTACACCTACATTTTAGCGCCGCAGTGTGCGCCTGGGGCTCTTCTTGCATAGTATTTATGACCAATACGCTATTTTGGTATGTTGTGGAAAGCTCATGATAATGACTCAAACATTGCTTCCCATCAGATACTTGCCTTTGTGGAACTAGCGCGACTGCCACTTCATGGACTCGGGGGGCAGTTGACAAACCTCACGACGATTTGGTCATCTTGGAACATGATTAGTAGTAAACTGGTTCTCGGGCTTATTTCTCCCACTTGTCCCGAGCTTGTGCGAATAGGAAAGATACTAAATAGGCGTGGTAAACACCCATCGGCCCTATCACAGCTGAACAGCCTTATTTTTAGTTCGACGCCAATCAGCTGCAAGGCGTAACAGCCCAGTTCCCTCACCGATCCGTCCGCCTCATATTATGGTCAGCCTTATAGGACTATCTAGTTCATGCCGAAGCCCCTGCCACTTATGCCGAGTTTTCCGTCTGTCCCCAGGACCTTTTGTTTTGTGGTGTATCCGCGGAACTTTTGGCCTCGTGCGTTTGATCTAACGGAACTAACAGGTTCTAGTGTCGCATTGGCTCTCCCAAGGCAAGTGCAGTTCCATACTACCATGGCTACGCGAGTGCCTCTCGGACAGCCCATCTACCGCGTAGGTCAAGAAAATCCTCCCCGAAAGGGCCAGGTATGAGGCCATCTAGGGCATCTGTGGCCGGGAGGTGCGCCTTCAATCATCGCGTAGATCGACTATGGAATCTTGCAAACCTCTAGGGCAAGGCCGGCCCTCCCGCCACCAACAACTCCACAGAAGGATCGTTGCCACACATCTAGTGAACGCCCTAGCCGACTAGAGCGCAGCCTGGTCACTCTTATTAAAGAGTCGATGCAAGCCATTCAGGCAAGCTGCGTGGGTTTGCTCTCCAAACCCATGATGTTGTCTCCGATCCATGGACCTCGATAACAGTCTCTATGGAACTGCAGTACTCGCGGACTTCGCTACTACTGCCAATACCTCAGCAAAGCCATGGAACAAGAAGATCAGGGACGACAGAGTCCAGCATACAAATCCCGGACCTCGAGGCAGCGACCGGGTACAGCTTGTTCAGAGTGTAGGCGGCGAAAGCTTCGATGTGACGGAGTGCGGCCGAGGTGCCGTGTGTGTGCTCAATCCAATGTGGAATGCGAGATTGTCACAGACAAGGCCCCGAGGGGTCCCAAAAAGGGATACCTTCAGGCACTGAAGACTAGAATTGGTGAGTTTGTCGTATTCGCACCTCTTGCTGTGGCTGTCTGTACTTCTTGCGCCATTTAAAGCCAACAAAAAAAGCCTTGAATTATATGCTGATTTGTCCTTTAGCGCTACTTGAGAGTAAACTTGCATTTCATGATCCCGCATGCGACATTTTCGACGACATCTCAAGCGAGAGGGGCGCATCAGCCTCGACAGCTATGAGCCCGACTGTGGTTCCGAGCTCTCGTGGACCGGACCTCCTTTCACAGTATTCGTGTAATATGTTTGCCTCGAACAACATTATACCACTGGATCTTGGTATTTATTTTCCAGCCGATACTCAGTCGAGCCACTCACAAACCCACACCGCCAGCATTACACCGCCTGGCAGCTCAGAAAGCTTCGCTTTCAGTCCCGTGGCTATGGAATCGGTTGGAGATGTTGACTTCACATACTGGCAGCAGGCGGAACTGTAAGTGTGTACCTGTGCTTTGAAGGAAGCGTACTGAAGATATAGTGACCAACTGTATTTCGACCGTGTCCAGTCATCTGTGCCGGTGCTCCATCAACGTCGCTACCTTTCGTGGTCGAGGCAAGATGGAAAATCAGTAGCGCAAACAGCTCTGCAATATGCCGTTTGGATGCTGGCAGCTTTGGTGTCGCCGCAGAGCCATACTCTCTACGAGAGGCTCTATGACGCAGCGAAAAGACACGTCGAAATATCCACTAAATCGAGCGATGCCAATATCAACACGCCCCAAGATATTGAACTTGTGCAAGCAATCATCTTACTATCTACTTACGAGTCTATGAGGGGATTTTACGACATGGCGTGGATGAGCGCTGGCAGAGCGCTTCGTATGGTGCAGGCTATGGGATTGAACAAAGTGGATGGAGCGGCGCAGAATCCATTCCTTGATCAGCAGGATTTTATTGAGAAGGAAGAGTTGCGTCGGACATTCTGGATGACATACTTGCTGAATAACATGTTTGCGATTCGAGGCAACTGGCCAGCGGCCCTACGACACAACATGGTATGTGCCACACGTTCGACTTTTAGAAATTAAGTCTAAAAATCATGTATGCAGATTCAAACCAGACTACCGATGCCGGAGTCTGACTTCCAAAATGAGCAGCCAGCCCAGACAGATTTCTTGATGGATGCAATCCTGGAGCCGATCCCACAAACACGGTCGCCATTCAGCGAGAGTATAATATTTGCGACAATCTGTTCCCAGAGCCACATGGAGTCCCGTTCAAATGGCCTGGAAATACCAAAGGAATACATGCCATCGAGCTGGGGTTATCGGCAAGATTCCATGGCCGGAGGTTCTCCTCGAATGCGTCTTCTTTGGCACTACGATCCACCCCCAGCAAGTAGTCCCGATCCGATGCTGATTCTCGCGAATTTGCTGGCGCAACTGTCTGTCATCTTATTGTACCGCCGGTTCAGCCAATCTTGCATGAGGGATTCTTCGATTTCTGCGCAGAAATGGATCGATTGTCAAAATCGTGCTCTCGTCGCTGCAGAACGCATCGTGGACGTTGTTGCGGAACTGACAAACTTGCATTATTCCCAGGTATGAAGACCAAAAAAAAACCGAATATTTTGGTACAGCAATTGGCTGCAAAGCTAACAAGACCCTAGGTTCATCCACTGCTTCCGATCATCATGCGTCTTAATGCGGACTTTCTCGCCGCCAATGTGACGGCGGTGGCAGCGCAGCGGTGCCTGAAAAGATACATGTACGAGTTGGGCAGCCTTTGCACTTTTTACGGCGCAAACACAAACTACTTGGAGTTCCTGGGCATGTCAAATTTCCTGGACGATTTGGCCATGGCAACAGCATAAACAGTGGTCGTCAAGCCCCAGAAGCAGCGTGGACACTGGAGAGGTGTCTTCTAGCGAACGACTTTGGAGGCATGATACAATGATTCCAGAGCACTAACAAGAACAATCAATATCATAGGAAAGGGTAGAGACAATTAGTGGAATACAAGAAATATACGGCAACTTGAAGGGAAATACGTCAAAGTTAAGCATGACTGGTTTACTTATTTGGCTGAGCAGTGAGTTCTTTCACCTGTTACTGATGCCACGAGATTGTCCCGTCTAATGCTGCACAGTGTCATGTGAGCCATTTTTGCTGCGCGTCGAAAGCAGGTTTATTGACTCTAGCGACCGGTATGATCTACCTAGATCTAATATAGCTCCTGCCCCTGTCTCTCAGCGGAGTTCCGCAACGAACCCGGCCTACAGCCGCCTAGCCGGAGTTTGCACCTTAGTTTCCGATATAAGTCACGGAAACCTTTCCGTTGCTATCAATATCGGTGCTGGTGATGAGGCTCCCGTCAATCTTTATGTTGATCTTCTCCGCGCCGGCGGCCGACACCTGGCCGTTGGAGCCCTTGGCGACGGTATCCGTGAACTCGATGGTGCCCCAGTTGACGAGCGGGACCGGGGTGCCGTTCTCCTGGTAGTCCTCGACGATCCACTCGGCGTCGCTCTCGCAGAGAGGGTAGGCCGTCTCGCCGGTAAAGGTGTGGGACACGCTCTTGCCCGTGGTCAGGTTCTCAATGGTGCTGGTGCCCGAGGTGCTGGACGTGGCGTGGACCGTCATGCGGACCGTGTCGCCGCCGGACACGGCGAGGTCGGTCTCGTAGTCCTGCATGGTGTACTGCCACCACTCGGTCCAGACCCAGAAGGAGCCGTCGCCGTACGCGACGATGCCCGTCTGCAGGATGGCCGTGCCGCAGTTGTTGCCGTCGATGCCGACCCAGATGTCGGCCGAGCCCTTGGGGTTGTTGGCGTCGTTGAGCGTCGGGATCACGACGGTGCCTTGCACGTAGTTCCAGCTGCCGGCGGACGCCTCCTGCACGGCGCCGGACCACGTCCGCGAGGTCAGGTCGCGCTTGTGCTTGTGCGTGGCCGGCTCGGAGTGGGCGAGGTGGCTGCTGCTGCTGGTTGGCGCGGCGAGGACGCTGCCGACGGTGGCGAGGGAAAGAATCAAGGCTTTGAACATGGTGGCGACTGTTTCTTGGCTGCTTAGGAGGAGCGGGTAGAGGAAGGCTTGAGATGTGGGTTGAGTCCATTGCTCAACTTCCGCGAGACTGTCGCTCATTTATACATGTTTTCAGATGGGTTGTGGATGCTCGGTGGATGACTTGTTATCGTCGTTTCCCAAAATACTCTTGACAGTTCGTTTTACCATTCAGAGTAGGTAATAAGAGGGTGATGGCTTGACCCATCGCACAACTTCCTCTTGGGGCAGGTTTGTCGCTCTAGATGTCAGGTGGAAGCACACTGCGACCCGCGATTTGATCAGTTAATTACTCATTTGTGATAACAGGCAGCTCCGAGCCGCCACGAGAAGCCTTTGTCAATGATCTGACACATGTGGCCCATCTTGGGGGGCGGCAAAAGCGTTCTCAACTCTTGTTCCTATACGGAAGTCGCCCGGTAGTTGCAGATCCTCGTGGCTGGCCTGTCGGGCAGATAGGAAGAGCGCGTAGATGAGTTAAATACAAGGGACGAGAACCAACCCGTCTGTTTCACTAGCTTGACGCCGATGCCGGATTTCCGCTTCGTGGTGGTCTACCTTCCTAAAATAGCAGCTCGCTGATCAACATCCATCCACTCGGCACTTTCAAAAAAAAAGAGCCCCCTACGACTGTTAGTGCGTTAGGAACAACACTGGCGACCACGATGGGCTCCAAACATCAAGCTATGAAGTACTCTGAACGGATTCTGGGAACAAAGGACGGTCCAGACTCGATGGTTCCTGTTCAAGGAGGGAAAGTGTAGCTCCTCCCCAACTTGGCATGTTCTGGGGAACTAGACATGGGCCGCCATTGGATGTGTCACTATCTCTCAAAATCATCGGAAATAATTGTTTCATGTAACTTGCCCTCCCCCGCAGCGATGATCAGAGCGATGCATGTCATTTCCATTATAAATTAGCTGCAGCATCTACTATCCGTGCGATTTCCTCTATGACTGAGTCCTGCTCACAAGCGCATTAGGTGTCTTGCACTTGGCTCTTTAATCGTGGAAAGAAGCGACCATCAATGATGAAGCTCTATCAGTATGATTCTCAGTAAGCAAGCAGTTGTAGCTTAGGACTACGGATCCGGTATCTCCTACGGCTATGACCATCGTTGCCAAGACATTAGCATCGTATCGGAGACAGCGCCGGTGCCCGATCGGGCACGTTGAAGGGCCGATTTCACAACCAATTGAGATTCCGTCTATAGTAAGCGATGAGGCTCTAATGAGCCATTCTTATGTAAATAGAAGTACAGGGTACAGTAATTCATACAAGATTATTACGATGCAACTTTCAGCATCATGTATTTTTATGTGCTCTGTTATCCATGTCAATTCGGCCAGCGTACATCTCTTGGCAGATCGCATCTCGCGATGGACCTAACACTAGTTTTATTAAAAACCAAAGTCCGCGTCCAACACGGAACATTTAGCTCAGCACGATCCGTCTCCCCGGAAAGCGTTCATACAAGCGCTCGGCGCATATCTTCTTTAATGAAAATATCAATACGTTTCTCGGGTAGTTGAGCACAGGGCTCGGTAGCGTATAGTGAACTGAACTCATTGAGGACAGCAATCTTGGTGTGATGCACGACTTTCGCCATGCCCAAACAATAGCCCTGGAATAGTCATAATAACCGTCCAAGGGCTCCAAGTAGCGCGTACACTGTCAACGCCATTTACCGCTGTTGCGTAGTGATGGCTTATAGGTCGAGTTCTGTTGGAGCTATCGGATATTCGCGATTCTCGCCCGACTCTTCCGCATTTTCTAGATTGCTTGGTGCAATCTGTATCTGTTGTGCAATTATGAGAGAATTGGATGTCGGACGTCTCATGGAACCGTTCGCGATGATGGCACTGGCGCTTTTGATGTCTGCTCGCTAAAGTCGACCATCGTTTCGTCTCGCCCATTTCTCTCATAGTACAGCACCGCGCTGTCGAATGGATCCTGTTGTTCGGGCGCGCTTGCGCAGTATGCGCCCTGCGGGCTCGGTTGCTGGCGCTGGACGAGGCGGATCAGGCGGTTGAGAATGGCAAACTCAATCTTGAGCTTGATGCCGTAGACGCACGGCTTCAGAGCAGCCTGCAAGTAGAACAGATTGGCGCACTGAACTGCGAGCAGCGTAATGTCGAGAATAATGATGAGAATGTTGGCGTAGGCGAGGTGGCGAAGGACTGAAAATCGCTCTTTGGACTTTGAGTCGCCTCTTGTTGAAGACGAGGACAGTGACCAGAAGGTCTGCTGGAGGGGAAGGGTGTCCTTTAAATGTTGGTAGGTCTGGAAGAGGTAGAGTATGCTGAGGGCGGTTTCTTGCACAAAGTAGATGATGAGCTGCGTTCGATCCCATTTCAAGTTGAATGATCGGAGGAATGGATTCACATCGGTAGCTTGCTATATCGTCTCTGTGTCAGTGATGCCCCGTGTCGGGTTGGAAGCCTAGTGTTCAGTTTTGACTCACAGCAAGGGTGCCAATGATCATGGTCGGCAGGGCAAAGACGACCGAGTTGAAAATGAGTACGTATTTTATGATTTGCAGTGTTTTGGTGTGGCGCATGAGCAGATGCAGTCGTGAATATAGGACCCAGCTCTGGGGGATGACCATGATGAACCAGGTCAGGTAGATCATGACGACGGACGGGACCAGGTCTGTCCAGATGCCAAAGTCTGCGAGCAGCATAAACAAGGGCTGCAAAATAACGCCCCAGGATGCGATCGCACAGGACCAAAAGTATAGCCCGCGCTTCCGCTTGAACAGGAGAAACAAGGACACGTTGATCTCGATGCCAACGTACCACGACACGCCGAATAAGGCAGCCATGACCATGGCCAGTGGCAAGTCATCTTTGATGTCCTGCATGCCGCCGATTCTGTATCGGAAATCGTGTTGAATGGCCAAGTGATCGCAAGGGATGCTTAGGAGCAACGTTGATGGGAAGGAAATGCTCGTGACGTGTCTGTAATAGTCGTGCTAAAAGAGGGAGGCTCGCACAATCGAACGACCGCAGGTTTGATGGCTAGTTAGTAAGATGAGAAAAAACTCGGTCGATTCTTTGCGTGCGGCGCCTCATATGTTGGCACAGCACACTCAAGGCGTTGTGCGATTTGGCGACATGCTTTGTCGGCTCGTTACCACTCGCTTCAGATACACCAATAGATGGAGTGCGAGAAATGCGAGAATTTGCAAACGGCTTTTCATGGGGGCGCCGCCAAAGACCCAGTAGTAACCCAATAGTAACCCAATAGTAACCTAGTAGTAAACTGTCAGGAGGGGGTCCAAGCTAGGCGATCGACAAGCCAGCCGGCGGATCAGGCCCCAAACGGACCAACTGAATCGCCGTTGCTGGCTGGCTGAAAATCGTGGCTTTTCGCTGGAGTTGTGGCCGGAGCGCGTTGCGCCGGTTCCAGACCCGCCTCTTGGTGGCTTCAACAGCCCATATCTGCGACAAGTTGGTTGGGCTGTTTCCAAATATGTATGTAGCCCTGGGGGGGGTTGCATGGGCTAACTAGCAGATTCGGAAATCGGCCGCTGCTGCAAGGGCGGGTTGTTGCGCTGAAGAGATTTCTGGTTCGCTTGGCCGCCATCGAGATGGGACAGTTGACAAGCCTGTTGCTTATGCGATGGCAAGCGAGGAAGAACAGGGAAATGTCCCTGCCAGAGAACCATCGGCCCTTTTTTGTAGTGCATCATGACTAGTTACGGGAAGTATCAGGACTACGGCACGTGCATCAGGACTAGTTACGGATACTTGCGACACGTATGAGCCAACGGTCACACTACTTAAAACCAACGCTGTCGTCATTCATTGGCAACACATCTACGACCTTGCCAAAAATATTGTCTAAAAGTCTAGTATTTTATTCTAAGTTGATTATACGTTGCTATTTTGAACAGCCAACTATTGAACAAGAAAAAGTCTTTGAACAAGTGCGATGATAAATAAAGAATCAAGGGGTAATAGACTCTGAAAAACAGCCGTGGCAAATAGAGAAACAAGGGGTAACAGAAACGTCAAACTTCATTTTCATACACCAAGGGAATAAACATTAGTTGCTGGCCGCTTTCTTGGCCGCATTCATCTTTGCCGTCTGGGCGCCCAAAACGTCGTGAATAATGACCTGGATCCAGGTCGGCCAGCCGCGCAGCGCCGAGGTGCCGGCCGAAGACTTGGGGATGACGACCTGGCCGCCCTTGCGGGCAAAGATGCGCTCGGTAGTAGCGTCGGCGACCTGCTCGGGGGTGAGCATGCGGACGCCGTTGTCGGTCAGGTTCTTCTCGAATTCCGTGAGCAGCGGGGTGGCGACAAAGTTGGGGTGGACGACGGTGGCGAGCACGTTGGGCGCATTGTACGCATGGCGCAGCTCGGTGCGCAGGGCCTCGTGGAAGGCCAGCGCCGAGGCCTTTGTCGCGCCGTAGTCGGCGTGGCCGGGCAGGCTGACAAAGGACGCGACCGAGGCAATGGTGACGACGTGGCCCTTGTCGGCCGTGATCATGGACGGCAGGAACTGCTGGCACGTGATCCAGTGGCACATGGTGTTGATGGCGAAGATCTTGTGCAGCGCCTTTTCCGAAATGTCGAGGATGTTGGTCGGCACGGCGATGCCGGCGTTGTTGACGAGGATGGTCGGGTCGCCGAGGTCGCGGCGGATGGCGGCGGCCACGTCGGCGACCGACGCCGACGACGTCACGTCGCACTTGTAGTACCGGATGCCGGCGGCGTCGCGGCTCAGCTCGGCCGGCGGGGCCTGGATGTCGAGCACGGCGACGCGGATGCCCTTGGCGCGCAGCTTGCGCACAATGGCGAGCCCGATGCCGCTGCAGCCGCCCGTGACGACGGCAATCTCGCGGGGCCAGTCCCAGCCGGGCGCGGGCCCCCACCGCCAGGCGTTGGCGGCCATGTCGCTGAGCTTGCGGTTCACGGTGCGCGTGAGGCCGATGCCGAGCAGCACCTTGAGCACCGTCTTGGCGGTGCTGAGGTCATAGTCGGCTGGGAGAGACGCGCGCTGGAGCGTCTGCGCGAGAACGTCGGCGGGGGCGCGCACGAGGAACGCGAGCAGTGCGCCCGTGACGAGGGGGTTGAGTGTCAGCCCGGCGACGGCACCGACAGCCTTTGCAATGGGCGAGTGCTCGAGTGCGTAGATGACGCCAGACATTGTAAAGGGGCGGATGAGGGGGGGGTGTTGGGAGAGGAGAGGATGGGAGGGGAGAATTGGACAGCTAGGAAGGGGGATGGCCGGTGCTGTTGGCGCTGTATATTATAACAAAATTACATGGGCAGGCGTCGTCTCGGCACTGGCCTTGTGCTTTTACCTCGGAGCTCGGTGGCATGCCAGCCGCGGGGAGGATGCGGGGAAACAAGCACCCACGGGGCCGGTTGCCTGGAGACAGCCCGCTCCGATCATAGAGTGCGCCCGGTATGTAGAGATGAGGGGGTGGTGGAAAGAAGAGAGTTGTCAATGCCGTGCATTGCGACGTCTTCTGTCCTTGTTGTGTACAAGTAGCTGTCGCAGCGTGTCTTGTGCCAGGCTGCTCGGCTGACATTGACCATGGGCTACCCAGTCAGGTCCCTCGGCATAACTAATAGGAAAGACGAATTGAGAACGGCAGCTGGATGGTTGGGGGAGTACGTACGCCAGAGGTCTTGTACGTAGAGCATGTCCAACAGTCGCTCTCGCTCCGAGTCCACTCCACTCCTGAGATGATCTTGCCGATGATCCTCAGGAATCGACCTGTCCATGTTTGGTGCCGGTTCCTCTTTCCATGTTTGATGCCCTTTCCTCTTGGACCTGAGTGCTCGTGCCTTCCGCAAGGCGGGCACTAGCCCGTAATCAGCTTGGTCGCCAACGTTGGATGAGAGTTGTCCCTCGGCACACAACACTACCTGCGTCATACCTAGTAATTTCTATGTCGAGTCAAGAAGGGTCCATTTATTTATTTATTTAGTTACAGAGCCATTAATGAGGCTACCTACCTACCTAAGCTGCACTCTCCGGCTTCACCTGTACTACCCTAGACCACGAACCTACCCAGTCATCTTCTGGCGCTGTCACAGGCGCTGATGCTCAAACTCGCATTCCCCAAGTTTTCTTGCACAATGATTGTCCTCATCTGTCATACTTCCTCGCGTACAGTAGGGTGGCCTACTTCGGGTGCAGTGGCAGGATGTGGACGGGGAGTTCCGTCCGACAACCGGAGGCGGAAACGAAACCTACAATAGTTAATAACAAGGCATGAACAATCAACAAGCAGGCGGCGAAACCCAACAGCAATAACGAACTATTCAGTTTCTCGACTCAGCCGCTCCACCTACCTACTGCTGTAGTTATCCACTTGGCCAGAGGACTGCGCGGAACCCGGATCCGGTACAAACAATATGCAATCGACCCGGGAAAGAATGACCAGCCTGATTTGTGAGCAATTTGTACGTAGAGCAGGAGCAGAGCGTATCCAACAGTCGCTCGCTTCGAGCTCTTGAGATGATCTTGCCGATGAGTATAAAGTATCCATGTTCAGCCCCTTTATCGCTGTTAGTTGCTTAGCTTTGACTAACACACCAAGAGCGCCACTGCACTACGCCAAATCTAGCAACGTTTGCTCGGATATGTATACAAGTTTGGAAGAAAAGCCGTTACGCCCCGATATATATATGCTTGTTTGTTGGGCCGGTTTGCTGTTTCTCAACAACGGCCTTTTCATAACAATCATGGACAGCCAAGACCCCGTCATCAAACTCCGGTCGCCGCTAAGTTGTAGCGGAGATGGACGTGTATAATTAGTAGAGCCGTGTCATGAATTTTTGCTCGCCTCTTCATTTTCCCATATCTGCACCTTGTATCAACAACTGACACCGTGTTGGTCGCACATTCGCTCCATCATGACTAGAAAATCGCCGTCGATGCCAGGCTTCGCGCGCCTCTCGGACCAAGTCTTTGTGCGCTCCGGAGATGCCGAAACCGGCGCCGACACGACGACCAACCCCGACATTGTCGTCATCTACGGCTGGGGCGACTGCCTGCCGCAGCACGTTGCCAAGTACGCCGACGGCTACCGCGCGGCGTTTCCGCGCGCGCAGCAGGTCGTCGTGCTGTCGCCGATTGCAAAGGCCCTCTTCACGACCCGCGAGCAGCGCCGCGGCCACATGACGCCCGTCGTGGAGCACCTGTTTGGGCCGCCGGGTCTCGACGCCGCCGGCGCCGCGGAGACGGCGGGGGCCACGATTCTCGTGCACGCCATGTCCAACACGGGCGCCGTCAACTTTGCCGCCACGCTCGACGCCTACGCCGCGCGCTTCGGCCGCCCCATGCCGCACGCGCTCTTCGTCATGGACTCGACCCCCGGCGCCACGGACCTCTCGTGGGCGAACCTGAAGCGCTGGTCGCGCGCCATGGCCCTCGGCACCGCCAAGTGGTTCCCCTGGCCGTTTGCCGCGACCCAGTCCATATGGGCGCTGCTGTTCCTGCTGCACACGCTGTACCTGTGGCTGCGCCGCCGACAGCATGCCGGCGCGTGGAGCCGCGTCGCGGCGCACCAGGAAGAGTTCGCGACGAGGGAGGCTCGTAGACTGTACATGTACAGCAAGGACGACGATCTTATCGGGTACCGGGAGATTGAGGAGCATGCGGAGGAGTCCAAGAAGCTGGGCTATGCCGTCGATGTCAAGGAGTTCTTTGGCAGTGGCCATGTCGGGCACATGCGCTTGCATCCTGACGAGTACTGGAAGGCTATCCAGCAATCTTGGGGGCGGACGACCGCTAGTGCAAACTCCATCGGTGGGAAATAGTGCAACGTCCTGATCCGTGGGAGAATCTGTTGCAGTCTTTCTACCAAGATGGTCGCAGCCTAATACTCCGTCGCGCGCGGGTAGCTTCGCATTTCCACCTCAGTTCTGGTTATACAATGCGCATAGAACTGTACATATGCATTCACTAGAGATAGACAGCCAAATCGCTATAATATTGTGGCCTGTCTCGGTAACTTATAAATAGTATTGATCACGAGGCGGAGGACCGTTTTCTCGCGGCGAACGGCGTACCGAAATATTATCGCAAGAGGGGTTTGTCGTCGTCTCGGTAGGCAGCCGTAGGTGACGAGGTATGTCGGGCGGAATGCCTACTATTATCATCAGACTGGCCAGTCGGAATGTGAAGCATGTGTGTCTCGTAGAAAGGTCGAGGAGTAGGGGTGGGAGTAACACACGCGCTGCTGCGACGTACGACAGAGGGTTGAAAGAGGGCAGAAAAATAAAATCAGGCAGAAGCGGGCTTTCCTGTCTTTTGTACATGAATTACGAGAGCAAGACGTATGATCGTTGCCTGTGTGACCGGGCTGGGCCTTGGGCGTTTTGGTTACAGTGCGCTGTCAGCCTGCAGTGTGATGTGTGTGCGCGACATGAAGAAAGTGTTATTCGGCTAATGCCCCTTGTGGGACTTATGTATCCTAGTCATTTATTATATTATTATATTTAATTAATACGTGGCGTGGTGTGACCGTGGCCGCATCCCGACATGCAGCCTGCAGCAAGGGCGGCTAGGTAACGACCTTTGTGATAATCATCGATCATCCCGTCGATCGATTCGCAGGGACAACGAAGACTGGGTTACATAGAAATATCCCCCCTGTAGTACGGAACGCAAGTAACACGACCGGACGAAGGTCTGGAACCTGACCGCTGTCCAACATGGGAGCCTGGTCGTGCCTGGATGGCAGTGCTGATGCACTCTGCACCACTTTGTGCACAATATCAAGGTTACTCAGAAGGCAGCACGACGGAGACATCGGTAGGAGCCTTGTGATAACTAGGCAGATGAGACTTGGACGTACCTATTTGGCTGTGAAACGACGGGCAACGTCTCTTCCTCATCAGGCAGCAGCATCACTTGGGTGTAGGTCACTTGGATGTAGGTCACTTGGATGTAGGTGTCTATGACACACCTGAGAGGCTTATAAACCAACCTCGTCCCTCTTGTCTGCTGGAACTTTCATCCTGCATCCTTCTCTTTCATTGCCTGGCTGTTCAACGGTTATCAGCAACCCATCTTGCATCCTTCTCTTTCATTGCCTGGCTGTTCAACGGTTATCAGCAACCCCTCGACCCCGTCCTCAGTCGTGCACTCTCTGGCACCAGCACTTGAAATGAACCGACCATCTCAGTGGCTTTTATACCACCTCGTCCTTCTTTCTGCTGGAATTATCCATCTTGCATCTTTCTATTTCATTACCCGACTGTTCAACGGTCATCTCATCACTCACGTTGAACTAACCGTCACCGATGCATCCCAAACCACACACGACGATTTCGGGCCCGATGAAGACGATGCATCCCAAACCCCACAAGACGATTCCAGGGCTGTTGAAGAGGTCGACTTTGAACATGTCGGGGACCACTTCACGCCGGGATGTATCATCCTGACAGAGCTGCACGGTCGGCAGGTCGCGGCCAGGTTCGACAGTGCCACCTACCTCGGGGAGGGCCGTAGCAAGAGCTACTGGATCCGCTGCTCCTACATGGACTGGGACGGCACGCGCGTCGTCCCGGTGGAAAAGCTGGCCTCCATCCCCTACTACCCCGGCACCAAGACCATTGACAAGCTCGAATGCTGCCCGCTCGCGTTCCACCCGGATAGCGCCGCCATCGAGCAGCAGCTGCGCGAGCGCGGCCGCCGCTGGGAGGCGCTCCGCTCGCACGACCGCTGGCACCAGGCGTACCGCGGCGACGCGCGGTACTCGGAGGACAACACGCCGCCCACGGGCGAGCACATCGCACGCGGCCGCATCATGCTCGACGTCGCCCTCTGGAAGGTCGGCAGCCCGAAAGACGCCGTCTGGCACGAGTACAAATCGGCTCCGACGCCGCTCTGCGACGACTGTGTGATACTGACCTCGCCCATCGTGCGCGGCTTCTCGTTGGACAAGATGCGCTGGATGCACTTCTTCGTGGACCATGTCAAGGAGATTCGGTTTGACGACCGCGCGACTAAGTTGCTGGTGCTCGAAGAGGAGAAAAAGAAGCTGATTATGACGCTGGCCAAGAGACAGGTCAATTACCCCAAGTACTGCCACGTGAGCTATGGCCGTGGCGCCGTCATGCTGCTCTCGGGCGGCCCGGGGACCGGCAAGACGCTGACGGCCCAGGTGGTGGCGGAGAAGCTGCGCGCGCCGCTGTTCAAGATGAATGCGGGCGACCTGGGCAGCTCGCCAGACGCCGTGGAGAAGAGACTATACCACTACATGGGATTGGTAAGCAGATGGCGCGCGATACTGGTGCTGAAGGATTGCGACGTGTTCCTCGCGAAGCGCACCAAGCACGACCTGGTGCGCAACCACATGGTGTCAATCTTCCTGCGCATGCTCGAGTACAACGAGGGCATCGTGATCCTCACCACGAACTGCATCACCGACATAGACCCCGCCTTCCGGGACCGCATCCCTCTCGTCGAGTACCCGAACCTGGGCGTGGCCGCGCGCCGGTTCGTCTGGGACACGTTTCTGGCTCGCGTTGGGGGCTCCGTGGGCGCCAAGGGGCTCAATGTCCTGAGCAAGATTGATCTGAATGGCAGGCAGATTGATAATATGGTGAGGATGGCCGACCTCATGGCGGAGCAGGCTGGGCGGTACATCACTTTTGAAGATGTGCTGAGAGTGTTGAAGATGCGGGGCTACCCTATTTCTAAGGCCTACACTATTTCTGAATTAGTGAGGCTGCAAGATTTGATTTGAGAGTGCAGGCCGTGTTAAAGATCCAGGGCTGAATTAGTGAGGCTGCAAGATTTGATTGGGAGTGCAGACCGTGTTAAAGATCCAGGGCTACACGATTTCTGAATTAGTGAGGCTGCAAGATTTGATTGGAGTGCAAGACAGTGTCGCTACAGCTGAAATACATATCAACGCTTCGTTTAGTCATCTTTCACCGGGTTCTCTTTTGTGCTGAATCGAGTTCGTAGGGCAGCCAATGCTTTGTCTTGTATCGTAGTCGGTTCGTAGCTGGTTGGACACTGATCTACACAATTACAACTCGGCCAAACTAACGAGTTCCTTCTTCTGCAGAGTAAAGTCCAGTGGAAGCCTTCTCCACGGGCGACTGTGGGCAAACCCGTCCACAGTCCGCAGCAGCAGCACGGCGCCCGTGGCCGTCATGTCCTCCAGCGCGGTCTGGTACACGCGGTGGCCATCGCATACGAAGCTGCGCGCACGACTGCACTCGCATGCCGCCGAGCCCATCCTGGTCGTGCCGCACCGCGCGCCCAGCTCCGTCTGTTGCCACTCGGCCTCCTCGAGACGCATCTGCGCGTCGGCCAGGTGCATGTAGACGAGCGTGTGCACCGACGGCGCCAGATGGTAGTCGTGCGCGAGAAGCGCGCACGCCCGGCGACGCAGCGCGGGTGCGCGACACAGCCGCGCCACGAGATGCAGCGTCTCGTTGGTCATGGGCGACAGCGCCATCAGCCGGCCCGCGCGTCCCGGCGTGTCGCCCACCGCCGTCGTCACCGACGGCGTATCTTCGCGCCGCGCGGCGGCGTACCGCATCTCCATCAGCCGCTTCGCGCCGTCCAGCAGCCTGCCAAAGTCGGCCGTGCACGTGTCCCAGCACAGCGCCGACACCTCGAGCGCGAATGTGTAGAGCAGCATCTTGACCGTGGCCGCACGAAGCTCGAGCACGGCCAGCCGCGGTGCGTCTTGCGCGTCGCCGCCGCCGCCGCAGCGCTGCCTCCGGAGCGCGTCGAGTTTGCGCTCCCACTTGGCGATGCGCTCTTTGTAGTGGTGCAGCACGTGCTGCGTGAACTCGCCGCCGTCGGTGATGAAGTCGGGCACCTCGGGTCCCGGGTGGACGGCGGCCTTGACCACGTTGTTCCACACGGGCTCGAGCTCAAAGTACGCCTCGGTGAGGGAGATGAAGGGGTCGTCGCGCAGGCGCAGGGTGCAGCCCTCCCAGTACGAGTGGTACCGGTAGCCGGGCGGCTGGAGGAACAGCAGGAGGCTGTCGGCGCGGAAGCAGGCGTAGATGACCGAGTCGGCGGCGAGCACGGTGTGCCTGTCGCGGCGGCGATGGATGCGCGTCTGCGCCCAGGTGCGCCAGAGCCCGACCAGCATGCACGTGTTCTGGTAGTGCGCCGTCATCTCGGCGTTGTCGCCGCGGAGCGCGGCCAGCACGACGAAGAGCTGGCTCGCGACAATCATGCCGATCCTGGTCGTGTCCGTGACCAACGGGAGCGCGACGAGACGGCGCATGCTCTGCAGCGCCGCCTGGTACTGGTAGTACGGCTGCAGCGGCAGCAGCGCCGGCGGGGGGGCGGAACCGGAGCCGCCGCCGCCGCCGCTGGTCCGGTCCAGCAGGTGCGTTGCGGCAATGGCGTTGCAGGCGTGCCATGGGATGGGCTGCGACTGCGTGCTCCGGAGTAGCTCGTCGCGCCAAAAGGCCTGGTCAAAGAGGCCGGCGAGCTGCGGCGCCACCTCGGCGCGGAAATAGTGGAAGAGCTGCACCTCGTGGTGACGGCGCGGGATCTGCGGCGGGCTGACGGAGAGGGACGGCTGCTGCGCCGTGTCTGTCCCGGCTCCGGGGGAGAATGACGGCGCGTGGTGCTGCGGCGTCGCCCGAAGACACTCTCGGTTCGATAGAGAGCCTTGTACGCATTAGTGCGTGTATTTAAAGGGGCAGCTGGGAAGTTGTCTCCAAATTATACGGGATATTGACTGGCAGCAAGTTGTCGACACGTACACTTCTTACACGCCGGCTGAGTCTCGTCGCAATTGACACGCCGCGTTCTTCATGTCGTCATCAGCAAGACTGATTGCTCGACACTGCAGCCTCCGAATAACAACTGCCATAGACGAGCTACGCCAAACGTACCGGCATGTGATACACCCCGTTCTCGCGCGCGGTGCCCATTTCTTCTTCCTCTCGCTGCCCTCTTCTGGCCTCAGCTGCGCCGTGTTGACCTGGCTGTGGTGAGCTGGGTCGTCGCCTGCGGCCGCAGCCGCCGTGCTGTCGCATGAGCTGCATACTGAGCCCGTCGTCGCCTCTGTCGAAGGGAGCCGGCAAAGCTGGACTCCTGCTTCCGAGTTTATACAGTGATGGCGCTGTGGTAAACGGGACTTGTGCGCCTGCATCTTCGGCTTCAGTCGGCGGCTTTGTGATACGCAGGCTGAGGCATTTGGCAGGCCGCCTATGATGTAGCATCTTATTATGTAATAGGTCAACGGGCCAACTGATTGAGCAGCCTAGGCCCGAAACTTGTTACTATTGGGGCTAATCACAAATTATGGCCGAATGGAGCTACCTTGAGACGGTGCTGCGTGCCATTTGCCCATTGGGATGTACCATGTAGTTTGGCCCTGGCCTTTAGGGAATAGAGCCAAGAAGGCCAAAATAGTTCACTTTGAGGGAGGCAGAAATCAGTCCATGTGCGTCGCCTGAGCACCTGGTGCATTGGTGTAGATCGCTAGTGCACTTGTAGGGCTGCTACATAGTCAGACCCGGGCTGCTGCTGGGGTTGGTATTTATAGTCTGTCTCTGAGCCGAGTGCCTCGCCTCACCAGCTGCCTCGACTTTGATCTATCGAGGCTCTTTTCAGCCTCGAGTATGTGTGGTTTTATAAGTCAATTTTGCGGTCGCACTTCACCCTGGTATAAGACTCCTGATGATTGGATATCATGGCAGTTGTGATTAATTGATGAGGTAATCTTGCTCCTGCTGGAAGGTGGCAGACATGTGCCGAGCAAAAGAAATGGGAGAGTACATTTCCATGGACTTTGGCGGACAGCTTCTAGACTCTCCTCCGCCCGATTTTCTAGTACATGATCGAGAAACTCGCCAACCCCGCGGAGAAAATCCACGTCATCAATAGCTAGATGATGCCATATCAAGGTACTCCGTTAGAAAGTGTCCACATATCTAGATGCCAGCATCGGGAGGATTACCTGGAGCAACCCCGCGGCATCTTTGACAGCATCTTTGGTGGGTTGGCTAACTTCGATCCCATGTCTTAAATCCCCACCGCATCGCGGGAGCGCTCCGGAGGAGGATTACATGTAAATCCCGGTGTGGGGAACCTCGGGTACAAGAGTTGTATATAGACGGCCGCAGAACAACCTGGATATATTTCTTGTTGGCAACAGTTTATTCTGCATTCAAACAAAAGCAATCGCTACAATGGCAGCAGAAATCGTCATCCCAGTTTCATACGTGACCTCCGCAGAGAGCGAGATCCGAGTCACCAACTACCCGGAAGCTGCCGGAGGCGTGACACCTATCCTCATTGCTACGCTGAACCGCCCGAAAAAGCTCAATGCCATTACTGGGGGCATGATCACAGACCTAATCGACTTGTTTGAGGCGGTCAACGTCGATGATCGTGTCAAGGCCGTTGTTGTGACCGGCGCTGGCAAGGCGTTCAGCGCAGGCATCGACCTCAGCATGGACACGAGCGGCCTCAACGACGGGGCTGTCGGCGAGATGAGAGACCCGGGCGGTACGCTGGCACTGGCCATGTTCAACTGCAGCAAGCCTGTCATTGTCGCGTACAACGGCCTCTCGGTGGGCATTGGCATGACGTCTACCCTTGCGGCGGCAATTCGGTGAGCAAAGATTCGCTTCTGGCAGACATCAATATCATATTCTAACTGCCTCTTCCCTCTCAGAATTGCCCCTCGTACCGGCGCAGAGTTTGGCTTTCCATTCGCCCGCATCGGTCTGACAATGGAGTCGTGCAGCTCCTTTTTCCTGCCGCGCATGGTAGGCTACAGCAACGCCACCTATCTCCTGACGACCGGGAAGCGATATCCAGCCGACTCTTCCGTGCTGAGCGGCGTCTTTGCCGAGCTGGTCGACACGCCCCAGGACGTGCTGCCGCGGGCCCTTGCGCTGGCCGAGGACATCATCACCAACGTGAGCCCCATGGCTGCGTATCTGAACCGGCAGCTGATCTGGCGCAACGCCGGATCGGCTGAAGGAGCACACTTGGTGGACAGCCCGCTGCTCTATGACATGTTTGCAGGAAGGTACGTCTCTTTGCCGTTGGCCTTTCTTCTTGGAATACTGCGGCAGTCGACGTTTGCTGAAAATTGCTTACACAAACTTAGTGATCATCTGGCATTCAAGTCGTCGTTTTTTAATAAGCGCAAGCCGGAATATAGTGCGACGCTGGCCAAAGATGCCCCGAGGACGTATCCATGGTGGAAAGAACTCTCGATTCGGCTACAGCCCAAAGCCAAGGTTGAGGACAAGAATAACAGTAGACTCTGAAGACGAGAAGACATATTGCAGCATGAATTTGGCCTATAGTCTCCGAAAACCCAAGTATCCATTTACCTTCCTTCAATAGCTTCAATGAATGTTTTTTACACCTCGGCGTATGCCCTTTCCGAAAGCGCCAACCTGCTTTGCCGAAACTGTTGTGTAATATATAGCCCCGTTTCAACAGGATAGGCTAGACTGTATAGATAGAACCCATACAAATACATTTATGGAGAATTTATTGATCTCTTATACAATGAGCACTCTGTCGTACATATATGCCGAGTGGCCCGTGACCCCGATCCCGACCCGGACGCGACTCGGCATTCGGCGAATGACACAGCGCGCCAACGGGACGTGGAGGGACGTCATGTATTCCCACTGGTACACACTTGTCACGGCTGCAGTCACAATTATAGCTTTAGGTAAAAGTGTAAACTTTTTCTCATGTCCAAGAAAGCTCGGCGTGAGGCCGGTGAGTAATACAATCTACAAACGATATTCATAACAAGAACCCGGGCAACGACCAACAAAACTAGTGCACATCACTGTCGAGCCACACTTGCACCCTCGCTGTATGCTGTTGTAACAATAAAAGAGAAAAATAACCCAGATGATGATGATGACATATGGTATCCAAAAGGGAGGAGGGAAAGACGTGTGTTTGGTAAAGGAGAGATCACTACGTAGACGTGTTGGCGGCTGCCGCATTTCGCCGCTTCGCCAAGTCTTGAAGATTCAGATTGATCGGCGGCCTCGTAATCTCCAAGCTCCGACTCGGCATGCGCCCGCCCGGCGTCCGCGGATGCGCGACATTAACACGCCCCGAGCGCTCCAAGATGCGCGGCGGCGTCTCGTCGCCGTCGGACGCCGAGTCGTCCTCCAAGCCGTAATCAGCCAGGCGCGCAAAGTAGTCGGCCAGCCCGTCGACCGACGGCGTGCCGACCACGGCGTCGTACGTGGGCGGCGGCGTCATGGCCGGCGGCGGCCGCGCGCCCGGCGGCAACGAGTCGTC